GAATTGTTTTGTTTTTCGCGTTCTTTTACATTCATATTAAATTCATTTTAAATTTCACCAATACCATCTGGTTAAAATGCATCTTGATAATTAAAAAAAATAATTTCATCTTGGAATAATTTTTCTAATTATAATTCTTTTATTTATTTATCTTTTGCTTAAAGTTTATTCGAATAATTTTGTATACTGGTCTCAAATATTTGCATTAAGTTTTAAATTTTATCATATTATAACTCTTTAGAGAATGTATAATTCTCAGATAAATTCTAAAAATTATCGAAAATTTATTGACTTGATTAGTTAACAATTGGTTTACAACTCAATCTCTCAAGATCCTCCTGTTAAATATCAACATATGATTAATTCCCAACTGTTTTAAGGATTGAATAATAATACATTATGCTGTTCGTATATTATTAATCTAATCTGCATGGAGCTTAATTGACAGCATTAAAAAAAAATTCAAATTCTAAAATATTCAATGCACATTCAGCAAAGAGGATTGCTTCATAGTAAATCGTTTTATTATGCTTAATTTACCGAAGTTCTATTTCTGACTGTTTAATAAGGGTTTTTTAATTAAATTTTTAGTGGGCTTTAATTTTAAGCCCGTTAATAATTGATTATTATGGTTTATAAATTCTCATAATTACTTCTTTTTTATTCCAGGAATCCATCATTTATAAATCCTATTTTCCATAAAAAAAATTTCTATATCCTCGTTCTTCCTTTCTTTATTCATTATTATCCACCACTAAATATTTATATTGATAATTTGCTTTTTGGATTAAATCTAGTTTAATCTAGTAAAACTCATTATTTTTTTCCATCTGGTAATATTTAATATTTTTGCTTCTATTAATCAATATGTACACCTATTTTCCGGGCACAACTGGAGTATTTTTAACCTTAAAACATACTTAGAACATAAGTGACATCAAAATAGAATTATTTTTCTTAATTTTTATTATTATTTTTGAAAAACAACTGTTATCAAATAAATGAGTATTTGAGATTATACTAACTAAAGGGGTGATTAAGGGGGATGATGTTTACGAATGAATATTTATTGTAATTTCCATAGTTTGTTTTTTCTTTTATTCATTAGAAGAAGATACATAAAAAATAACATCAGATGATGAAATCTTTATGAATTATTTAAAATTCACTAATGGTTAATACATTAAAATAATTAAATAGACAATATATTTTCGGATTTAGATTGTTCTAGTAAAACTATAATAAAAGAACTGTACATAGTTTTTAATAACCAGTAACAAATATTATCTATAAAAAAATAATTAATTAAATATTTTGTGAATTATATTTTTCAAAGAAATATTATTATAAGTAGTTATTATGTAAAATTCTCTCTCCAAATTTTTTTGATAGTATATATGGATACATTAGAGCAATATTTTAAATTCTCTTTATATACTTTATTTTATTATTAGTAATGAAATAAGTGACTACTAAGATTCTCCAAATTAATGGCATACATTATAGTATCAATATTAATCGATAAAATTCTCTTTTAATGAACCTTTATAAGAGAATTTAAAAGCAATACTCTGATATATTTATACATATTATAAAATCTTTCTAAAACAAATTTATTATGCTTAGTATTTTAAAAATTTAGAACTAATCACTTATTTAAGTTGTGCCTTGTGATTCAAGTATATTTACAAACCTAAATATTTGATTGAGGATATTATAATGTATATTTTTATGAATTTTAAAATATATATCAATTCATTAATCTATTTTCTTCTTTCTCCTATTTTTCATAAATACTCAACATCAAAGAATTGAAAAACTTTTCAAAAGCTGGGTGGATTGTCTGATTCCCCTCTTCAATGGAAGTATCATGGACTGTTAAACTACTTAATGATTTTGCTGAAATATTTAGAAATTCAAATAATACGCAATTTTGATTATCCCTTTATAGCCTTTCCTGTCAAATGATGTGCAAATACAACGTTTTGAGCAGCAGGAATACCAGCTTTCTTTGATATTTGATTCACCCACCATTCTAATTCTTATTCGTGCTTAGGATTCTCTGCATTGTATACACATATAACTCCTTGAGCATCCTTCATTACTGCAGGCCAACAGGAGTCATATCTGATTTAATTAAAAATATAAACTTATTATCTCCACTCATATCCCAAAGCTCGACAATTACTTTTTCTGAGCCAGGTCTTTTAGGATTCTTAGGTGCCTCTTTTTCAAATTCCAAAATTCTAACTCCTGCTGTAGGTCTATATCCATTTTATGAAATATCTTCTCTATCGGCTATATAATTTGCAAGTCTTGATTTTCCTGATTATTGTGGTCCAATTAGTAAAATTTTGATTGAAGAACCTTTAAACATGTTATTTATTAAAAAAATGATAAATATAAATATATAATTTTATGAAAAAGCGTACATCATCAGCTTTTTCAGATGCCCTCAACATAATGTCAATAGCCAAATTCCTGCATAAAACAACCTATTAACATGATATCAGCTAAATCAAAGATTCGTTAATAAAAGATCCATTCTCAAGAAATGATTAAGATATTCAATCTCTATACGAATTCATCTATGTTTACAATTATATATAAAGATTAAAGTCAAAATACAGTGATTAATTTGTTAGGGAAATATGCAGATACATATATTACAAATAAGTTTCTTAAAACACAATAATAAATACACATAAAACCGTATTTTTAGTACTTAGCGGTAGAGTTGTAGTTACTTATTACGATGACAATGAAGATGGGGATCAACATAATGGTTCGAAATCAATTTCACAAGAGTTAACATTTGGAATGTCATTTAATGATTATGGGTTGTCTGAGAATCGGAAATGTCATGTGAGAGTTATAAGACCAACAGAATTTGCTTGCTTGGATTTTAAAATATTTAACGAAATCAATTCAAATCAGAGATCTAATGACACTTATGAGAAATAAAAGTTTCTAAAGTCCCTTTCTTTTTTTTCTATATTTTCAGATGTAGAAATTAAATACTTTAGTTATCATATGGAGTAATCGATAGTCTAAAAAAATTCATATATTTATCAAGAAAATGATGAATCAATAGAATTCTGCTACTTTATAGGTAGAGGAGAAATGGAGATATATAAGTAAAATACATAAAGAAAGTAATTTTGCTTAACAAAACTTTTACAGGGGGAGTTCTTTGGAGAAGATGGCCTATTTTTACTCAATAAACGATAATTTTCTGCTAAATGTTCATAAGATAATACCTTACTGTATAGAATTAGTTTATAGGAGTTTGATAAAAGAATTTGGAAGAAAGAACAAAGAAGATGGTTATTTGAATTACTTAATCAAAAGTGGATTTTCAGATTTTAGAGATTCTATGAATTAACATAAATGAATATGGACAAGGAACTTCTCTCTTAATAAATTAAAAATCTTAGCTAAAAATTAAATTAAGATGAGTAACCTAAAATTGATTTAGAATTTGAAGAGAATCAAAATCAAATGTAGACTACCACAGCTTAAGAATAATTTATTACTGCTTCATGGCTGTTAAAAAGTGCAAATTAAGCATAATAAATTTTGTAAAATTTCAGATAAAAGACTTAAAATAAAGATGAAATTAAATAAATCACATCTGTTTCGCCAAAATATCAATTATAATTAGAAAGAATAAAAGCAAAATCAAAATATACAAAAAGTACTAAAACCAATTTCAGTAACCGTTAATCAATAATAAAGGCTAATCAATCACCTTATAGAATTAGCAGTTTTCATAATAAAGGTTAAGGGAAGGTAGCATCAAATATGAGTTATTTAAAATTATTTAATTAAGAGACTGAAAGATTAAACTTGGAATAACAATTAACACAATATTTAGACAAAATAGGAATCACTGATGAAAATATGCTAGAAATTTAAAAATTGAGTGGAAGTGCTACTGATAGATACGAAAAAAATAATTAATTCTATTAAACTATGGAAACTTATGCTTAGTTCCAACTTTACAAGAATTTAAATTTATAAGAATCCAAGTCTTAACATGTAAGATATTAAAATTATGATTTAGGCTAAGAATTTGGAAGTTGAATATTAGTAATTGGTTTAAGATCAATAAACAAATATTAAAAAGGCATTCGAATAATTAACCACTAGAAAGTCTGATAATATGATTAGAAAGGAATTCTTCTTGAATAAACTAAAAAAAATGAATAAAAGATTAAAGGTTTTGGAATTAATTTAAAAAGGACAATTAGAATGCAAAGCAACTTAAATGGTGGATGAAGATGGAGAAATTGTTGACATTGATGAACCTATAAAACCAGATGAAGCATATGATATTATTGATGGAAAAAGGGTTAGAAAATTTAATTTTGTGACTTCTGAAGTATTTGAATAATTTGAAAAAAATGTAAAAATTTAATTAAAATTAGAAATTTCACGATTTCAAACAGTAAATTGACTAGTAGAAACAAAAAATTTAAGTAATAAAAGAGATCGTTTCTGGAAAACTACCCATTTCTGCAGCAAATGATGATTGCCAACAAATTTAAAATAGAACAAAGCCTACTAATTCTTTTAGGCCATCAAGTAGTGTAAAATAAGTTATACCTTTTTATATACTATAATAAAAATAATAATCGACTTCCTACAAGCTATAGTAAGCCAATTATTAAGCCTCATCTCTAATAAGCACTCGATTAAAGATGTGAATTAGTTACTTTATTTATTTGTATTATGAAATATTTAAATATTAATTACAAGAAATACAAATAAATTAAAAAAAGTCAAAAGTATCTAAAAAGAAACTTCATTCATTTGCCAACTACTCTAGCATGAGATTTAATTATTAATCAAAGTTTAATTATAATTTATCTAGAGTCTTCTCTGTAAAACTATAATATGATAAATCTTGATTATTTAGGGTTGAATCAAGAGAAGTTGACAACTCAGATTCACCCTGATTTTCTTAAATTTCCGTTTTGTAATTTAGTTTCTTCTATTTTTAGTAATTCCTTGTATGATAGTTTCTAAGTTAAAGTAAAGCCTCCAGGTATACACTTTGTTCAGTTTCTCTTTTGTTTATGCCTACCTTTTGTACTTTCATAGTGCTATTTAATTCTAAAGAAATTAAATATAAAGATTTATTTTAATTTAAAATGGAATCATCTTTTTTCCATTCTATCGTTAGTTTAGGATTGATGTTTAATTCTCCTTTATAAGAATTAAGGTACTCTAAGAAGGAAGATTTTGGATTATATTTCCATTGTGTTCTGGTTATTTGTTCTCCTCTATGTATACATTTTATAGATACTTATTCAACAATTATACTACGATTGGGTGAATAATATCTCTAAGAGCCTCTAGATCGTTTTGTTTATCATAGTAATGTGCCCCTATTATGGATTTAACACAATCTGATAGTACTTTTGGATTATTTCTAAATATTAAAATAGAATGTACTTTAATGATTTCTAGTTTCCAATATTTAATAGATTTTAAATACTTAGTAGAATTGCTATCTCTGAAAGGTATTTATCATTAATTAACCTCTACCTTAATTAAATTATGTCACTTGGTTTTTTAAATTGACTCTATTGATTTGGAAACCTTTAATATTATTAATTTTAAGTACCCTTAGAGCAACATGTAGTCATAAAAATAGAATTCTAGTAATTATTATCCAGCTATTGAAAAGTCTTCGTTGTTTCCATACTAATATTGTTGTCCAGTCTTCTAAAAGTATTCAATTTCGTGAATTTTATTTGTAAAAGCTTAAACTAGAAGTTTTGTATTTCTGAATTCTAGAAGTTAGTTGAACATTTGTAATTAAATTTATAATAATTTCAATAAATCATAAAAGGTTAAAGAATTTCTATCATTGCACTTTATTTAAGATAATTAACATATATAATTTTAATACATTATTTCAGATTTTAATTAGAAATTAATTTAGATGTATTATTTTTAGCATTTATAGAATAAACTTAAGTTAAGCCATTCCATATGTATGTTCGCACTTTTTTTCGGTCATAAAATTATTTTATCTCAGAAAAAAATAAATTGTAACTACCTTAAAACATGCTATCTAATAAGTATTACGTTTTCAAAGTTTTATAATAATCAAGTTTTCTTTCCAAACTCAAATCAAGTTGAAAAATTTGATAAATACTAAGAAAAACGGAATATTTGTCAATTTTTTATGCTAGACACTGATTAGATTCTAGAATGATAGATTATGAGACTTAGTTATAATGTGATAAAATAATTTTTAATTGACTATTAATAACAGTTAATTATTTATAAAAGGTTTTAAGAGAGTTTTGATGTCATGTAATTTATTAGAAAACTCATATTTTCTGTTGATTTAGAGAGATATAGCTTTTAATTTTAGAATCACTGACAAGAAACAAGGATTTCTTATGAATTTATTTTTAATTAATCTAATATAAACAATATAAAAATAAAGATATCCTTAAATTAGATTGAGAATATCTTTTACAGTATGAATGATCAAGATTTGAATTTATTACATAAAGAAATTGGAAATGACTAAAATAAAACTACTATCAGTGGGAAATTTAACAACGATTTTGTGTTTTGAGTTAAAATTATTATTTAAAATTATACATGTTAAAATTGATCAAGTTGAGTAATGTTGGTTTAAGTCGAAGAGCGACAATATTTGTAGGAGGGATGACTTGTATTGGTCTTTATAGTGCAGGTTATCAAAGATTTAAGAAAGCTTAATATGCTTCTCTGTACGAAAACTTAGAATTAAAATAAGTAATTGAAATTGATCTATTTAAGGATTATCAATAAGAATATTTAAGGGGACATGTTCATAGTGTTAATGGGTTTTGGAGTAGGATGATTTATTATGGAAAATTGTAATTAAGATTTCTGCAATTGATCCTAACTTTTACTCCTCTTGTTGTATTTTTTCCTTTCGCCTTACTTTTCAAATCATGGTTGTATAAGCATTGGCTAAGGCTTTTAATTAAATCATTAGAATTAGTAAGTTCTTAATATATAAGGCTGGGCCATTATGGATGAAATTGGGATAATGGGCAAGTCACAGGGGAGATGTGTTTGGTTATGAAGTGACTTCAGAGCTAAGTAAGCTAAGAGATTCAGCGACGCCTCACAACTACTACTATACTAAAAAATAGTTTGAAGAAGAATTTAAGTAGAAGATTGAAGATGTTTTCGACAGTTTCGATACAAATCCAATAGCATCAGGATCAATAGGTTAGATTCATTTAGCTTATAAAAATGGTGTAAAATATGCAGTGAAGGTTAGACATCCGAGAATAGTAGAGAAGCTAGAATTAGATCTAAAAATTTTATATGTGATATCAAATATTTTAAGTTCAACTCAACAAATTTTTAGGAGATTAGCTATGCCAGTAACATTTTAAGAGTTTAGCGTTACATTAATGAATTAGGCAGATCTTTCATTTGAAGCAAAGAATCTTCAGATTTTTGAGTAAAAATTTAAAGATTCAAAAAATGTCATATTTCCAAAAATACTCAAAGAATATGTCTCGAAAAGTGTAATAGTCGAAACCTTTGAAGAAGGAGTGTCCTTGTCTAACTTTATGAAATTGGAAAGAACAAGAGAGCATAGAGTGGCAGCTAACTTAGGACTTAAAGCGTTTTATAAAATGTTAATATATGATAATTTTATACACGCTGATCTTCATTCTGGAAATATTTTAGTTAGGATTAAAGATAACAATACTTCAAAATTTGATAATTTCAAAAATTTATTAGAAGAGGGATTTTATGACTTAGTTGAGTATGCTGCTGAATTGATTGTACCACTCTTTGAAAAGTTCATATTAAAGAAACCATTAAAGGTAATATACGATATCACTCTTAGGTTTCAATATTGGAGAAAGAAAAAATATTTGATGAATAGCAATTTTGGAACTTTTTGAGATAGACCAACTAAAATTAAAAAAATTTAGATTTGATATTTATTGACCCAGGTATGGTTACGATATTAAATCAAAATGATAGAATAAATTTCATAAAAATAATAATGTTTGTTGCATTAAGACAGCCAAAGGAGTGTGGTCAATTGATGTTGAGTTTGGCATCATATAACACCTAGTTGAAAGAAGAGAAGAAATAAAAGTTCTTAAAAGACATTGAAGATCTATTTGGAGAGGTTTGTAATGCCCCCTTATCTAAGATGGATTTAGGGTCAATTTTCAAAGGCATGCTCGAAATTTTAAGATCCAATGGACTTGCTGTAGAGGGTCATTTTGCTACATTATTGACCAATATGATGATTTTAGAAGGGATTGGAAAAGAATTGGATCCCAAAATCAACATAGTTTCCAAAGCAGCATCTTTTCTTCTCCAAATAAGAACAATTGATAGTACAATAAATGAATTAATGAATATTTCATAATGAAAAGTCGTTTTATAATTTTTATTATTAATGAAAGTTATTTTTACATTATTCCTTAGCTTGTTAATTGCTTAGTGTGATAAAACTTTGAACTCTAAAATAGAGAGTTTACTATAAACACAATTGGGTCATACACTACTATCAACTGCATAGTTGGCATTGTAAACAAATACTCCTTTGGATAGGTAAATTTGTTATCTACTATAGAATAATAGATACTTTGCAAGACTTAGAAGATAAATACTAAAAAGATCAGAAGGAGGAAGATTTAGAAAACAGAGAGTTTCAATCAAAATGTGATGAGGATCTCACTAATTTGAACACTGAGATTGATGCAATAAATAGATTGAAAGTGAAAATTTAAGGAGCTATAGATTAACTGAAAGCTAGCATAGAGTATGTTAAACTAAAATATTATTAGATCAAAGAAAAAGATCTTGAATGAGAAAGATGCTTTGAGAAAGAACTTGAGAAAAGGAATGAATGAAGTAGATGTCATAAGAGAATATCAAGAGAAAGTTTATGAATTAAAGAGAGGAGAAGTGGGAAAAATAATAAAAACATTAGAAGAAGTGAAATTGGTATATGCTTCAAAATTAAGAACAAACTTTTTGGAATTATAGACTGATAAAACAGCAGTCTAGCCAGAGGTTTTTGCTGAAGTAACTAAGTAATTGGTGAGTTTTGGTAAGTTCAAATCAATTGGAAAGCCTTTCTAAAATATAATAGACTTTATGATTCAGATGAGTAAGAATGGAAATAACATCGGAGTATTAAGGAACATTATAGATTTAAGTGAATCCTTAATTAGACAAATAGACGAAATTTGGTAAGTGGAGAGGAAAGCAGAGGAGGAGAGAGTGAGATGGTATTCAGAATATTAAAAATTTATGAATACAGATTTCAAGATTTATGATAAGGAAATAGGTGAATTAGAGGCTTAACTTCAAGCTCTAAAAGACAGATTGGCAGAAAATCAGAGAAAGATGGAGGATTTGAATATCAGACTTGAATCAAAGGAATACACTAAAGATGATAGGAGAAATGAATGCTAATAGGCAGCCTATGACTATACATAAAGAAGGACATCAAGATAGGAGGATCGTAATATAGTTTCTGAGGTGGTTGGATTGCTAAATGTGAATATGAGAGATCTTAAGGAAACTCTTGCTCAGAAAATGGCTGCTGGAGATCATATTTGATGAAATTTACAGCATATATCATATTAATTTCATCTTCCTCATAACCATCATGAATTCATCTTTACTAACTTTGCCATCTTGATCAAGATCAGCAGCGTAAATCATGTCTTTTAGGGTTTGTTCATCGCATTCTTCTCCTAAATCGGCTGCAACTCTTCTTAATTTTTCTAGATCAATAGCACCCTAAATATTTGAATACTGGCATACTTCATTATCATCATCAAAATAGTTGAATGCTTTTTCTATTTCGACTTCAACATTCTTATCCTCCAACATCTTCTTTTTCATCATTTCCACAAATTCCTGAAATTCAATTGTTCCAGATCCATCTCTATCTATTTATTCAACCATCTTTTGAACTTCTTCTTTGGATGCGTTGAATCCAAGAGCCTAAACAATCAAAATTAGTGATTTACTTTCATGGCATTTCTCAATTCTGACTCATCAATTGATCCTGATTTATCTGTATCAAACAATGTAAATGCTTATTACAAAACATCTATTTGTTCTTTTGTCAATTTTGTTCTTTTGGCTTTCTTATTATTCTACATCTGCTCAAATATTTAATTATTAATATATATATAATTCTGAAACTCAGGTTATTTAAAGATCGAAAGGGTCGACCATGAATTATTTGAGATGATTTAAATTATTCAAGAGAATTATATATATCTGATTCTCATAATTTATTAATTTATCATAACCACAATATTAATTTAATGTAATAAACAACATCAATAAGTAAAAGGATTGCTACTATATTTCATAATGTATAAATGACATACATATATTAAAAAAGATAAAGGGAATTTACAAGGAGGATCCATAAGCATAAGATGTGGAAGGATAGAAAGAATTCTAAGAATATGTCGATTATTTATTGGAAAGAGGCATGAAAATTAATAATTTACGAATGGCGTAATTCAAAACAAGAAACAATTTGCCTTATTTAGGATTAAAAAGTAACTTTTCTTTAGGCAATATGGTTAGCAATCGAAAAGATTGAAAGTGATTCAATTCTTGTATCAGTGCCAAGAGAATTAATGTTGACCACAAAAATAGCATATTTTTCAGATATCCAAGAAATCTTTGACGCTTATCCATAATTCTTTAGTCAACATTGCGCAGGAGGGTGGCAAGATAGAATTCTTCTCACATATCTATTATATCAATCATAATTAGGAAGGTATTAGTTTGTTATCTAAATATTTAGACAATCATAATGGTATCACTTAATAGCTAATTTACCAAGAGACATTGATTACTTAATATTTTGGTCTGATGAGGAGTTAAAACTATTGAATGATGAAAAACTTGTATTGAAAGCCAAGAGAGAACTGCAAGATTTCTTATTGATCTAAAAGACATTGACACACATATTGGATTAATATCCTTAACATTTTAAGAAGGAAACATACAGTCTTGAAAACATCAAGTGGATTTTCATACATTTGGTTAGTAGATGTTTTGGATCCACTTTAGAATAGGTTGCATTTGTGCCTTTTTGTGAAATGTTTAATCATGAGAATACTGATGTGAGATACAAAGGTTTATATTTGGAAAGCAACGTCAATAAACCCAAAGAAGACAAATAATTGGATCCTAATGAATCAGATGATTCAGATGGAGATAGTGATTCATACGAGTAAGATGATTACTAATACCCAATTGAAATTTAAGAGTAAATCAAAAATTACAAGTAGAAAACACCAACATATAAACTGATTGAACAAGAATTAGCATTGTATTAAAATTAAGTGGACTTCCAAAATCCTGATGCAATCGAAAAGTTGAGACTTTATTAAGAGAAATGCAATAACAGAATTGATTTATAAATCCAATTTTTGAAGTACAAAAGATGGTTTTAAGAGAACTTAAATTTAAGAGACAATTTTACCATCATTTTTGTCTCGAAAAGTCTGGAGTATATCCAAGAATAAATTAAGTTGTATGAAACAGATGTTTTGACTTATGATTAAGTGTCATCTGCTCTATAAGCTGTTGAAGAGAAATCAGAACTCTATTTATAAAATGTTAAAGAATATGCTCAAGAAAAATTGAAGTCTAAGAATTATTCACTAAAACAATTTGAAATTCCAGAATAACCATCAGCAATTGAAAGTGTTGAGGAAATGTTATAGATCGCTATTCCTGAAAATATTAAGCCTTTCGAAGCCAAAGAGGAGTGGAAGGAAGATTTATTTGACAATTTTGTAATTAAGTGTTCAAGCAAAGATGAATTCGAAAAAGGTGCTTAAGCCTATTTTTCTTATGGAAAGATATCGAATAGATCTTTGTTACTTCGATACGGATTCACTCTAGAGTACAATATTTTCGATTATGTGGAAGTGAAAACTTAATTTATTCAATACATTCCATTCGCAAGTGATATTGCAGCAGTAATCAAATATAATTAATATGTTTAGTACTTTTAGTTGTCTAAGTATAAGAAGTTCAAGATTAGATATACAAGGATCAATGATGATCTATTGATGTATTTCAAAATTCTAAACTGGTAATATGATTAAGGAATATCATATTTATTTGATGACATTTATGATACAGCCATAATTGATTAGGCTTACAATTTAATTAAGGCTTATCATGATGAGCACTTTAAGGACACTTTGAAATCATAATCAGAGAAGCTTAGAGATTCAAAGTTGAATTATCATGATTATTTTGCCTTAATTTATCATATTGAACAATAAAGAATAATTGAAGCATAGTTGGAGGCATTGCAGATGTTGAAATGTAAGAATGAGAAAAAGGACTTTGGAGAGTAACAGTTTGAATGGACTTCATATTTGGTTGAGAAATTCACAAATTGATCGTATAATAGGAATGATTATTTTAATAGAATTATAGTATATTTATACTTAAAAAAGGGAAGAAGCAATTTGTCAATAAGCAAAGATTTCTATTTTTTAGATACATATTTATTATATCATTTGATCGAAAGATTTTGAAGCAAATTATTATGCCACTTTTTTACCACTTCATCTTTAATAAAAGATTGAGTTGGGTCTTTTAATACTTGTGGCAAATATTTTTTAAGGACCTCCCCAGCTCTAAATTTAAATCACAAGGTTACTTCTGGTTTTCAGATAATCTCAAATAACATCTAATTATGTGTCTCAATAATCTTTAGTCATCTTTTTAGGATTGATGTAAATCATCAATCATGGTTTGTAAGACTTAGCTGACTGCAAAGAATCTTTCAGGAGTCTAACAGATATAATTGAGACCATTGTCATCGAGAAGGATCTTCTAGACTATAAATGTAGCAACTGTTCTGGAGAGTTCTTGTCCTTTTTTCATGATTCTCAAACAAAGTGGAATGATTTCAGTCTGCATTAAAAAATTAATCGCCTCTGGATCATCTCCCTTTAAAAATTTAAAAATGTTAATACCTTCACCAAAGCACCTATTACACCCAAACTTGTGACTCTTAGGTTTTCGAACGCTTTGCTCTTGTTACTAGTGTTTAGAAATGGATATAGAAATAATGGAATATGAGCTATATTTAAATTTAATATTACCTCTTAAGAAGCAAGATCTTGTTTACACATGTAGAGCAAGACATTGTAGCAATCCCAAAACACTGCAGATTCTAGAAGATTAAGCCTGTGTAAGCTAGGCTGGTTGTAAATGCTGATATACAACTGCAATTTCTTATAGACTAAAATATTTAAATGACTTACAATATAGCTATGGTACCAACAGAATGCCATAAGAGAGGTGCTAAATGAGGAAAGCTTTCTCTTTTTTTGGACAACTCTGATAATGCTTATTCTCTTTTATCTGCGTCTCTCAATTAAAGTATATATTGCACAACTAACTCAGTATCTGAATCTTTTTACATCCTACTAAACTGATAAATTTTGAACAATATTTATACATCATCAATGCTTTGTTCTGATAATTGAGTGCTTAAACTTTTTTGAAGACTAGGTGATGGCGAGTACCCTCCGAACATCATTTGTTGAGGAGGCGATTTTTACTTGGCCTGAGCCTGTTCAAAATATCGTTTGTCAGCAGGTGATATGCTTACCATACTGTCACTTCGATAATTTTAAGGCACGATAACATATTGATTGGACATTAAGAATAATTAATTATTTTTATTATTATAAAGTAACTGAGTTTTAGAAGATAAATTTTAAAAAAAGAAATTTAAATTCGACATTCTATTATTCAAAAATAATTATTTATGTTAACAAATTAAATTTACTTCAGAAATCAATTCAATTCATAAATTCTATGAAAATCAAACACCAAATCTTTACTTTTCTATTCTATAATATATTTTATTATTTATAGTGTCGTATTTTAAAAGAAAAATTTGAGTTTTTAAATGAACATGATGAAAATTTGTAATTTCTATTATTTATTACAAATTGAAATTTTTAACTTTAAGCTAAATTAGAGGGGGAACTATCTTGAGTATTGAAAAATACATTGGCACTGGAAACTGATGCGGAATTTTTCAATTAATTTATTCTTTCATCTAAATTCTGAAATTTATGAAAAATTCAGCATAATAAATGACGTAATTCAAAATATGATAAGTTCATTATCGGAAACTAACGAAATTATATTGGTTTATAAAGATTCAATGCTAAAATATCGGTAAAGAGGGCAGTTTATATGAAGTATTAAAATAAAAGTATTGAAATAACTGAATTCTTTATGTTTATAGAGAATCATCTCTGTGATTAAGTAAATCAAAATTAAATTTATAAGAAGAATGTCAAATTCTGAGCAGATACAGCCTAAAAGAAAAGCTTGGAGCATGCTGGAAGATCAAATGCTTCAAGACTTAAGGCAAAAGTAATGTCTTGATTGGATTGAAGTGGCACGGAGAATAGGCGGAAGAAACCCATCTTAATGTGCTTAGAGATGGAAGAGAATCAAGGGATTCAAGTTGAGGAGACAATGGACCGAAGAGGAGGACGACAAACTCAGGAATTTGGTTAAAGAATATGGATATCAGTGGAGCAAAATAAGTAAATTATTACCTAATCGCTCTGGAAAATAAATACGAGAACACTATCTTAACTAATTGCATCCTCAATTGAATAATGAACCCTGGAGTTAAGAAGAAGATGAAAAAATTATTAAAATCTATAAAAATGTCGGAGGAAAGTGGAGCATTGTTTAAAAAGAGCTTCAAGGTAGATCAGAAAACAGTATTAAAAACAGGTTCTATTCATACCTTCGAAATAAATACCTCAAGATCAAGAATCCATATTATATTGTTCCAAAAAAAGAATAAATGAATTTAATAAAAACTGAACAGAAGCTCAATTCAATTGTTTCAGTACAGTCGTAAGAATAATCACCATCAATAAACATAAGTTCAACCTAACAATATCTAATACCAGTTAATATAGCAGGTATACCCTCAGTTAACTCAATGTATTGCTATCCACAATTTTCAATATGCTATCCTTATTTTTAGTTTGCCCAACCTTAATATTACTTGTAATGCCTGCCAAATGCTATCCTACAATGATTAAAGATATAATATTATTTATGTTCATCGAGTGTTTCCCTATAAATAACAAAACAATAATTAGTTTGGTATTGGAACCTATAAACTATAATATAGGATAAATTTCTGTAATATTAGAATTCTATAATTATTTTATATGATAATTATATAAACTGAATTATTAAAAATTACTTAATCTGTATTAGAATTTATCAATGCAATCAAGGCTGGTGACTCTGAAATATAGTGATTCATTATATAATACAAAATCCTTTCTTGATAATGTTTGTAAAATCAAATAGATTAATGAATTATAACAAAATATATATATAATGTTGAATATTTCTAATAGAATGTTTTAATTGATTATTCTAAGATTTATCAAAAGAAAACTGAGTGCACTAAATAATTTGTCAGTATTAAATAAAAATATTAATATGTATTTAAATGGCAAAAATGAAAAAATAAAAATGATTTTATTATTACTTAACGATTATTGTATTGATGATCATTTTTTAATTTGTTTAAAACCTAACTAAAAGAGCAAGTCTTCAGAATTTTGATTTTTCAAAAATGCTTCTCCAAACATTAAAATTCCAACTCTAAATATAAAATTAACCATTTCCTTTTCTATATCTGAACCTTATGATACAACAGTGAGAAACATAAAGAAATCTTATATAGTGGAACATTAAGGATATTGATCGAATTGAAATACCAATCCTTAAAATTTTAAGTCTAAGTATTCTTTAATTTTTTTAACTTAAAACAGATCGAAAGATACTTATTAAATGATTTTTAAATATTTGATTGGATATTTTTCTTTTATCTATTGTATAACATTTGGGTTGGATAAGGTATAAGTTGTAAGATCGTTTAGACTTTTTGAGGTCTTCACAGTCTTAATGATAGTTTTAATTTCATTAAATTACTCATCCATTTTCCACAGTTAGTTCTATTAGACTAATTTTTAATCAAGAGGAATGTTGTGGGATTTCAAATTATTTTAATACTCCTTTTGATTTAAAGGTGGATGATATTGCACTAGTATTTCTTCATCCTTTTCTATATTCTTAGCACTCACAACAATTAACAACTCTCCCAAGAAGTAATAAAATATATTTGGAGTTAAACTATGATTAACTTGTGATAAAGTGAACCACAACCCTTCGCTCTAATCTAGATATTTAATTTGCTTATTCTTTGTGAACACTTTGAGTAATTAAAATGCATGTGCATTGTACCTAAAGATACTTTCAATTCGAAGGAGATCAACTACATAATTTTATAGTTAGTATTCGAAATCCTATTTTACGTGTTTGAGAGAGTAATTATTGGTTCCATCATACAAATTAAATAGTTATTCAGCAAACTATTTATTGTTAAATGCCTATTGTCTAATCTCTTCATAAACATCATCCCTTTAATGCATGCCAAGTGTTTAATTTTACTTGATTTTATGCATTGGATGTTCAACGACTAAGAGTGTTCCTTTAGGAATAGGTTGATTTACGAATAAGCCCAATCCACCTAAGTTACTTTTTTTTCTTTCGATACTTTTGTGTTTAAAGTTATTAAATTTTTCAAAGGAGAATTCATCTTGATTCACATATTGGTTTAGTAGGGAAATTAGATCGAAATTGCCAGATAGATGTTTTATCATGAGTTCACATTCGACTAATTTGAATACTATATCTTTATCAGTTTTATGATTTGGAAGTGACTCAAGCAATTTCTTGGCATCATTAGGGTTCTGCAATTTAAGGTAACATAATGCTTACCTTTGAATGGCTTTCTCATTTTGAGGGTTCAGTTGTAATACTTGATTAAGGTCATTTACAGCTTCTTAGATATAACCAAGTTGGAATAAACATTGGGCTCTATTATTGTAACATTATTCTTGTATTAGGTTCGTTTTATTGGCATGCTCATATTTGATAACCATGGAATAGGCTTCGTAGGCCAATCGATACTATTGTAATTTAAAATATTGATTTCCTGTTTCTTTTAGTTAGGCTGGATCTGTTTAGTCAATTTCTGAGTTCATCAGAGCTTGATACGTAAATTGATTGATGGCAACAACATCTTGTGAATCTTGGATAAATATTCCGAATTCAATCAGCTTTGGATTTTTAACAATTAGCCAATCATTGATTTAGTAATTGCATAATCTATTTTATTGCAGAATGGTTAAATTGAGCCATATTTCATTAAAATCTCTAACAATTAAATATTGAGTGCTATTTTTCCAGTCTATCTAATATACTTAGACAACTATGTATTAATTATTCATATTTTTATTTTCCATTAATTCTTCAACATCTATAAGTTTCATTTCTTAAATTGGTAATTTTGGTGTTTTTTCAATTTGCTAAAGAGGAGGATCGTTTTTTTAAGATTGAATTGCAAGAACATGTGCTGGGATATCTGCCATTAAGAGTGTTGTCAAATTAAGTATTTATATTATTAAGTGAAAATTATATAATTAAAGAAAATAATTAGAAATGATAATGATCTTAGACAAGTAAATCAAAAGCTTAAGAAACTAGTTTTGCATTTCATAATTCCCTCAGCTTTGTAATAAATCAAGTAATAATTAGTTTATTACTTTTTTTAAAGAAAATAATTATATTAAGGTTTTCTTTAAATATTATGATACTAATAAATAATATTATATTTAAAATTTAGGAACATATATTTATCTAAACGTAATATGGTGTATTTGCATAAAATAAAATATCTTATTGATGAATAGAATCCAACATCTTAGTACTTAAGTAAACAATTGTACTCCTGTGCCAGCCAAAAGTGACAACGATGTAGTCATCTGTGGGGCTGTGAGAACTCCTTTGACTAAAGCCAAAAAGGGCTTATTAAGGGACACTCCTCCAGAAGTATTGCTGAGCACTGCATTCGCAGGATTGTTGTAGAGAACAAAGGTTGATCCAAAGTTGATCCAAGACATTGTGGTTGGTAATGTGAATCAACCTGGCAGTGGTGCTATAACATCTAAGATGGCTGCCTTCTTAGCAGGGTTTCCAGACACCACTTGTTTGACAGCCATAAATAGATTCTGTTCTTCTGGAATAGAAGCCTGTGCTGTGATTGCTGCTAAAATTAGAACTGGTATGTTGGATATTGGAATTGGTGCTGGAGTTGAACAGATGTCTATGTATGATATGTAAAGTCAAATGAATGCTGAGTTATTAAGTGATGCTATTTTTGATCATCCATGTGCGAGAGATTGTCTCTTGGGAATGGGATAGACATCAGAAAATGTAGCTGCACAATTTGGAATCACCAGATTATAATAAGACAAATTTGCTTATGAATCTTAATAAAAGGCTTACAAGGCTCAATCTGAAGGATTGTATAAGGATGAGATTATCCCTGTCAAAACAACAATTAAGGATGGTGAAAAGACAAAGGAAGTTACTGTGACAGAAGATGATGGTATTAGAAAGGAGACTACTCTTGAAGGTTTAGGCAAATTGAAACCTGCCTTTGGTAAGGATGGATCCACAACTGCTGGTAATTCCTCATAAGTTACTGATGGTGCAGCTGCAGTCCTATTAGCAAGAAGATCTGTAGCCAAAAAATTAGGATTACCAATCCTTGGAAGATTCCTTGATTACACCGTTGCTGGAGTACCACCAGGCATTATGGGTATTGGTCCAGCTGCAGCTATTCCTTAATTATTACAAAGAAACTCCTTGAAGCCTAATGATATCTGCATCTATGAAATTAATGAGGCCTTTGCAAGTCAATCTGTATACTGTGTAGAAAAGATTGGCATTGACCCAACTCGAGTCAATCCAAAAGGTGGTGCCATAGCATTAGGACATCCCTTAGGTATATCTTTATTTATAATATTCATAGGATGCACTGGAGCCAGACAAGTCGCCACTTTATTACCAGAAATGAAGAGAAAGAAGGCTAAGTATGGTGTCATTTCTATGTGTATTGCTACAGGTATGGGTGCAGCAGCTCTAATTGAGAATGAATAAAACTGAGTTTATCATTTAATCAATTTATTTTACAATGCTGATTTTAGATTAAATAAAATTATTACTTGCTTCCTAGATAAAGCATATTTCCCATGTTAAATTCTAACTATTCGACTCCTGTCAAACATATCGTACTCACTCCCAAATAGGAACTCATTTGTAATTATAATCTGCTGATGAATCACTACCAAGAATTAGAATCCTAATCCTAGATTAATAATCAAAGTCCAGATGATTAATTAAGATATCAACAAATTATATCCAAAATAGACAAGGTTCTAAATGACATTATAAATAATATTGCTGAACTTCAAAAATCGACTTTGAAAGATTACTCTTCATTCCTGCTAGAACTAAGAACCCAAAGAGAAAATTACGGATAAAAGATGGAGAATGATATCAAAAAGTAATAAATCAATTATTTCGACGAAATCGAAAAAAAAGAATAACAAAGACAAAGTATGTATTAGTCTTCATTTAAAATTAATGACACTCCTTAATTAATACCTATAACTTCAACAATGAACAGCAATTCCAACTCTTTGCCATCTACATACTACCAATCATCGTCATTGCCTGTTCAAAAAACAAAAGACATCTAGTATTATAGTTGTCATAAATAGTTATAGAATAATTAAGATCAAAATTCAGCCTTTAAACAAATCTAACCATAATACTAATAATTACAACCATCTAATTTTAGATTCAAGACATCTCCTCCAAAACAACACTTTCCTCATCAAATCTTAAAAAGAAAAGAAGTTAATGATATTGAACCACCCCCTTATGTACATCACTAATAATAAGGAACATTGCAATCCTTGGATTTGTAGTTAACTCAACCATCGGTGCCTCTTTTTGATTAACATCAGCCATTAAACTATAATCATTTTACTTCTCCAGATTAGTCCTCCTTGTATGATGACTACGAGCAATTCATTTCCTCAGATTTATCTTAATCCCAAAATAAAAAGTATCAAAAAAAGAAGATATTTGATGATGATCAAAGTGAGAGTTTCAAAAAAAATTAACCTCATTAATCAAACATTACATTGAATTAATAAAACCGCCTTAAATAGAATGTCACTTTCAATTCAAATGTGGTACCAATTAACAATAGTATCATACCCACTAAGTCTAATACAAAGGGGAATAGATTAGACTCATAGTAAAATTATATTAATGATTTACTCGGCAATTTGGGGTATGATCAATTCTATTAATATCTTTGTTAAAGGTATCCTGTATAAAGAATCATATAAAAGTTCTATTAGAGTAAACAGAATTAAGCAGGTTTGAAATAGTAAAATTAAGCTTTAGATTTCATGTCATACATATATTGTACACAATGCGATCAATTTATTTCAATTAATTAAGCCAATAATCACACCAATTTTTGCATGAGCAACAAATCTCATTTGCAAAATCAGTAGAGGAAGTATTTGGATTATTTCATTTGCTGTAATGGATCTTTAAATAATAAGAATGAAACAGAAGAACAGAAGTTTAAAAGAATTGTAAATGACTTGGCCAAGATAAGGTATTTAATGGAAATAGAATTGAAAATCAATGAACCCCTAACTGAGATTCAGTAAAAGTAGTAAGAGTATTGTTGGTTTGCTTTGGAAATCTTAAATTTAATAATAGAGAATCCACAGAATTTATCATTTAATTAATAAGTTTTGGATTTAATCAGCATTTATTAAGTTTTGGATCAATAGCAATGCAACTTCTATCAACAGTTTGTATTCTTATTACAAAAGGCAAATGCAAAACTATAGAAAATAATATGATTAAATTATATATGCTCTTAATCAATATTACTAAACTTCCAATTAAGGTAGTTGAGGATTGAGGATCTCGATTATTTATGTCTCCAATTGTTAGCACTTATCAGTGAAATTGACAAGCCATGGTATGTCTTATTCCCCAATCTATTGTATAATTAGATTTCTAAGGTGGAATTCTGCTACATTATGGATGACTGCAGTTTGGATCTCCTCATTCTATACAATATTGTATTTAATTATAAATACCTAAGGAATGAATGCAGTAGCCTTGGTATCAACCACAGCTTCTCCAAGATTTTAAGGATTAATTATCTCCTCTTCAGTTGCTTCATCCTCTACTTACTTTTCAACTCTAGTTTTTCCTGATTTTGGATGAAATCGTAGAGATTCCATTCCTGGCAATAATTTAACAAGGCATGGAATCTTTTGAAAATCTACTTATCCTTTAATTTTTGACCATTTGACCTTGGGTCTATTTTCAAAAAGGTTTTTAATAACCAAATCTATAATTTGATTCACATTCTGAAGGAATCCAAATGATGCCCAATGTTATTATAAACTATAGACAATGTTAGATTTGATGGCATTTTCGATTCCCTAAGTTAATTATTCTGGTAGGTTGGCTAGAGTCAATTCAGCTAAGATTGTAATTAATAAATGATACGTTCAATATCTGCTAGCATTTGATCAATTTAATCTCTTAATCCAACTTCAATGATGGTTCCTTCTGGTAATGCAGCTATTGAATTGGTAATCAACTCAGAAATATCTTCAATTGTTTCTCCCACTTGTTGTAAAGCGTTAATAATGATGACAAATTAACCAATTATACCTCCCAAATAACCAATAGTATTAGTTCCTTGATAATAGCCATCAACATCAGATATCAGATTAAACCATTCTTTTTCTTCTCCCTTGGTAATCATTTACTCATAAACAGTCTCTTTCAATTTCTATCTTCTTTCCTTTTCCAATCTAATTTTTCTTCTCTCTCTTCTTTATGCATCTGCTTCTTCTTTAGCTATTCTTTGCCTCTCTCTTTCATCTAGTATTGATTATCTTCGACTTCTTTCTTTAGATAATGTTTTGGTGTGTAATTAAAACATGTTATCATCAATGTTATCTAACATTTAGTTGTATTCCACAAGGATATGATTAGAATTCAGTAATTCAGTTGTCACATCCTAGTAAATCCAAGGTAGATATTCAGATATTAATTGTATTTCGACAGGATCTCTGAAATATCCACTGAGGTCCAATTGTTATAATGCCAAATTAACGCATTTAGATAGATATTTCTTAGCTGATGCTCGACTGACTAATTTTTCATGCGTCTTAATATCCCTCTACTTTTAATTATGGAATTGCTATTTTAATTTAATATTTTCATTGTATAACTGTTATTCTTTCCTCTCCAACCTATCCTATTCAGCCATTTCCATTTGCTTTAATTTTTAATAATGCTCCTACTTCTCCTTCATCTCTCTAAGCTCCTCTTCTTATAATACTTCCATTCGACTTAAATCCAAAGTTTTTCTGACCAATACTTAAAGAATGGGTATCAGCTTCATATTCAAAATTAAACAATTCCCCGTCATCCCACACTTGAGTTTCTTCATCTATTCCTGTCTTCTCTCTCATGTACAATCTAGGCACAACTTTCTCGATTACGAATTCTGTTTGAGTTTCTCTTAGATGTCTAGGCGGTTTGTCAGTTAACTCTTCAACATTGGGGTCAGTTTGTGTTTCCTCGTCATGGATAGTTTCATCCTCCTTCTTCTCAGTCACTACTTTAGTGTTTTGAATCCTCTTTATAGTTGTCTACATAGTTGGCTCTGATTTATTCAAAACACTTGAATATGTATTCCCTCTAATGACCCTCTTATCCCACATAATGTTGCAAGCATCCCTGTCCTCTCTGTACTTCATCTTCTAAACCACTCTAGGTGGAGCATTGAATTCATAATTCTCTTATAATAATTCAGTGGCCATATTAATTATAATATTAATGGATGATCATATTTAATAAGCATGGCAATTCTACAGAAACCTCGGATCCCCTAAATTCATCTGTATCTCCATCAACTTATCATAGGTGCTCCAATGGTGGATTAAAGTGAACTCGCATTTAGAATGCAAACTCGAAAATATGGAACCACATTAGCCTACACTCCCATGTTGCACAGTCGAATCATGACTGAGTCCAAATCATACAAAGATGAATTCTTCACCACTTGCCCAGAAGACAGACCTTTGTTTGCCTAACTATGTGGACATGATCCACAAGTCATAATTAAGGCAGCATTAATGATCCAGGATCAATGTGATGCCATCGATCTCAATTTTGGTTGTCCTCAAGGAATTGCAAGGAAAGGTCTTTATGGAGCCTTTCTTTTAGAAAAGAGAGAATAAGTTCTGTAAATTCACTCATTTAATTCATAGAACCATTGTGAAAGAATTAAAACAAAATATTAAGGTTCCAGTTACTTGCAAAATTAGAGTATTCAAAGATAGGAAGAGAACTCTTGATTTAACCAAAGACATTCAATCAGCTGGATGTTCTATTCTTACTGTTCATGGTCGAACTAAGGAGCAAAATAAAGATTTTGTTGGCCAATGCGATTGGAACATTATTGCAGAAATCAAACAACTACTTCAAATCCCTGTATTTGCTAATGGAGGCATCTACACCTGGTCTGATGTTGAAAGATGTCTTCAAGAGACTAAAGTAGATGCAGTCATGTCTTCTGAAGCTCTCTTAGAAAATCCTGCTCTGTTTTCAGGAGAAATTAAAGATTTAAATGAGTTGGCTCTGGAATACATGCAACTTGCCAAGTAATATGATGCCAGATTGGTTGAAATCAAAGCTCATCTATTTAAACTCCTTTACACAGGATTATAGATCCATACTGGTAATCCAACTATCTTATTATTTAGACCAAAGATCTAAGTTAGCAGCTGCTAAAACCTATGAAGAACATCTGGAAGTTGTGATAGAATTAAAAAATAAGAGAGCTGATATTCCAAAGGAAGATAAACTTGGTTGGTATAAAAGATACTAAAACTTTAAATAACCTAATTAAAAAGATAAGGAAGATGATAAATAAGAAAATATTATCTAAGAACAGGATCTGTTGCTATAAAATTATGATTCATGATGTAGATACTATGAATGTAAATTGGGAATGATTGTTTATAAGTAACTTAATTGATTTGATAATGAACTATTTTGACTCTATTTTATTTTCTTGGTTATGATTTGTTCACTTAAATCTACAGGCACACATTGAAAACTATATTATTACAAAATTCTTAATCAATTCTTTCTATTGAAAAATAAGGAAATTTTTGGGAACAAAGCTACGTTTACTTTAACTATTATTTATTTGATTAATTATATAAATAATTTTATTAATTATGTCTAGAAATTATTTTAAATAAAAAGTATTGCTGACTTTTGGATATAATGGAGCAAATTACCATGGCTTACAAATCTAAAAGGGAGTCGAGTTTGAGACTGTGGAATCAAAGCTTTTCCAAGCTCTAAAAGATTCTGTAATTAGAGTATTTATAGTAGAATTTAATCATGGAGTAGAATGCAAATGATTTATCAAAATCTGGATGGAGTAGAGGAGCAAGAACAGATAAAGGGGTTCATGCTTTATGTAACTCAATTGCAGTTAAATTATGCATAAATAAGGAATTCTTTAAAGATGAAATCTAATAAAATGAGGAGGAAATAGTATCAAAGTTAAGGGACAAACAAAAAGTGGATTATTCGAAGGTCTTAAATGTGATTAATTCCAATTTGCCTAATGATATTAAGGTGCATTCAATAAAATTGGTGACTCAGGGATTCGATGTTAGAAAAAATGCAAGATATAGATTCTACGAGTATATTGCTCCGGTTTCCATTTATTCAGATAAGAAAGGAGAAGAGATTTTGGAAAAGGTGAGCAATTTAGTTAAGAAATTTGTGGGAACTCACAATTTCCACAATTACAGCAGAGGGATGAAATACACTGATCCTTAATCGATGAGATATATATTGTCAATCTAAGTCGAATTGTTCAAATGTTAAGATAGGGAGTTCTTCAAATTTTTGATTCATGGATAAAGTTTCATTTATCATTAGATTAGAAAGATGATGGGAATTGTTATTCAAATATTTTAAGAGGAATTACCTGATACCTTTATTGATAACACATTTTTCAAGAATCAATTAAGAATTATCTTGGCACCTGCTGAAGGACTGTTCCTTAATCGCATAAGCTTTGAAGGATACAATACAAAATTCGATATTCCTTAAAGATTGGAAATAGAGGAGGAAGACCAAATCAAGATTGATCAATTTAGACCAAGTAACATTAATGTATATCTTTAGCTATTGTTGATTTTATTTGCGAATAGGAAATTAAAAATTAAACATTCACTAATTGGTTGAAGATTTTGAAGGAAAAGAATTTCAATATCGAAGAGGAAGAAGAAAATAACAACAAAGCTGAAAACGATGATTGATAATATATATTCAAAATGTAGAATAATTTTTAACTTATTATTATATCAATAAAATAACTTAAGTTCCTTATAATCAGATAGAATTTTATGATTTTTAGTACACTCTGAATTTAATCTGTAGGCTTCATAAAAATTTGTACAATTTTTATGTAAGTAGTCTCTTATATATACGTAAAATTAAATCTAATAGGAGGTTGATTTATATCTCTTTAGTAGAAGTAATATAGATAAATAATTGGACAACAATGAAAATATTGATTTAAAAATATATAGAAGTATTTATAATTTCATGGATGGTTTTCTTTGTATTTATTTTTGATAAATTTTTAGAAATAAAGTCCAAGAATCATTCATGATTACACTTAAAATATATTTTGGAGGCCCGAATTATTAAAATTATTTGAGAGTCTATTCTTTATACTACTTTTTTTGGTTTTCCATCTTGAAATAATAAAATAATAATATATAAAAATGATTTTAGAAGCATTTCAATTTCTGGTTCATGCTCTATATTTGGCCTTAAGTTACTTGATTCCAATTTCAATGGCAGGTGGAGCTTATGCATCAAATGACAAAACAAAGATGAGCAGATGGCTGATACATTTTTTGCTTATCAATATTTTGAATCAGACTTTGTTTCCAATCTTGGCATTTATTGGATTGTGTATTAAAAATTAGTAACAATTTCATAGAGACAATGAATGACACTATAGGTGTTTGCATATTGATATTGCCAACATATGTTTCATTTGAGTCATTAGAACAATTAGTTGAGACAAATTATGTAATATATAATGATTAAAGATAGAATAGCACACTTGCCCCCAAAATGGAAATTTTAAGGTAAAAGTCTTATGTAGGATTATAAAAATTAAATTTATTATGATTATGTATTGTTAAATATAAAATGAATCCATATTATTATTGTAATCACTAAGAAATGTTACTGATTATCAACTAAACAAAATGTCAAAATAATATCTCATGTTAATATGAAATATTGTGAAATGACCTATTATTATTCCAGTTAAATTGAAAATTTCTAAAAACCTTAAATGAAATTTGATTTTGTGTATTTTCTATGACAGAGACTGTAGAGCATCTTCGTGATTTCAATTACTATAAATTGAACTCAGACATAAAGAATGTCCTTGCTGAATACATTTGGATTGATGGAACCGGAGAGAGGATGAGATCTAAAACTAAGGTATACAGGCTTATTATACTACTAGGTGTACAAAGGTCCAATCACATAGCTCTCAGATTTAGAATGGTGGACCTACGATGGATCATCAACAGAATAAGCCAATACTAAATGGTCTGAAATATATTTGAAACCTGTAGTATATGTTAAGGACCCATTTAGAGGGAGCCCACATGTTTTGGTCTTATGTGAAACCTATCTCCCAGACAAGAAGACACCAGCTAGGTATAATTTCAGGTATTTTTTGATTTAAATGCATTTCTAGATTTATTGCCAATGAAATCATGGAAAAAGCAAAAGACTTCAAACCTTGGTTTGGAATAGAATAGGAGTACTTCTTATTAAAAAGGACTGGGACTACCCATATTTGGCCTCTCGGTTGGCCAACAGGAGGATTTCCTTATCCTTAAGGAAGATATTACTGCTCGATTGGAGAGAGGAACAATTTTGGAAGAGCTTTGGCCGAAGCTCATCTAAGGGCTTGCTTAAATGCAGGACTTAAGATCGCTGGTATCAATGCCGAGGTTGCACCATCTCAATGGGAATTCTAAATTGGAATTGCTGAAGGCATTGAAATTGGAGATCATCTCTGGTTGGCCAGATACATATTGGAAAGACTGGGAGAAGAATTTGGTATTGATATTAACTATGATCCCAAACCAATATTGGGGGATTGGAATGGATCAGGTGCTCATACAAATTATTCGGACATCAAAACTAGGGGACCTGGAGGATATCGATACATAGTTGATACATTGATTCCAATATTACAGAGCACACATTAAGAAGTCTTAAAGTTGTATGGAGCCAACAATGAATAGAGATTGACAGGTCATCATGAAACAAGTTCATATGACACATTTTCGTGGGGAGATGGATCAAGAGGAGGATCCATCAGAGTACCTGTAATTACAAAAGAACTAGGAGCTGGGTATGAATGATTAATCCCTATATTTCTAGTTATTTGGAAGACCGAAGACCAGCTGCTAACATAGATCCATATTTAGTAAGTGCAGTCGTTGTTGATGTTGCCTTATTAAATAGTACCTATGTGAATCAACTTAAATAATTATTGGTTGATTCTGCCAAGCAATTGTGAAACATTATATTTTATATTTGTTATTATTATATAAATCCAATATATTAAATATATTCATCATTAATAAAAGTTACTTGTTTTCGGAGGAGTTAACAAATACGGATGAATTTACGTATTCTCCTGCTAAATGGGACGGCTTTGTTCCTATTTAAATGATCCTTATTTCACTGGATACTATTTTGGAGGTTCTATGGGTGGCTCAGTATTAGTTAAGGGCATCAAAGTCTGATTTTGTTATGGCTGTATGAATTAATTATACATTGGTTATATTGGTTCATTGGGAGGATATTGAGGATAACCTCTAGATATTTATTTCATAACTGGCACTTTTTTCAAAGAGACAAACTTTGCCAAATCAATGTTTAACTCATATAATGCACTTTAATCTAATATGATTTCAGGAACGCATTTATTGAACTACTTCATAAATTAATTCGATTCATGATAGTACTCCTCATTTTCTTAAGGGAGATTAGATGTGTAATATTTAACAAGAGTCTTCACACATCTTTCTGTGTTGAGTTTTTCCAATAGACTCATCAATGTCTTCCATCTTTGTTGCAAGTATTTACTAAAATTTTAAGACTGATTAGTCATAAATCCTCTATTTCCCTCTATTTCTTAGGCCAGTTCTGCTTCCAAGGTATTGAAGAAGTTATCAATGACTTGATAGCATTGTTGTCTCGCTTGTTTGACTTTGTCCATGTAGTAATTGATCCCTTCGTTTAATGCTGTTACTTTATTCAACTATCCCATTTCATCCACAAATCTATTGCAATTTGAAGCCACAGATTGATACACCTCTGTCAGACAATTCTCAAGAGTGTCGAAATCTCCATATGTATTGTATGCTTGATGTTCTTGAGAATGGATTTTAACGCACTAATAATTTTACATTATTCCTTACTTGTGGACATAGGGGCATTTAGCAAGTTTGGCATCTGCAAAACATAGTTATGTACTGATCAACATGATAATGGCAATTCACTTTAGGCATGCTTTCATAAGTGAATTGATAATTGGGAGCAATTTTTTATGGAAAATTATTAGAACTAACAAAACCTTTCTAAAAGAATGTGGATTGCTGAAGTTGCTATGACTTATTAGGAGTTAAATTGAATAATCTATTTTCTTTCTTCTGAGAAGCCATTTTAAAAATATAATTTAACGAAAAAAAAATAATAAAATAAAGCAACCTAAATATGTTTTATAAATTAAAGGAAAAAGAATTATTTATTATCATAGACCTATTCAATTTCAATATCTATTTTTCATTTAAATTCCAAGCAACAATTAATATTCGTAGTAATATGTATAATTTCTTTAAAACTATAGATTAATTTGGAATTGAATAAAAACTCTCTATCCCTTCAATAAATCCCACTCAAAGAAGTGCAATAGGAGGAATGGCCACATTGACATTATATGGAATTAGTTTTGCTTACTTCCTATACGAATTTGTAGATTGGTAGTAAAACAATAAACTTCCAAAAATTACATCATTACAAAGATAAATCAATTAAGCTGAGAATGTTTATGTAGATGGAGTATTTGCTGAGGTATCTCACCTTGCCTTTAATGAGAACAAAATTGATCCATTCGATCCACAAAATTTAATTTTCTATCCAATCTTAACTACTTAAACTAATAATAAAGATGAGGTACAGTTATTTTTAATGTTTAGAACTAAATACTTAAAAGTAGATTGGACAATTCAGTCTAAGAAAATGGACATTCAATTAACAAATTTCTTCTAGAAAACACTAACTTTATTGGTTCACCTCCAACGGCTTCTCAAATTCAATATGTAGATTATCAGATCCTTTTTGGGTTTTGTGATCCAGATGCTTTAGATGTGGGATAATAATGTGCTGATAAGGACACGATCTTAAAATTTCAAGAACAACAGAACTTTTTCCAAATTTAAATCTATATTTAACAATACGACACAAAATAAAAGTAGCTTATAAAAATACCCAAATTTTATACTCTTGATATTTCAACTGAAAAAATGTAATACTGCTCATTTAATCTATAAGCAAATTAAAATGATGTTGATGATGGATTTTTATTTTCCAACTCAAATCAGTAAATTTTCTTCTCTGATTTCGTTATGTTTACTAATTCCTATGAAATCTCATAAAGTGAAAAGGTTTATGGATAACAGTCAGTTTTGGTTGCCTATTTCACAATAGATCAAATTAAATCAGTTGTTTATATCGAATATCCTAAAATATCAGAAATCCTTGCCAATGCAGGATCTATAATCACATGGATCCTTTAAATATCCTTTATCTTCATAAAATACAATGAAATGATATGCACTCACAACGCCAGAAAAGATGTCATTTCTATGTTTTATGCCGACTATGCTGATTTCAATATAACCACTAATTGGTTGGGTAAAATGACATAAATAGGGTTAAAAGGAAAAAATTATAATATGATGAAGGTTAATTCATTTTTTGAGAGTTTGCATTAGATTGCTGATTAAAAAATGAGTTACATTAACTTATAATTTGAAGTCTCAAGGTAATTATTGTTATCAAAATAAATAGAATTTAATTAATCTTGCAAGAATATTTGGGAATTGATTAAATGAAAAAATGTTTATAATAAAATCATAAATTGGAACCAATACTGGATAAAATTGGACTACATGAATGTCCTTAGACAAAAAAGCCTCTTAATTAAATTGTAATTTAATGAATTTATTAAGTAACCTTAAGATATATCGAATGATAACTTAAAGCGATAAGATTAATCAGAAGGAGAATTGATGATGTATCAGGAGAATATACCAGAGGAAGATTTAGATTAACATATAGGATTATTTCTAATGAAGGAAAATGCTCAATATACCCAAATTGATAATAATCAAAGTATGTTACCTCAAGCAGGATCCTAAATTGATTTAAAAATCAGAAACATCGAAAAATAGCCATCTTCAATAAGTTGAGATAGTTGTAAAAATACTAATGATGATTCGAATAAACTATATAATTATAAAACATTTAGAAATGAATAACTTTTTGTCATCCATAGATTAATTTGGAATTGAAGAGCGAGTCCTCTTCTAAAGATCAATATCAACAAAGAGAAGTGCATTTGGTGGATTCATGACCTTGTTTCTCTACGGGATCATTCTTTCATATGGTCTATATTAATTTATTGATTGGATTGAGAACAATAAGTTACCTAAAGTCACTTCAACCTCTAAATAAATTAATCATTCAGAAACTGTTCAGGGCTTAGGCAAATTCTCAGAGATTTGTTACCTTCAATAAATGTCCAATCGCATAGATCCTTTCAATCCAAAGTAACTTATATACTACCCAATCTTAATAATAAATCCTTCACAAGTATGTAGTTCACTATTATATTGTAGTAATAAATTGACGGTATTGCATTTGAATAAGAAATCTTAGATAGTGGTAAAACTGTTAATAAATTTGTTTTATATGATATCGAATTAGTAGGATCTCCACTTTAATCTTAATAATTAGCTTAAAAAGACTATCAATTGACATTTAAGAGATGCAATCCTGATAAAATATAGTAGGGAATGCAATGTGCTGATGAAACCACCTATAACCTATACAAGGAATAATAAATCTATTCTAGATCTAAATTTATATTTAGCAATTCAATATCAAAACAAAACAGTTGGACAAGGTTCCAAAGTTTTATGTTTTAAATATGTTGGAGGATAAATTGATGTTTTATAATTTTTAACTTGAATGTAGCCTGATTTCAATAGATGATGGAATCTTATTCCCTAATTCTAGACAAGAAATATTCTTTCATAATATGTAGTAACTAGTTTAATCATATGATGCAGATTATACAAATAAGTTTTTTTCTAAGGACATAGTGATGATCTTATATTATACCTTGGATTAGATTAAATAAGAGACACTTTATGAATATCCGAAAATATCAGAAATTCTTGCCGATACAGGTTCCATAGTAAGTTGGTTTTTCACATTATCTTATTTTGTGACACTATATAATAAAGAACTTAGTATGCAAAATATCATTACAGAAGTTATATAAATGTACTATAATGATTTTAAAAATTTATCAATTAAGAAAAATTGGTATGGGAAAATAAATGAAATTTCATTTAAGGACAAATCTTGTGATATGGCTAAAATGCAAAAACTTTTAAAGAAATTAGAAGAACTTGCAATTTAAAAATTAGATTAAAAAAGTATTTTGCTTGAATTATCGAAGTAATAAAATTTAAATTAAAATAGATTATAAAATTTATTGGTCAGATAATTGGGATAGGAGTAAATATACTAATAATTAATTCAATCTTAAAAATTAGAGTCTCTAATTGATAAATATGGATTATTAGATCAAAAAGACAGCTCTCATTTTGCTAATTTAATAGTAAGAATAAATAGATTATCCTAAGTTCCCCTAAGGAGAATTATCAAATATGAATTTAAAGCAGCAAGAGGGTTTAGAAGGTGAATCTAACCTAAATATAGAACAATCACTTGAATAGGAATTAGAAAAATAAGTTTGTCTGTTTTATTACCTAGATAATTTAAAAATATAAATTGAAGACAAAACATTATTGATAGATTTTAAAGACAATCATCAAATTCAAAAATTCAATTCTAATGTATTACGTGTAGAACATTTTTCATCATTTCAATGAGTTTACTTTTTTTTTAAATATATAATTTGGTACAAAGTTATGCAAATTTTTGTTTTGTTTTATATCATGATTAAATAAAATATTAGCATATTTATTATTATTATTTCTTTGAAAAGAAGATTCTAAAAATGCAATCGATAGATACCTTTTAAATTTTATAAAAAATTATATAGATGAATTATGTTATTTGGATAATTAAATTTTAATATAATTTTTTAATAAAATGTTATGTTTCAATCTAATTTATAAATGAAACGAAAAATATATGATATTGAAATCTCAAAATCGATATTATAATTGTGATGCTCATGTCATAAACCTATTAATGGAGCTGTTAAAAGAGAAACCAAATTATAATTCCTAAACCTATTATTATGTACATTTTTTTAAATTAACATACGATGTTGTTACACTCATTCTTTTCCTGAAATTATATATAGAAAGCTAATCCTCTCTGAATTCCTGATAGAATAAGCAGAAATATAAAATAATAAAAGGGATTTTTATGTTGAAAATCAAGTCAATGAATAAATGACCAGAAATATAATTATCATTATAATATTCCTTAAGTTTTAATGTATTTATGATACGCGGGCAATTCTTTTTATAATTCAAAAATTCGCAACATTAATTAAGAAGCCAAACAATTTCTACTCTAACAATTAGAATGAATTATTATATTTAACTTTTATATAAGTACCTCAACTTAAAGTATGAGAATGTTGGTTAATTAAATTTTCTTATCCTTTTAATATATGTTTTCTATTGAATTATTACTAACAATTTGTCAGTTATATCGGGTTGTAAACATCATGTAAAAGTTTGAAGATTTTAATAATTTTAAACATAAGATTTAATATTTTGTATTCATGAACAATTCACAACAACAATTCAAGAGAGACTTTAACATTGTTACAAATATGAAAGCGTACTTCCAAAATAATATTCGATAATTAATATAACCATTTGAAGAAGACCCTCAATTAGGGATTTCTTCAAATTCAGACTATGTTTTAGTACCAGATTTAAAATGTATGGTGTTTAACTTAGTTGATCTCTAGAGAAATGAATTCGATTAACAAAGTTTTAATCCATCTATTTATATACCTTCGTCAACAGATGCTTCAAGTATAGAATTTATAAATTTTTTAGGTAATAAATTCCCTGAAATTTTATCAAGTTAAGGTTATGAGTCTATTTCCTCAAACTCTATAGAGGAAGAATTTTGAATTAATTAAAAAGAGATTGAAAATAATCAATGATACACCTTTTCACTAATTATTACTATAAACAGAAAATATTCAATTTAATTTACTAACTTTCAATTATTTATTGTTGTATTAATTTTATTCATTATTTCATAATCTATATCGTAAATCAAATTATTTATGTTGATTTTTATGGGTCTAGAAAATATTTAAACAGATCAATTTTATCTTCTTGTTTGACAATTAGGTTCAATTTCTACCAACTATTTTTGATTTTAGCTTCATCATTACTGTTTACTTTTTTTAATACAATTTTCAAATCTGGAACACTTTTGAATATTCTAGAAATGAGGAGCTAATATGTTATTGAAATAACATAACATTTTATTGCTTGAATTCTATAACCTTTATATATGTTTTGATATAATGACAAACAAATTTTCATCTCTTTTAAACTTATTATTGTACTCATCTATATGTATTTTTAGATCATCTAAAGAGTTTCTAACAAATTAATATCAAATAATTTTGTTCATTCTAGACTCTCTAAAAATTTGAATACAAATTTTAATTCCTATTATAAATATTTTAATTTTACATGAAATCAAAATCATTAAGCTCATCCTAAGGTAAGCTAATAACCTTTTATATTAGTTTCAGAAGAAAGTGATCATCAAATGCTTTTCAATCGAAAATGAAAAATGATCTCAATTAAACAAAATAATCTATAAAATTTAATTCTATAATCATTGCATCTTCAAGAAATACCTAACTTTTTTCCATTTATTTAAATTTATGTTTTGTTTTAACCTTTTAAATTCAATTATTTTTTGGGTAATATAATTTTTTTATAGAAAGTCAATTATTTATTGATAATTATTTTAATTAGCATTAAGAATAAAAATAATGATTATTTATAATTAAATGTTTCTGGTATAAAATTGAAAAGTACTTTATAAATAAAACAAATTTTAATTTTAAAACTATATGCTAAATGACTTATCAATTACATTAAAGTTACGGAAATATTCTAAACTGTGATATTTGATTGGATTTTTAATTCATTTTGGAACCCAGATCGAATGAAAAATGGAAAAAAATTTCGATAAAAGGTTCTTTGATTTAGAAAAATTATATAGGAATAAGAAGAATGTCAAGATTAAAAAAGAAGTATTCATTATTCCTTCGCAAGGATTTTGATTACCCTTTTTAGTGATATTTTAGTAGAGACTTATATTTGATTTTTATTTAAAAAAATTAATATAAAAATTTCAATTAATGATTCATTCTAGTGATCATAATCAACGACGGAAAAAGAGAGCATTATTTAAACATTAAGCTGGACCTTTTATTATATTTTTTACTGTACTAATGCCAACAAATTGTGTGATTTTAGAATAGTTTGTATCAATTATGAAAAGATTAGTATTTCGATTTGAAAATGGATCCTACAACTTAAATAATAAGCGGAATTTTAGTTTATCTTTCTTATTCCTTGGCTATGTGGTCATATTACTAATCGATTACAATAAAAAATAATACTATAGATAAAGCTATCCCTATTTAAGATAATAGAAGAATTGACCCTTTATATAAAAATACTAATTCCTGTCTTGAATGTAACCAATGGAAACCTATACGAACTCATCATTGTTCACTTTGTGGAAAATGCATATTAAAAATGGATCACCATTGCCCTTGGATTCATAATTGCGTAGGTTTAAGAAATCATAGATCCTTTTATCTCTTTGCAATGTATATGACTGTATAAATTTTCAAATATATTTAGATTGGAGCCATGTAATATAGCTATGCATCATGGGTTTATTTTAGATTTTTGTTTCGAAGCAGTGAAGGCTTCTTTGCACATCAATCTACCTTCTTTTATATTTATTGGGGTTTAACAAGTCTAGTATTATATCCAACATGTGCTATGTTATGCTTCTTATTCTTTTATCATACTTCATTAATCCTTAACAATTAGACGACATTAGAATAAATGAAAAGTGGTTCAAATGGGAATTGTTGTATTCAAAGTGATAGACCTCCTAGACATATTAACTTATTCGATAGAGGTACTCTATCTAACATAGCATGGTTTTTTAATTATTCGTATTTTTGGTTTCTTCCTTTTGAGAACATTTATAAAGAAGATGGTAAAAAATATTCTAAAATAAGGTACTAAATATCCAATATCTCCACTTTGTAATCTTTAGGACATCTAGATCAACAATCCTTCAATACCACTTGTCCAAATTCCTGAGTAATAATTTGATTTTGATAAAATTGATTAAAAATATGAAGAATATCTAGCTTTTGCAAAGCTAAAATACAAAAATAAAAGACTGGTCTTAATTGGAAAGGAAATATAACTTAGTTGATATTAATCAAATTAGATAATAATTTATTTAATTTCTTAGATGTATTCTAATTATTGTATTACATTATAATTTGTCTATATTTCATAATTATATAAGCCATCAATTCATTGCGGATTATCATTACTCTTTTTCACACTATACTCAATTGCATTAAAATAATTATTAAAACAAGTTGAAACACATTTTTCAGAGAATTATAGAGATTTATCAAAACATTAAGAATGGCATAATTTTGTCAAGTTTCTAATAGTTTATCCTACACATAACAATTTCTCTTTATCTGATTCACTTTATGGGTCAAATCGATAGTTTTTAAATATGTCATAGTCTTATTTGGTTATGTCCCTATAAAAATTCATTTTTATAATTAATTATCAAAATTAAAATATTATTTAAGGTTGTATTACTCTTTTTTGGAATTAAAAACAACTTTAAATGAAAAAAAATGACAAGAAATTCTTATTTGAAGGTTAGAGATGATAAAAGAATTAAAAATAATTAGTTTGCCAAATTAATTTACTGAATTATTATTGCTTTTTCAATCAACAAAAGCTGAAGTTAAATAATGGTTAAAGATACTGAAGGAATAAAAAAAGAAACCTATTTATTGATTTATTTCATCAATTTTTGGAAACGAAATATTTGCATGTGGGTTTAATTCAATGAGATGAATTCGAGTTAAAAAGATATCTCCTTTCAATAATTCAAAAAAGCCATTAAAAATAAAAAATACAGTTATTTCTAATTTTTGATATGATGAAGGAGGAACATTATTGATTCATTTGTTTAAAATAAAATACCTTTAAATAAATATTATTTAGTCATTATTAATATAATATCAATCCAACATTATTGAAAGCTTAGATGAGTATACTATCAAAGCACCAAATACAGAATTTGAAAAGATAGATATGATAAATTAATAATAATTCATTAAAATAGTTTATTTACTAATCTTTTTTATGAATGAGACATTACTCTACTAGCTGAATGAGAGTCTCGGAGATCTACACTGTTATCTTACCTTGAGAGAATTGGTCTTGTTTTGATGCGAAAATTTTGTCCAAAAGTGAGATTTAGTGGTTGTGTATTTTAAATATTATGCTATGATAATTTTCTGTGGATTTTTTCATTTTAACTCACTCTTTAGCGAATAAGTTTTATATTAAAGTTTTTGATAATATCCTTTGCCTTATCAGAATCTATATTAAATTATTGTTTTTTTGATATCAAAATAGGAAGAGCAACTCCGCTTCTCTATTTATTTTGTGCAGGCTCTTCTACACTGCGATGAGTTAGATTTATTTTTGGTTCTAATGATGGTTTATGGACCAACATTTTTACTTAGCGTATCAAATTACTCTTTTAAGTTTTATTTTCTCCTTGCAGCAATTCCTTGAATGCAGCAGTCTATTGAAATTACATATGTAAAATAATAATATTTTATATTCAAGTTGCAGAATGAAAGAATAAAGTTTATCCCTTTATTAATGATTAAAGAAATGAAGAGGCCTTCTGATATTAAGCTAAATGGAATTTAGAATCCTATTTTAAAGTAAAACAAATTTTCTTATTTTTCTCTACTACATTAAAGATTTATTTTCATTAAATTGCTTCATATCTTATTGTAAAATATTCTTGAAATAGATTTCAAAATAATTATATTGAGGTAATGTTATTCCCATTATGTTATGCAATCAGAATTAATTAAAATTTGCAATTTTAATACTTAAAAATTAATAATCTCTTTATATTCTTGTTTATATAGAAATGAAAAAGGTAAAGTACAAGACAAATTTGATTGGTTTTTTTGGATAGAATGGAAGAATAATATTAAAAGTAATAAATAATCATTAAATCAAAAAGATTATCATCGATAAACGTTAAGAAATCACCTTGTTATTGTTATGATATTTGTTTTCCTTATTCTATTAGTGTATGTAATATAATAAATTCTTTCTTATTTTTTCGAATGTTAAATTCTTTGAACAGTTAATCTCTTATAAGTTTAGAGAGTTGTTTAAGTATTTATAAATTGATTCTTTTAACTATTAAATAGAATTATTTGCTTTAAGAAAGAAATCATCTCTATTTTTATTAAGTTACTCCTCATAATACTCACCTTACTTTTACTTTTTATCAGAATATAAGTTTATATCTTTTGAAATTAATTGTGAGGCTTTCGGGTTAAAAATGTTGCACGATCATAACAACTTATATCAATAAACATTTTATAATGTTTATTTAATATAATATTTACCAGGAAATGTTATCCATATTTTCATTTTGGAATCAGGGTCTCATCATCAACATTATTGAATTCATCAATCAAGCATGAATAGAGAATCCAATTTTAGGAATTGTTTATGAAACAGTTTAAGGGAAGTTCAATCAAAATTTTAATTTTCCTTTTGACATATATTCAACGTGATATGAGAATTAGCCCATTTCATTTTATTGTGTTTTGCTTATAATTTTAACAAATTTTTCCAATATATTGATACTACCATTTTTGGGTGTATTTATAATTAATGTCTATTTAAAACCACTATTCAAATGAGTTAACAAATAAGATTAAAGTCTACAGTATTAATTCTTGCCAAAGGATCTTTTGAGACTTTTTGATGATCATTTCACTCAAAAAATTGGATGATCAAGGACTGAGTAAAATTAGATTCATATTTAAAAATAATTATTTTAGATAAGTTTAAAAATGTTGTTAGGATTTGGGTATTTATACATTAATGGTTCTTTCATTTTTGAATAAATATGATAAGTTTGAATGAAAAGGGATAGGATAGTTATGCTGATATTTAATTTTGAATAATAATATAATAAAATTATTATAAATAAAAAATGGAAGATTGTTTATTTGAGATTAAGGGAGCAGGGTAAATAACTATTTAATTATAAGTACCTAACAAACAATTCAAAAGTAAATGGGAAATGACGCATAGAGTGATGATCAAAATATTGTGATTAATGATAATGATGAGTTGATGCCTTTGTTTAAAGTGAATGTGGACGAGGTTTAACGAATTTTGGAGACAATCAGGTCCAATATCGCCAAAATTGAAGAACTAAAGAAGAGCTATACAAGTGCAACTAGATCAGAGGCTGAGAAAGGTTGGTATAATTGAATTAAATTATATTAAAGATGTAAGCACAAAGTTGGAGAGGATTATCTCATAAAATAATCAATAATAAGAAAGATTGAAGAAACTAATGGAATAAGTAGCTCAAGATGTGGAAGAGGCGAAGGAGAAGGATCCTGATGAGCCTGAAACAAGAATGAAGATGGATATATGGGCTGCAGTAAACTTGAAAGCTTAGGCTGTATTGTAAGAGAGTCAAAAGGCTCAATTAGATTTCCAAAATAGTATGAGGAACAAAATAAAGAGACAAGCAGGCTGTTTAGATTCAAATCTAAATGAGAATCAAATTGATGAATTGTGTGATGATCCAAATGTATGATTTATTTGATGTAGAAAATGCAAGAACTACTACAAAAGAAAATCTATGGGTAAGCCTCGATTCAATTATAAAACGCTGTTCAAGATATTCAGGAGAAATATCAAGACATTGTTAAGCTAGAGAGAGTATACTTAAATATTAACTATTAAAGAGCGTTCAATAGGTGTATCAACTCTTAGTGGATATGGCAGTGTTGGTCAAGAACCAAGGGGAATTGATTGATAATATAGAATAAAACATGGTAAAAGCAAGAGATTACGTTAAAAAAGGAGAGGCTCAATTGGTGAAGGCCAAGAAGGATCACTAAGCTGCTAGAAAGGTAAAAATACAAATAAAAATACATTATAGAAAATGTGCTGTATCATTATGATTGGACTGGTTTTAATTTTGGTTATTGTTGGTCCTATTTTAGGAACTTCCTTATGAATTGAAAAATTTATATATATATCTATAAAGATTTATAGGACTTCATATTTTAGTTTGAGATCAATGAAAAATTTAATATAAAAATAAAATTACTTAATTCATTTGATATTCATGAATCTTTATTAAAGTGAATAGCTATATACAGTGCTGAGTCCAACTGCAGCACTTTTAAGTAAGTTAAAAGTGATTTTGATCCCATAAAGTTTGAATGGGTTGTTTCTTGAATCATATTGAATGATTCTAATATTATCATCCAATTCTTGAATGATAGATTTAATGACTTCCTCAACTTGGCTTTCGTTTTGTAACAGTTATTTGAATTTCTTGTGAATGTAATTTTAAGGTTCTTTGTTCTACTCAAAATAGACTTCCTTCATTCTCAAGAGGTCTTAATATATAGACTTAACATCTTAAAGAGCTACTTCACATTGATCCAAATAGGTGTTCAATTTAGCACCTAAGAAGAGATAGTAGGCTGTAAAGCCTAGAATCATGATGGCTAACTCACCTAGTAAGATGAGTTGAAATAGATCAAGGTGTGCAAAATCCAAAATGAGTAATAAAGAAAGGAATATCAATACAATAAATCCTAAGAAACAGAGAGAGTAAAAGCCTTATGTTCTGAGATTGTATGTTTGACCATAATCAAATGAAATTGCTCTCATCATTGACCAGGCTTGCCATGTAGTAATATTATTGAAGTTTAGGGTTGGCAATAATTTAACTTTTTCAATCTAATCTGGCCTAACCTTAATTATCAGTAATAGTTATTCCAGTAAAAAGAACTTCCTATTAAAATCATAGAAGGCCTAATGAAAGAAAATGTTGCTGCCCCAAAATCCAATAAATGAAGAGATAACATTTAATACTTTAATATATTTAATACAGCTATACCCATTCTAAACATGTCTAATGCTTCAACTGAATCAAGCAAATCACCTATTCTCAACCACATTGGAGTTGTAGAAAGTACAAACGCTTCGAGGAGACATAAGTACATATGAGTATTCGCTGAATTTTTTGTTTGATAATGATTTACCAAGTATCCAAATAGCTGAAAACCAGAGTATTCTTCGTCATCCAAAGTGATTCCTGTATCTTTGAAGTAGTTTATATCCACTTTAGCAATGGCAACCTTTGTTTCCTAATGAGGCTACACTATAAAATCCATCTTAAACAGAGAAATCTCAAATTAGTAACGCTGAAGAGAACGATAAGGTTCCAAAAAAAGAATCTTGGGAGATTGTTCTCTCCATTCTCCCATCATCAAATCAAATGAAAACACTTCTTCTGGTAGTAAAACATTCTTGTATAAGTTTATTATGCTTTTACTAAATGTTGCATACTTGGCTGCTATTACAACACTTCGAATGGTTAATGCATACCATAGGAATAAGATTTCTGTAAGAGTGATTACACTTTCATTCCATAAAAAATATCCCAGACCTCCTAAAACCGACCCTATCCATAAGAGAGCTTATGTATAAAAAGCCATTGAATTGCCATAAAACTTCATGTTCTTCATCAGTGTCATGCCTGGCCATATACTAAATAATATCACCATAAAGGGTCCCAATATTATGAAGAAAATCTAAATTCCAAAATTAAAAGATTACCTAATGGTATAAAAAAAACTCTATAAAAGCATCCCAGTTCCATTCCCCTTTATATCTTTCCATTTATTCCTTCTAAATTTTATCTAAGGAAACAGTTTGATTAGTGATTTCCCATTACCTTTTTTCATATAAAAACTTTTCTTCATCATTGACAGTAACTAGAGCTTCATCTGCTGGATGTACTACCGAAATCTTGAGGGATCGCCGATAAGTATTAGTATTAGATTTTACAATAGAGGAAACATGGTTATTATTGTTTTCCATTTTTAAAATAAATAAGTATTTTAAAACAAAGTACCAATAGAGAATATATTATATATTGAATTTAATGGTAATAATCAATAAATTCTGATATTGATATTCTATTGAATAGAGATGCTAGAACCATTTCAAATGGGAATGCTGTATAGATATAAGAAAGTAGGTCGAAAGTTGGTCTAGTAAATAGTAAAAACATAAGAACTTGCTCATTATTTTGAATTATATGAACTACTAGGATTCTTTCCCAATTTATAACTACAATAAAGAGTATCATTAATTATGTAGTTATTTAAAGCTTGAGTTATATTCATTTTATATAATAATTAAAATCAAATACTAAATAATTAAAATAATTATTTATGTCAGAAGAATTAGCAAATACCGTCTACCTTGGTGGAATCCCTGAAGATGTGACTGTGGAATAAATTAAACACTTATTTATAACCTTCGGCGAAATTAAATCTGTAGATCTGCCCATTGATAGTGAAACATGTATCTATTATAATTATTGAAGTAAAGAACAGAGGATTTGCATTTATAGAATACGAAGATATCGAAGATGCTGAAGCTGCTATAGATAATTATGATGAAGGTGAATTGTTTGGCAAAATTGTCAAAGTTAAACCAGCTAAGCCATATAAACCAAAGTCATTTTATACTAAGCCTGTTTGGCATTCTGAAGATTGGTAAAGGAAAAATAATGAAGAATATACTTATAAAGAGCGTGTGAGAAGGGAGAAATAGAAAAAGAGAGATGAAGAAGAAAGGAAAAAAGAAGAGGAAAAAGCAAAGAAGTATCAAAAGAAATAATGATTTGCCATATTAATTTTAAAGTTATGAATTTTATTTTAAACCTGACTGCTTAGAAACTTATTGCATTTATTTAGAACAGTAGTACAATGAATTACTATAATCATTTTTAAATTATTTTGTTTTCAAATATCCAGAGCATTGGGCAACTTCGCATGTGTCTTGGCTGGTAAAAGGATGTTTTCAATTAATAAATGAAATGAAAGAACAACTCCAATACCTGCCAAGAACAAATATATAATATCCACATTCTTCATAGGATCAATGCCACCGCCAATTGTATATACAAAACCAGATATCATCGGAACAACAGCCATACAGAAATTCTCTATTATTCCCAACAAACCCAAAGCAGTTGCTAATTTCAATCACATTCATAAATTACCTAACATATCTTCAGGAACTGTAGATTGCAAAGCAGGCATCAAAACACTTGAGAAACATGAATAGGATAAGCCTAGAGTAATTAACCTATAATTTTAATAAACAAATTTTACCCAAAAACTGAATAATAGTTAGGAGATATTGTAAGAGGCATGTAATAAAATTGCAAATGGGATATAAAAAACATAATTGTTGACACCACTATAAAAAAAGGTCTATAATTGGTAAACTTGTCAGAAATTCTACCTACTACAGGAGATGTAAATGCTAGAAACGACATATTTCAAATTATCTTACCTGCCACAACATAACCAACTGTAACTATTTGACCAGCATCCATTATACTAAATCCAAATCGTTCATGGTAAAACTTATTAGCATTATCAAGAAATGGCACATACGAAGCTAACATTAATGTTGTTATTATGCTCATTATTACAAAGGGTTTAGTAAGCTTAACTAAATTATTAGAATACTATTAATACAATTAAAAACTGATATCTATTCAGTTTATTTCACACTCTCAACCTTCTCGTATTTCATATCTACGTAAATCATCATTAACCCTGATAAAAAGGACTAATCAAATTATTTTAAATTATACTAAAAAACATAAGAATAATCCAAATAACAAAGGTATTTTCAGTGAATTAGTCTTTTCAAATAAATAAGGGGATAAAAACGAATTAAGAGCTGCTGCTAATTCAGGGACTGTAAGTATCAATCCCATTGCAGTACCCATATCTTTTGGCATTCTTTATGCTACCATTTTAAACACTGCAATGTGTAAAATATCACTTGCTATACCAAATATTGCTCTACCACATAGCATCATACTATAATTATGATAGCATCCGCCAAAAAATATAAATATTTATGATAGACCCAACAAAAGACTAAATGTGAACACCTATGATATACAATATGGTCTTACACCCCAACGTCCACCCATTTTGTCTATCATTATGCCTCCTCCAATGCTCAAACCTATGTTGGGAATTGCGAACACGCTGTAAAGCAAATTGAATTAAGTTTATGTCAATTGAAACTCTTCTTCTATTGGAACCTCAAGAGCTTGAGGAATATCAAAGGCATAGTTGTTTCCTACCATCAACAGAATAGCCAACAAGATGATTAAACGATCCATTTTTAATTATTAATATATACATTAATTTTAATTCATTGAATGGGATTTACCATACATTCTATGAATTTTTTTCAAATTTGACAAGTCAATTTTAAAATGTTTACTTTAATAATACTCAAGCTTCTCTATCCACTTCATCGTTGATAATTTTATCTTTATGGCCTTCATAATTTATGTATTTAAATACCTGAATTGTTTACTTCAGTGAAGATTCAAGATTTGATTTCTCCTTATTTTTATTTCATGAAATATTTCTTAAAATGAAAGCTACTTCAATATGGCAAAATTTAATTGATTAGCTTAAATTCGATTGGATCTAATATATGGAATGTGAAAATGCCATTTCTGTTAGTTCACATTTGAACTGATCATAATAATTATTTAATTAGAAATTACAAGTTATTAATTTTCAATATTGCTCTAATAAAAATAGGGCATAATACTATGCTATGTAATTATTTATTAAAATATATAAGTTTCGGTAATCAGAGATTTTATCCATATAGTTGATTGTATATTCATGTTGTTTAATCATAAAGAGGGATTTCAAATTGAAATTAAGAAGATACAATAATATCTGAGTTTTTAAGATCACGCAAAACAATTAATAATAATCTAACCGGATGGATATTCTATTTTTGAATTAGATATTACAATTAACTATTAAAAAGAAGTGATTATGTTGAATTTCTTAAAATCTAATTCATATTACACTTGTCTAATGTATTCAATAGTATTTTATATTGGGCTAAATATATTAAGTAAGTAAATGGAGTTTTAATTATACCTTTATCGACCAAATATTCTCTAATTTATGGTATCATTTAAATTATCAAAATGTTACTATCTTTAAATCTTAATAGATGAGTTACTCTAGTTATCAATGATAATATACAACAAATTTATAAGAATTTATTAAATTAATAAATAAAATGGATTACGAAATTATCGATTAAATTGGAAAAGGAAGTTATGGAGTGATTTACAAAGTGAAAATTAGATCTCAGATATAAGTGCTTAAGGAAATCTCTTTGAAGAATCTATCCCTCAAATAATAGAACGAAGCTTATCGAGAAGCTCAGATAATGCATACATTGAATCATCCAAATATTGTGTCTTACTATAACTCTTAATTGAGGAAGGATAAGTTGAATATCTTTATGGAATATTGCGAAGATGACCTTCACAATTATATCTATCGAAACCCATCTCCAGCTGAGAACCAAGTGTGGCAATGGACCATACAATTGTTAGAAGGTCTTGAGTATTTACATTCTCAAAAGATAGTGCATAGAGATATAAAACCTAATAACATTTTAATGAAAAGCAACATATTGAAGATTAGTGATTTGGGAGAGTCTAAAAGCTTGATCTCTACTCAATAACTATCAACAACAAAAGTCGGAACTCCCTTATATTTGGCACCTGAATTAATTCGAAATCGACCCTATGATAATAAGATTGACATTTGGGCATTGGGATGTGTCATTTATTTTGTTTGTCAAGGAGATCCACCCTTTGGAGGAAGCAATATAATTTCATTGGGATACAATATCGTGAATAAGTCACCTAAACCAATTAACAGTAAATACTCAAGAAGATTGCAGAGTCTGATTTTTAAATTGTTGAATAAAGTACCAGAATTCAGACCAACTGCTGCTCAAGCATTGCAATAAATAAGGGATGATAATGATATGAAGTCGAGACATTAATTCTAGAAGATCTTCTCAGTCCACTCATAATAGGATATATCAAGAGGGGATGATCTGAAGGAGTAAAATAAGACTGTTTAAATGATTCAGAGTAGAAGGTTGGAACGGATAATACAGTAATAGAAGGATGCTTAATTAAGGTTGTGTGAGGCTGATAAATTTAGCAAAATAATACTTTTAAATAGAATTATTAAACATTAATCAGAACATTATGTACAATGATAAATACTAAAATCATAACACTCATAGTATTGGCTTTCTGTTAAAGGCATTTAATAATTCATCTAGTTTACTTTAATGTTAATTTAATTATAATGGTTTATTCTAAGATACAAATGTTTTGCTGGAGGGTTGAGTCATTTGTTTGGCAAACTTATTTCCAAAATCTTATTTTCTGTTCTGCCAATCCAAGGAATTCAATTCCAATGCTAGAGAAGCCAATCCCTCCTTTTTACTTCCATGAACTACAACATTAAGTCAAAGCAATTACTTGCATCTTATAAATAGTTCTTCTTTCTGATCAAATCTGGAGAAGTCCTAATGGCTGAATTAGGTCTGTGATTAGTAAGTGAAAACTGCATTTTTTATGTTGGCTCTGGACTATTATAGACATTTGCACCTGAGGATTTGCGTTTATAACTCTCGTATTTAATATCATCAAGTGGCCTTGATTTAATACCAGAAGAATATAATTATTTATCTTCATATTTGTTCATGAATGAGATTTCTTTGGTTGGAGTTTAAAATTACTTGCTAATTTTGAATTAAGATATTTACCTTTTTAATAAAGATTCCTTTAATGGTGAAAACTCCATAATGTCACTTTTATTAGTTTTTTGTTGTAATACTCGTTCGTATTGTTGCAATTGTCTTAAGAATCCATTATTTGGATAGACTTGCCATCTTTTTCTTTCTAGCAATCTTAAGGCGTCTTGAGCACTCATATTATTTTTTTTCATTAAATATGCTGCAACAAGAGTGGCTGATCTTGAAATACCAGCCATACAATGAACCAACACATTCCCACCTTCTCTGGCTCTTTCAATGAATTAATTACTGCTATCAAAATGTCTGCTAATATTTTCAGATTCACAATCCTCCAAGTATATATGTTGATAATTTTGTAGTTGTGTTTGTACTTCAAATGGTATCTTATTCATACAAATTGATAGAACACCATTGATTCTGTGTCTTCGCAGATTTTCAAGGCTAGCTAAAATTATGTATTAAAAACTATTCTATACAAGCTGATTCAATATTTCCTAGATAAATTGATCCTGATACTCCATTGTCAACAATGCAGGTCATATCATCCATCTATTATTCATAAGAAAAAGAGCTGGTTTGATAAGATTTCTGAACAATAGGTGAAAGGCTGAACATTAATTAATAATTAACAATAAAAATTATTTCACTTAATGTAGTTGAAAATTTAGCCTAAATTATAATAAATGATACAATCATCATCAATAAATATAGAAATAGAACTTATGTATTTTAAAAAAGAGTTTCCCTCAGCTAATGAACCTTTTTCAATAATTTTCACTTAAATTTAGTAGAATTATGTTAGATAAATAATGAAAGGACTATATAAATTCAAACTAAATGACAAGAAAGGAAACTATCTCTTTCTAAAGGAACAGCAATAGAGTTAGTTCCTTTTCTTAAGGGAAAAATAAAGGAAACAACAATAACTTGAAAGGATTCAATACAGATTTATAAGAGTATAAAATTAGTCATCAAAAATTTATAAGAAAGTAGATATAGAATCATTATAATAAACTTCGCATTTAATGGAATTCTTGTTTATCGATCTTTTTACTTTTTAATTTCAACCTATTATAAATTCCTATAAAACTCTTTAGAGTTCATTTACAGAATAACATACATTTAAATTGTTAAACAATTAAATGATGGAAATATGAAATAAAATAATCAAATATTACAAAAGAAAAAATATACTCTTATTTAAAGAATTTTAAATCTTTTATGGAGCTTAAAGTAGAAAATATATATTTATATTTGAGGTGTTAAATTGTTCAAGAGTTTACTTTTAGATTAGAAAATGTTCTAATTATACTTTGAAGTTACATTGCAGTAAATCGTACAAAAAGTAACTCTTCAAGAGTGCTATGTAGAACTTAAGGGACTATGAAATAATAGAAACTAAATATGAGCATTTTTAGACTAATTAGAGTAATTAAATGCAAATATTTAATCTAGTTACTAAAAATAAAATGAATAACTTGATTTCTTTTATTGAGATATCTGATAAACTTATAAGGGTTAAGAAGTCTCTTATTTAATGGCGAATCAGAGGTCTCAGTTCAATTCAAATCGTTTAGGTTTGCAATTAATAAAACAATCTATACCAGATTATCATACTTTTAGTATCTAAATCATAAAATAAGTATTAATAAGGTATGATTTCTTTTAATCGTATTGGTTAACAAGAGAATACATGAGGATCTCCATATGCTCTAAAATTTGATAAATATTTAGAAAGAAATATTATCTGATTGTTTTCATATTAATAATGGTTTACGATGATCAATAGGGGAGGATAGCGAACTATACGATTTGTTTGCCAACTTAAAGTTACTTTGACCTATCCTAACATTGAGACGACTCTAGCTTCGAGGAGTTATTTTGGTTTGTTTGGAGTCAGCATTATCAGAGTATGAGCACACCATTTCGAGAAGGTTCTGTCTTAGTCTATTCAGATCCTTACTAATTTCTTGTATTTGAGGATCCCATTAAACTATCATATCTGAAAATAGTCATATTCTCTACCTTTAATTCTTCCTTTTTAATCTTCGCTTATCTCATTTTGTTTGTGCATCCAATAAACCGTATAAAACAGTTTGCCCTATATGGTCTCAAACTTATCCATTTTATTATTATGACAAATATTTGGATTAAAAATGAAATAATCACAACTATGCAAAACAATTTTTATTTAATATACTAATACACAGGAATAGTGATCCAATATTTACAGCAAATACCTCAAAGATATACTAAAAGTGCAGATGATCAAATTATTAATTCAATCTAACTAAATTTCTACTTTTCTGTGCATCTTTTTTAATATAGGACTATATATATTAAGATAAGGAACTAGATTACTCTTTTGGTTTAATCTCGTCCTTTTATTTTAGCAATATATATTTAAGAAATCATAATAGATAAAATTATAAAATAAGTTTTTGAAGAAACATTAAATTAAAATTAAATAAAATTTATTTGATGCTTTTATTAAATAACATATATTTAAAATTTATGAATCTAGAACATCTAGGAGAATGAATCTGTTTTTCTTAATATAATTATAACATCATATTAGGTAAGTAAAATTTAAATTGATCTCGAAACTGATGGACTTCCATATTTGATTCTATAAATTGATATCTTGATTAAGACATTATCTTTATTCCAAAAAAACCATAATAAATTATACTTTTTTTAAGTTTTAATACTAATTATAAAATCAAATTGAATATTATTTATTAAAAGTCAAATATGTGTGGAAAATAATGCTTATTATGTGTATGCACATTTATTGAATCAAAAATCGATAGATATAAAAAAAGTAACTCTTACTTATATATATTACAACTTTACTGCTTAATTATTAGTATTGAGATTAACGGATATGACAGCATAGAAAAGTACTGGCATAGTTGTTGTTTAAGTATTGTTTGGAATTCTCTTTACTTCATTATAAAGTTTTAGAATATTATTTTATATTAGACAGTTTTTAAATACAATTATTTAATTATTTATGTATGATATTTAAGCAATAAAATTTATGTTAAGGATATATAAATAAAATTAACAAAAATCTTTTTTCTTCAATGTCCCAAAGACCACCTGTCCCATAAAGTAATATTCTCATATCAATCATTAGATTAAGCCCCTTAACCATAATAATTCTAACCAGCTCCAACATATGCTCCATAATATGCACCACAATATGCTCCAACATACGCCCCTGCTTATGCCCCTACTTATGCCCCAACATATGCTCCATAATATGCTCCTGCTCCTATTGCACCACTAACATACAGTGTTGCAAGACCTGTTGCTCCAGTAGCACCTGTTGCTCCAGTCGTAGCTCAACCAGTCATTGCTCAACCAGTCGTTGCTCAACCAGTTTTGTAGTAATCAGTAATTGCTCAACCAGTTGTTTAATAATCAGTCCATGTAAGATTAATAAAATCTAAAATTTAAGGCAACAATTAAAGGAGAATCAAGAATCGAATATATTCCTTATTAAAAGGCTGTTATGGAATATGAAGAATAAGAAGTTGTTTAATACGTTCCAAGAGAAAGAAAAGTCACAGATTATTATGCAGTTGAATATTAGACCGAATATGTCCCATAAGTCTTCTAAGAAAAATATACAGGTATTAACTATATACAAATATCTAGAATACGTACCAGTTGATAGATATTAAGAAAGAGTTGAATATTATCCAGTCGAAAGATAAGTTGTTCATGTATATATAATAATATCATTCTTTAGCAATAAGTTGTCTAACAACCAGTTGTTCAATAAGTTGTCTAACAACCAGTTGTTCAATAAGTTGTCCAACAACCAGTTGTCTAATAAGTCGTTCCTCAACCAGTTGTTCAATAAGTTGTTTAATAACCTCTCAGTGTTGTTTAACCAGTTTAAACTGTCCCATTGACCTATGCACCATAATATGCTGCCCCAATTGTTTCATCAAGAGTTATTCCATCATACCCATAATACCCATCATATCCTTAATATCAATAGGCTCCTTAATAACATTAAGCCTAGCCATAATAACCACCAAGATCAAATTTGAATGTTCATTGAAATAATAAGTGCACATCAATCAATTATATTGTTATTATCAAATTTCAAAATACATATTCTTGAACATCAAAAAACTAAAGAGTCTATTTATTAATATAAGTCTAAATGTAATTGATTACTTAAAACTTCTTATAGTTCTTCTAATAAGTATAAGGGATATTATGAAAAAATTAACAAAGCAAGAGTAAGTAGAATCACCTACAAAAATACAAAGAATAATGGTTAATTGATTCCTAAATAATTTCTCTTTATTCTATGATAAATTAGGTATATTTTAATATAAGATATTGAAAAAAATAGTATTTAATTAATTTAATTAGAATTCTAAGATGAAAGGATGTGTGTAAAAATATATTTAACAATTCATCAAAACAATCCCATATTTATTTAATTGTATAAAATTTTAAATTAAAAAGAAAGAATAAAAGAATTAATTAATGATGACTTTTCACTTCGCAGTGACCCCCATGACATATCATGAGTGTAAATACTTCCTTAGATGCCTGATATTATATATATTTTTAGTAAGTTAACTACAATAAAAATTATGGATATAAGTTTTCTAGAATCTATTGGATTATAAAATAGAAAATCAGTAATTATCCTTATTTGAACATCTATCATTCTATAATTGTTTATTAAGATCTTAATTTTCAATTTTTAATATCAAACTTCAAAAATTATAAAGAGTATAAAAAGGGATTATATTTACTTAGATGAATTATTTTTCAAAATTAATTACATTCTAATTCTTTAGTATATGTATAAATGTAAATCGCATTGAGTGATTAATAATTTAGTTGAAGTATCAAGTATTTCAGATTTTTAAGATTGTTCTTGGAATATTATGCAATTATTATAGAATTTATTTAGTATTTTATTATTAATAATATTTGAGGTATTTTACTTCTTTTTGTCAAATTTTTTTTTTATTATTATATATTGTTCTTGATTTAATACTAATAATTAATAAATAGTATTAATACATACTTAAGTTATGAAAGGTCAATTATATCAAAGATACTGTTAGAGAAAATACAAATTTGTTAATTTTGTTCAAAGATAAAAATAAGAACTTAAAAAATTTATGAACAAAAGTTATTATTGATGGTTATTTAATGGATTTGAAATGTATCATGAATTTTTGATATTCAACTTCTTCAATGAATAAAATAGTTATTGCTTAAAATTTTAAAAGTCAGAATCAAGAAGCAGTACACAAGTGCATGAGTTGAATCATTAAAAGTTCTATTTATTCTCATTTCATTCATTATCTATTATTCAATGTCCTTATTATTCCTAGTTATATTTTTTGATTTTATATAATTATAATTGAATATTGTTTATGATGTATCATTTTAACTAATAATTATTCAGTATCTCCTTATATTATTTTTATTACATTAATATTCAAAGTACTCAAATTCCACTTGTTATTCTAAAAAAGTATATTTCAGGATATATTTGTCAAAATTGTAATTTCTCATTATTTTTAGAATCAACAAGTAACTTTTTGGATAGAGAGTTTAAGTTAATCATGTTATAATTAATGACTTTTATATAAATAAAAAAAAATATTTGATATCAATTAAAAAGTAAGATTCATTCAATCATTACTCGATAATTTGATCTTCTTATTTTGGTTCTGGCGAATAAATAATTGAATCTCTATCAGAGAGTATAAAAGGCAAGAGATCTGATAGTTCAATTTTTTTATAGGTGGTTTCTAGTCTTTAGTTGATCAAGGAGGGTTTGAGATGCCAGTGTAATATATAATAATTAAGTTTGAGTTTATTCAGCAAAACAGTAATTAGAATTAAGAGTGCGATGATTGCAATCACAATTGAGATAATATGAAGACTATTAAAAATATCTCGATAAACGAAAATGCTAATTGCCATGATTAGTAACACAAGAAAGACAATCACTATTGTAAGAATGAGCCACTTTCCAACAGTGTTGATATTTTTCCTAATTCTACACCATTTCATACATATAGTATCCTTCAATTTGGAATGGATAGGCACATTCATTTTTGCAAATAAATGCTTATTCCTTTTATTTTTTTGAATTCCTTCTGGCTGTATCCTAAATGCACTTTTCATGATATGTGATTCCTCTGCATTTACAATATTGGTGAACTGTGCCAATTTCTGAATTACATTCTTGACAAACTTTGAATGGCTAATCTATTTGTCTATGTGTAGATGACAACATATTCAGTACAATCGTTTCGTGACTTTTCATCAAGATTGTTCCTTTATGTCTGACTGATGGTGAACCCAAAGGAGTGAATCTCATTCGATAATTACTAGATTCTTAAACAGTTAAATCAGATAGATTTGAAGAATTCTTCCCTTGTTATCGCTGCTCTGATTGCTTATTTGATATTGAGTTTTTCATTAATATTATATGATAAAAAATCAAATTTAAAAATTGGGAAACCTTAAATGTAAATAGAGTTTTCTCAATTTTTGATATAAAGAATGATTGTCCCAATTGTTTTGATGATATTTTTGGATACAGTGTTATTTTAACTGTTGCATAGGCACTCCTATTTATATGTATTCCAATCCTCTCGAGGATAAGGGGAATTATAGTTAATAATATAAGATTTGAAATAATAGAATGTTGATTAGAAGTAAAGAATATATTTTATCAAGTTATAAATTAATTAACAAGAATCACTGTTCTTTTAGTAAATCTTTAGATTCAGTTTGGTTTTAGAATGGTTTCTAAGACTTAAATTTATTTTAAGTTTTATTAATAGGTTATAAATAGTTAAACTATCTTGAAGCCAGATTTTCTCTTCTTTAAGGAGTTTATGAATTGATATTGGATTAATCATAAAATTTTGAATCTTATATTCTCAAATATGAAAGGTTATAGGATTGTTGTTCAGATTCTAAAGAAGACTCTTGAGAATAAGGTTCATCAATTTAATATGGGTTATCGTACGGAGTCTTTTGATTTCTTAAACAGTTTTTGGTAGCAAATTTTCGTTGCGTCCCCTTGTAACGCATAAATACTACCTTCTCTGTTTCAGCCTTCTTGCAATTAGAAACTTTGACCTCTTTTGAATGATCATGCAAGTATTTGTACAATTAAACATCCTTTGATATGATAACCTCCTTCTCCATGGGAATGTATAACGGTAGATTTTAGTTTTTACGAGACTGAAGCCTTATGATTAGCTCTTTTCCAACTTGATGAAAGGTCTCTTGATTGACTCTATTCCGCTCTTCAGTGATGTCTTACAGAAGTTGATCCGATTCCACATTGAATACTTGTTTGTAATTGAAAACAGGTTCTTCTGATTTTTGTAATTCCACCTTTGGGAAAAACAATATTTATAATTATTTGAGTTTTTTGACTGAGTTGGAGGATTTGATTCCTGTGTCACTGGTTTGTGTAACTTCGATATGAGTTTTGGATAAATTAAAATCTATGTCGATTGTGGCTTTGGAATTCTTCTTTTTGATTTTATCCTATAGGAATCTTTGTAAGATATTGAGTTTGACATTTTTAATCTTTTTCATTTTATTTTCTTGAGCCTTGGACTTGTCCTTATTGCCTTGTATTCGATTTTCTGAAATGGATTGGGATACCAAGTCTTGGGTACTGATTTCTCCATCCAAGTATTTAATAAACAAATTTGTAGGTGGTTTTCGCAATTAATTTATTGGACTATATGTGACGAGCGGATCATCCTATCTCAGTAATCTTTTCTATTTCGGTTTAATTCGAGATGGCAAAGAAAGCTTTATGGTTTTGTGTTGAAATTGCTAATTGTTACTCCCTACATTTCCACGGTTTCTTAAGTAATCCTTCTAATGCTTGCTATGTGTGGAGAACGGACTATTGAGTTGGATCATATCACTTGGGGTTGCATTCCTTCTGCTTAAGGGAGTGCCCACTTAACTATATGGCTAATCAAGTGTTTAATGAAGAAACATAATTTTTATTATACAATAAAATGATCTCTACTTGGAGTAATTTTACTAAATCACCAATATCAATACACAAAAAAACAGTTGTTTTTAAAACCAGTCCTAAGTTCTCTATTACTCCAGAATAATTTAAGTCAAAACTAAATTTAAGATAGCAAATTACCCTCAATCAGATACCCTCCCCTATTACATCTCTAAAGAAAATATCCATACCCCTAAACAAATAGAAGAGCAGAATCGATGATCCCTTGCTCGTATATAGTCCTCTCATTCTTGGATCTCCAGTTCCAAAAGGGTTCAAGAAATTCTTAGATGGAGAGGTCGATTAATGTGAGATGCTCAAATCTCAAGTCAAATAAAATACTCGCTAGAGTGAGCTAGTTGCATTTAACCAACGGAAGTCCAAAGTGAAAAGAGGCAAAACCATTTACATCAAAAACTAAAAAGAAAACGAAGAGACTGCTCCTTCAAAGTTAAAGAAACTCCAAAAATTGATCGAAACCAAGATTCTCAAAAAATAATTACAATAAACCACTCAATCATAGAAGAGATCCGAAATCGTCAATATTATCTAAGGAAAGAAACCTATTCAACTCTCTAGTAGTGTAAAGAAGTTCAAATAAATGTAAATGCTATTTATACCAAAGAATCCAATCTAACAAGATCATGAAACACTGAGTTACTCTAAGCTCAAATTAATTAACGAATCAAACGATTTGATGTAACAAATTTTGGATGAGTAAACCCTAAGAAATTTCAATAAACTTAACTCAAGAGATAAAGAAAAATAATACTTTGCCCAATTCAAAAAAGACAAAACCCTCAATCACTTAAAAAACGTCGAATACTACCCCCAAGAACAAACAACTCTATCCTAAAAAGATACCGCCCTATATAATTACTTAAGAGAGCAAAAGTGTATTGATGGGAGCTCTCTGTATGCCAATTAACAAGGTATTTTTACTTACTTATACAGTATCAAAGTCATCCTAATCAACCAGAAGGAGTGTCTTATCAAATCACAGAAAAAGACAACCATTGGGATAATAGAAAATCAAACCCAATATAAAAGATAATGACAGTTGCATTTCTGTAGATTTATCCCTACAGTCTGTTTACGAATACTTTCTGGATGACTTGTACACTGAATAAAAAAAACTTGAATCTAAATTAAACTTTTAATAAGCATTCAATGCTGACCTTGACAAATAAATGAAAACAATTAATAAAATGAAAAATATCAATTCACGAGTAATTGATTGCTCTTTAAATAAATTATTCGAAACTTTGTGAAACTTATTTAATTATCATTTTTTATATTAAATATCTTAAAAGTAACATTATTTATCTTAAAATATCTTAAAAGTAACAATTAACGATATTATAACAAATTATTTTTTTATAAGTTTTTAAAGTGTTTAAAATGCTAAATGTTTTATTAAATTAATCTAGAAATTTAGAGAAAGCATATAATCATAATAAAAATTAACCAACTTGCTTTATTTTTTCGGTTTAAGCCAACACCTAATCTAATTTCTTTGGGTCCATTCTATAAGAGTTAATAACTATCTTGGTGCTTTTCTTCTTAGTTCTTTTACGTCTATGAATTGTTTTAGGCAAGAATCCTCTTTGAAAATCCATTGAAAACTATCGATCTTTTACAGTAGGCTAATCTAAGTCACATTAGTTCACCTATTAAAATATTAAAATGTACTTCTTTATCATATTGATTATTGAATGAAGAGAAGAATTTTAAAATATCGGTTTCTTACTTAAATTCTTTTATTCTATTCATTTGATTTTCAATTTCGACAGGATCTAATTTACTAAAAAATTTAAGGTTTTTCTTGTTAGGTGAATTAAGATCTTGGGTGAAAGACTTTGATTATCTATGAAAATTAGTTTGAACTTGGTCTTCAAACTTTAAAAATTGCACTTTCGTTGGATCATTATCTTTCCCTAATATTTTCAATTTCTGCTCAGATATATGAGATAATTCTTCATAGCAATTTGAAAGGGGATTATCAAAAGCCAATTCAAATTTTGAAGCATTCTAAATCTATTCTTATCTTTGTTTATCTAAATAAATATCATAGCATCTTACATAACATGATTTAATATTTAGCATCCTAGTCAGGATTTAACTCTAACTCCTTCATTAATTATTCAATAATTGATCTTTTTTGCATTAAGGGCATATTATCTGGAATTTTGAATTGTTCCATTAATTCTCTTTCATATTTCATTTTTTCAAGTTACTTCTAATATTCTAGCTATCTTTATTTCTCTTTTTCTTGTTGCTCCAGCTTTTTAGGCTAAAATAAATTAATAATATACATCCATAGGTGAGATCTAATTAGATGATTTTCTCCGAGCAAAATTTAGTGCAACTGCAGCTATAGGCAATTTCAATTACTTTTTGTTTTTACCCTTCTTTGATCGATTTGATTTATCTCCTTAAGAAGACTCGATTGTCAATTTACTTTCAGGTTGACTATCATCAGATCTTTATTATTATTATTATTGTTATATAAAATCCTTAATTTAGGATCTAGATTTGTTGTTTACCCTATTGTGTTTAATACTATTCTAAGTATTATTAATTGGTATGAGCATTTTTGATTATGACTACGAGCCTTAAACTAAAGTGGATGATGGAATAAAGGAACTCGAAGGAATATATCCATTCTTAGGTGAAGATGATTGCTATCTAAATTAAAGATTAGTTTAAGTTGGCATTTATTTTTAATCCTCCAATTTGAGAAGAGAAAAAGAGGCTGCAGGATTGCGAGTATTTTAAACTTTACAATTAGGTGAACCTTCTATTGATTCTTCAATTATCACATTATTGGGGGGTTAAGTTGGATCACATTAATTAACCTAAATATTAATATGCTAAATGAGTGTTTGATTATTCTAAAAGTTCTCCTCGTCGTGCATAATAGATGTGATACTAGTTTACTATTACAACAATTTCTAAGTTGACTTTTTCATTATGTCCAAATTGTCATGAGTTTGAAATACTGGATAATCTTGCTATTTGCTAGCCTCAATATGAGTGGTTGCTGGTCTTAATGAACTTATATGTGTATGATGATTTTGCTCATTTTAGTGTAAGGATTATTCTAATAAAGACATTTATGACTCTTCGTTTGAAGCTGAAATTTCCACTTATTATTATTCCTAAGGATTTTGTTAATCAAATAGTTTTAAGTCATTAGATTGTAATGTATTAAGCTTTCTTTTAGTTGACTTTGCAGTAATGATAGATCTGGCTGATTAAGGAGGAGACAGGAAATTTCCAGGTGCATGTATTTCTTCAAGGCTTTTCTTTGGACTTAATTGATCTTTGGAAAAGGTCTCTGATTATGATACGAGTTCCTAAGTTTGACCAGGAATGAATGAAAATTTCGCCTATTATGATTGTTATGATATCACCTGAGATTTATTATTATTATCCAAATTTTTGGCACTTTAAATTATTTATAGTTGGTTGTCAATTTTTAAATCTTTGGCATTTGGATCTGTTCCATAACTGATATCCTTTAATCGATCACTCTAAGTCCTGGGTTTTCTTTGAGAACTAAAGTCTTCATCATTGCTATAGTATTTTTAGAGTTTTTCTTTTAGATCCATCTTGCTAGAGTCACTTCCCATGGGTAGATTTTATGATTATTTTCTAGAGTAACTATATTGTGCATTACTATCCTATTTCTCAATTCTTTATAATTGCTATTGATTTTGATTTACAATTGGTTCTATATTGATATTATTATTTTTGATTATAAAGTCTTATTATTATTCTATTTCTCCATCCTAACTTACGATATTGATTACGGCCATCTCATTTTTAAGAATAGGCAGATTTTCATTGATAGTAGACTACTTAAGAGATGGCAATTCTTTATTTATATTTTCTGCTTATGTACTATTAGGACTAATGAGTTGGAATGGACTAATGTATCGAGCAGATGAATTATTCATTTTTTAGCTTCTATTGGTGTGATATTTGGGTAAACAGCTATTATCAGTTTTATCCAATTTCAAGTTACTATTTCTATTTGATTATGGCTATAAATGTCCAATCATTTATGCATCTATTTCTGTGGTTTATTATTCCTTGTTATTTGATTATCTATTGCTAAATGAATGAATGTAATTCTTCCTCATATCAATTGATGATGAAGCAACAGTTCTTATTTCATATTGAACTTTTTTTTCAAGCAAAGGTGTCTAGTTTTTTATCAGATTTCGTTTCACCTTGCCTAAAATCTAAAGATGCAATGGTGGAATCGCCTTTTACTAAGTTTACCTTTTTGTTAATAATTCAGAAAACTATGCTTAATCCACGAATGAAATTAATTGTAGATGTCCTGCTAATACTCTTTCAACTATTGTCAAAATAAATAGTTCTTCTCTTTGAATGTTTCTTTTTATTTTCCACCTCAAATTCATAAGGTTTCATTTTTATTATAAAATAATAAATAAAATCTAATAATTATATTAGGAAATATAATCCATATAAACTAATTAAATACAAAATAAGTTAAAATCAATAACAACACATAAATCGATATTTCACTTACTACTAATTTAAAGAAGATGATGACTCCAAACCAACTTACGATAATCCATTCGATTAAGCTTATTGATTGAATTTGAATATTATAACTTTATATTGTATTACACTTTATTATACAAAGGATATTTCCAATATAAAAAATGGAATAAAACTATAAACAAATAAAATTGACAATAATAATTATTAAGAATGCTATTTTTGAGCCTTGTTCTATATCCTTTGTGAGTACGCTTAAATTAGTGAAATCTGAAATTACATAAGATGAGTATATAAAAATTATTTGTCAAGATTGCAGCTGAAAAAAATTAAAATTATGTAATTGACTCATTTAATCCAAGTGTTTGAATTATTAAAAGTTGTAAGAAGCTTAAGCTTTTTGTCTAAAACTTTTATTATTTTTATTTAATTTACTATTGGGTTAATAATCCTTTGACTGAAATAATTTAAATAATTATATTATCAAATATAGGCTTGATTATATTCATCTCATTTTAATATAAGAAATACTAAGTCTTTATAAATTTATCAATCAAATCTTTAATTGAAAAAATAATTAATTATTAATATAATTAAAATTTCAAAATAATATATTAAGCATGACGATTAGATATTAAAATGACGGTATAACTTTAGTTTAAAATTATTTGAATAATATATTATTTATTACGTGCTATTTTGACATAATTCTTTCTACTATTTAAAATTTTATGCTCACTTAGAAAGTTTGCTACTGTACTAATGATTTTAAAAAAATGTAAGAAAATGAGGTTACTCCCACCTACAAATCTGAAATGTTGCATTATGAATAACGAATATAATAAACAGAAAAATATAAAAAGATGTTTTCATAATAGAGGAGAGATTCTGCCTTTTCTAGGTTTTTTAACTTTTTCAACATCTCTAATTCTTTATTAAGAGAAGTGAGTATTTCTACATTAAAATCTCACAAATTTGGCTTCTTCATTGAAATATCTCGAGGAAGATTGAGACATATTGGATTTATTTTTAAGAATTCCTTTGATTGATTGTATATGATCATTGTTTGAATTGTGAAGATTTTTTTTTGGTTCCAAATTCTAAGAATTACCATAGTCTTAATTTTGATTATGGCTGTTTAACATAGTATTTTCAATTAAAGAATTCTTAGATTCCACAAAAAAAGAGTTAATAGGTGCACCTGGATCGTTAACTCTTACTTCTATAAACTCTGCCTTAGCTTGAGGTCTTTGAATTTTTCGAGAGAGCTGTGCTTTCATATTGATTTGCGATTTTTGGATTTGGCTTCCCATTTTTTAATAAATTAATTTATTTAAATTATTGGTAATGATGTAACTTTAATAGGATAGATAGATGATATTAAAAATTTATAGAAATCATAATTATAATTATAATCCCACATTCAAAATTTAATTAAATAATAAATGTGAGATAATCTTAGAGATTTGGTAAAATTCGATAAAAATATAATTTGCATTAAAGATTTATCTAAGCTGAGTTATTCTACATTTGAGTATGGCAAATTAGTACTATTAGATTCGAGTATTCAATATGTGTGTGCATGTGAAGGGAATTACTAAGTATAACAATATTTTTAGACGTTTCTATGTCATGATGAATATCTATTTATAGATTAGTGGTTGTTGAATAGGGAAATGGGACTAGCAACTATGTATAATAAATAAAATTAAATTAATTGTTTAATCTTGTTTATGATCTCAACAGAATTATTCATTAAAATTGATTTATGTTTATTTTATTGCATCTTTTTCTTTAATGTCTCGGATAAACCTAAACCTTTTTGAATTTAGAAATAGGCATACATATTTTATAAACATTTCAGAGAGGTCCAAAACCAAACCACAAAATAGTAGTAAAATTAGAATAAGCAATTTTCGATTCAACATAACTATTGATATGTGATTCAGAAATTACTCTTCTAAAAGAAAACTGTATTTACGATGTAAATTCTTATGACCTGAAAAGAAATACTTAAATCATATAGCTAGTACATGGCTTCAAAGTAGAAAAGTACCAAATGCAGTTATTATCTATGAAATAATTTAATGAGTTCCCATAGGTAATAGGAACCTACTCTAAATCTATATCAAACTTCTCCATAACAATAACTACACTAGATATATCCGAATGTGCCTCGTATTTAAAACATATAAAATTTTAGGTAATGCTAAAATGAAGGGATCTGTAAAGACGGAATGTGCGAATGTGTGCAAGGATATTTTGGCGCAGATTGTAGTATTGTTGCTCTTGATATCACTCATGAATCTCGATATCATAAGAATGGATTCTACTATTTTAATATAAAAGGATGTGACTAAAATTCTTGTTCTCTAAGTATAAATTTTACTCAAGTGGGCACATATCGACAAACATGTTATGCTGAGGATTGGTATTTATTATAGTAAAATATGATTGAAAAAAGAGAGATTAAAATTTCAGATGTCCAGTCATGTTTATCAAATATCAATAATTAAAAATTGAGTCCTTAACAATTTTCTTACTATATTTTTTATTTTGAAACAGAATGTGAAAATTCATAAGAACCAAACATTTAGAATACTAAAATTATATTAATAATTGTTATAACAACTGTTGGAGGATCCATAAGTTTATGTTGTTGTATCATTTGCTATTACTACTTTTTCAGGAGGCAGAAAGAAGAACACTAGATACTTCCTACAATCTCATTATATCCAAAAACTGATATATAAAGGTACTTACCTAAACAACTATATAAAACATTAATAAATTAATATCCAGGTTTGGCAAATACAGATGAATGCCTGATTTGTCTTGATAAAATTAAGGAGCAAGATTAAGTTAGATTGACTTATTGCACTCACATCTTTCATGTGTAATGTCTTGATAATTGGTTGGAGAAGAATAGGATATGTCCAGCATGCAGATCTGAATTAGATGAAGTGACTTTGATAAAAATAGCTAAACTAAGGAAAAATGATTCGTTAATGTTTGAAAACAAAGCCAGTCGCTTGTATGGTGATATGGGTACACCCAACTTGACAATGACTCCTTAACTTCGATCGGTTGAAATCACTCATAGACATTGAGATATTTGCTAATTTTTCGCTTAATGAATTATTCTATAAGTTCATTAAAATTTAATTTGTTTTTCAGTAATCCCAACTACAGCTTTGCAGTTTCTACATATATGATAGATATCTTTGCAATCATTCATAAACAAGACAACCGAACCTAAAGGGCTTTAGAATAGGTCAATTAAATAACCCACATATGCATTACATTGCTATACACATCAGGTATGTCCACATCCCCCTTTCATAAACTAATTTAGTTTCTCCTATTTGATCGCAATGAAAACACATCATAACCGCTGAATCTGTATATCCATTTGTATTAAAGGGTAGCTTGTTATCGTTATCGAAATCAATTTATTGATTCATAATATTTAAAAAAAATTATTGGATAAGAAACTTTTAGGCTTGTATAATATAGAAGTATTGATCTATGTGTAATTAATTAATTATAATTGAAAATCCTTATTACTTGAATATGGAAAAATGGAATCATAGTAAATATGATTATGATTATGAGTTTGCTAAAATTCTTGAATGACACACTACTATATTTAAATATTATATAAAAATAAATTATTAAAATATTTAGATGCAAGCTCTTTTCGAGGATTTAGGTCCTATACGAGAATATGATGAAAGGATAGAGGAATAGGATGACACCATTTATTCTCAGATAGTTGTCTATGATAGAGACTCATTGAGAGTGGAATAACAAAATGATAAAGATCTTTTTGAAGGGATTTAAGGCACTTTTAATATTGAGTTACAAGAGACAATGGAAACAAGTATAATTGAATTATAATTAGCTTATAATAAATACAATGAGCTAATTAAAATAGCGACAGAATTAACTTCACTATTTGGTTTATAAGACATGTTTACATTTAAAACAACTTAACTGACTAAGCTATGTCTAATAGGATAATTGTAGATTTAATCAGTGATTGAAAACCTTAGTAAAGATTATTCCCACATTATTGGAGAGTTTTGTCTCTATTCAAAAGATATCAATCTAAATCACGTTTATTAAATTCTATCTATCTTAAATATCAATCTCTTACCCAAAATCCTGCATGTTTGTGAAGAGTTTTTCATAAAGAAGCACACCAGGAAGCCAAAACACATTCTCATTGAATTGCACTACAATTTATCTAAATTCTTATGTGTTTTAGAGGCCTTTCCTCATGCATGCGCCTCGTAAGACATTAGATATGAATATAAAAATAGCATAATTGTAAGAGAAATTGCAAAGAAAGATTAGATTGAGCATGCTTATAAATTTATACTGTCTGCCATTCAATCAGCTTAGGCGATGATGCAAAAGAAATCTGAAACAGAAACCAAAATATTCAGAGGCATAATCCATAACTTAGGGCCAATCTATTACATGCTGGCTCGAAAACAAGGCTTATTGAAAGCACATTAGTTAATGGCAGAACCAACAGTGGAATTGGCATTTGCAGTTTGGAATATGGGTGAAACTGGCCTGGCTAAACATCTGATGCCAATCATATTCCCATCTATAAAATACAAATAGTGCATCTACATTCCAAGATACTTTAAACAGATCAATATTGAATATGTGAAATACTACTAGAAACATTATATGGGTATAATCAGTCCGCCTTAGCCATTGATTGATAAGAGTCCAAAACTGTTATCGTTTTATCAGCTAATTGAGAATGGCGAGGACAGAGTTAAGGTTCGAATTCTAAATTCTCAAGCATTAACTATCAGTCCATCTTCAAGTTTATAGAATTACTATTAAGATCCATTGATTCAATTATAGAGAACCAATTTTATTGATAGGTTGTTTCATAAGACAACTAACACAACTTATGAAAATATTATTATACATATTCATGGTGGGGGATTTGTTTCAATGTCCTCTAGATCTCATTAAACGTATACTAGATTATGGGCAAACTCTTTAGGAGTGCCCATATTTTCGATTGATTATCGATTATCTCCCTAATATTCCTTCCCTGCAGCTCTAGATGACTGTTGGCAAGCTTATCTTTGGATTATTCATTTTTCCTTACATTACTTTAGTAATAATCTTAATGATTTTGATAGATATAACACCAAAGAAAATAATATTAGTAGGAGATAGTGCAGGTGGTAATTTATGTGCTGCCTTGACTGCTTTATGTATTCGAGAAAGTGTATATTTACCTGCTGGCATAATTTTAGCCTATCCTGCACTAAATCTTGATCCTAAGAACTTCAATATGTATCAATTTGTTTCTTTAGATGATGGATGTAATTTGAATTGTGAAATATTTAGTGTTACCTCATTCATTTTTGAAATTATGTGTGAAATCCTACATCTAGGATGAAACACTCAATTACAAGGATTCCTTGATTTCCCCTGGAGAAGCCATAGATGAGGTGTTGTAACAATTCCCCCAGACTTATATTTTGACAGGAACGAATGACCCTTTGCATGGTGACACCTGGACATTATTAGGGAGATTGATGTAATCTATTCGAATATGCTTAAGCAATTTAGGGAAGAAATGCAAATTGTATAAATATGATTACATGCCTCATGGATTTTTGAATTTTTATAATTTTATCCCGAATGGAGAGTAATGCATAAATGACGTTATTCAAATCATAAAGGACATATTTTCATAATGAAGATTAATGATAGTTTTAATTTTTACTTAGAACCAATATAAATTACCTTTTTTATATTTGTATTTACAATTAAAGTGAAAAATCATGCGCAATTCTTTTCCTTTAGCGTAGAATGACTTAAACTTAGTAATTATAAATAATAATGAAGAAAATTTCAAATCAGTTAAAAAATGTTGACTTTTTCAGCGTAACATACTCTCCTGCCATCTCAGATGGACTCAACTATAACCATTCTAGTGTTATTGGAGGGATTATCTCCTTGATAATAGGTGCATTAAGTTTAATCTATTGTATATACTATATGTACTTGTGGTGGAGCTACCAGTTATTGCCAAAGGTCACAGAAGATATTAATAATTTTGAGGAGAATACCGATTTCGGATTCATCAATAATAGAATGTAGGTAATTGCATATGACAATGATGGATTATCTAAAATTAATCCATTTAAAAGTGATGAAATCATCTTGATGCCATTAATAATGGATCTTGATGTTGGCAGTTTTGAACCTCTGATTAGTAATATTACAGATGAATAACTACTTGATATAAACATTCAGATGGGGAAGGAAAAATAATTTATAATCATCTTTACACTCTGCAAGGATGAATATTTGATTGGTGACTACAAATGTGCCTCAGAAGAAATATAGAAGTAATACTTTAATGAATCAGGCAACATGTTGTATACGAATATAGAGTTCACTACCATAAATCCATCCACATTTGAGCCTTAATAATTTCTTAGAACTTATCCAATCTACATTCATACCGATGCAGAATTGTGCTCTCAGATTACGTTGCATTACTAACTGAACCATTACTTGATAAATAAGGCATTTCTATTTTCATCTAATGAAGAAGAGCATAATTATATCTCAAATTCCCTAAATTACCCTTAATTCGGTACTAAGAAGTATTGTGATAAGACCTTCTTGAAAAATACTTATGGTGTTTATTGGATATTATTTTAATAGCAATATCGTACTATCTAGATTGGGTACCCATCTATCAGTGAAGTATTTGCTGCAATTGGGTCAATTATCAGTATTTTATTTTCAGTAAAATATCTGATAACTATTTTAAATTTGTCTTAGATGAGATAATCTGTTTTGGACGACATCATGAGATAATATTACCCTGAAATTAGAAGATTTAAAATGATTAAAAACTTTTGGGGTAAAATAAAATCAGTTAAATTTGATGGTGTGTAAGTGGAATTGCCAAGTTTCTTAGCCTTCCAAAAGTAAATTCATTCTTAGATGGCTTGCAAACTAAATTATAAAAACTTATTGTATGAAATGTCACGGTTTTAATTTATAATTATGTCAATCAAGAGACGGAAAGAGATAGAAAAAGTTCATGCAATAGGAATCAAAGTTCCTATGAGATTGTCAGATTCAGGAGAATCCTATATTATTTCAGAGGGTATCCAAAATCAGTAGAAAACGCTTAATTTTAGAAATATGAACACTCTTACAACTAAATATGATATCTTGTCTATCAATGATGCTTTGATATTAAGTTAGGATTATAAAAAATGTACGTAATAACCAGAAACTCAAGTTGGATTGACAACTAATAATGTTGATAATTGTAATGAAAATGAAGATAATGATAGGGAATAAGACTTCTATGATATCAATTATATTAAACAATAGGAGTCGCCCAAAATTAAACTAAATGACGAATAATTATGATAATAAGTATATCAATTAATTAATTGACTTTCTAAGTTTTATTTAAATGTTTTTAATTGAAAGTAAGGTTTTAATTTTTCCTGTAGATTCATCTATATACTCAAACTATCATATATTATTACACTATTCCTACCTAAAATTAATTTTTTTCTTATAAAAACTCATATTGATTTTTAATTAATTTCAAAACATCGAGATTTGCAACCTCTAGATGATCTGGATTAGAACTATATTTCTATGTTATAAATAATATTTTATAGATTGGTTGATATAATATCACATTACAATTGATTTATTATAAAATAAATGGATACTTTATTTGACTTAATTATTGTAGGATTGGGATCTCATGGTAGTAATTGCTTCTCACATTTTTCTGGGAAAATCAAAGTCTTAGGCATTGAATAATATGTGTCACCTCACACAAAGGGGTCTCATAATGGTGAGACAAGAATTGTAAGAGAAATGGGCTATTCTGGAGAATATGTGGATATTGCCAGAAGATCCCTTGAATTATGGAGATAATTACAAGACTCAACCAGTGAATAAGTATATGTGAATTCAGGAGGAATTATATTTGGAGATTAGAGTGATGCTCAATTTAGAAATCAAACATAATTCAATAATCCAAACCTCCAATAGCTGTAACATCAGGATGTAGAATCTAAGTTTCCAATCAAGACATCTTCAGACTAATCATTTTACTTTGATAAATCAGCTGGGTTTGTGAGACCAGAAATAGCAATATCCATCTTTATAAATTAGGGCAAAGCACAAGGAGGACAAGTCGTCAATAATTGTAGATACATCAATCACGAGTACAAAGGAGATGAAGTTCATGTTTATACTGATTTAGGAGTGTTTAGATCCAAAAAGTTGATTTTATCACTGGGAATGGGATTAAAGAGATTATAAAATACATACCCTTTGGATATCAGCCTATATAAGCAATAGGTTGTATTCTTCAAAACAGATAATCAGAACTTTGATAAGTTGCCTGTTTTCATTAGTGAAAATAATTCATAAGAAGTGTATGGATTTCCAAGAGTGAATGGGGAAGTGAAAATTGGATTGCATCACTTTGGACCGTCTTTAGAGCATCCGGATTTGTATGACCAAACCAAGAATGAACAAGGGAGTGTTAACATAATTAGATAATTCTTGACAAAGTACATGCCAGAATTGAGAGATGCTGCAGTATCGAGAGTGGAGACGTGTGTCTATACAAGCACAAGAGATCACAATTTTACAATTGATTTTGATCCCAGATCCAAGAGTACAATAATTTTGAGTGCATGTTCTGGACGTATCAATAATATTATAGATAATAGATGGATTTAAGTTTTGTATTGTGATGGGAGAGATTCTAGAGGAGATGTTTGAGACTGGAGTTCAGAAATATAAAACATTTTAATTAAGTAGATTCTAGAAGCCTAATTTTTGAATATTGATAACGAATCAATGAAAATTAAATTTTAATAAATTAATTCATTTTAAATATCTTAATGTAATAAAAAGCAGACTACAGAAAGGAATTGGCAGAAACAGCATAAAAGATCTGCACTCCAGGAAAGGGAATTTTGGCAGCAGACGAAGTAAATTCTGGTTTAATTGTTAGTCTTAAGGAACCATTGGAAAGAAGTTTGTTACCATCAATGTGGAGAACAATGAAGAGAACAGAAGAGCCTATAGAGAATTGTTGTTCACATCCCCTGGAATTGAAAACTACATCAGTGGAGTCATTCTTTTCTCAGAGACAGTACTTTAAATTAGATACATTTATAGGTCAAACATGCTACAAAGGAAGGCAAGAACTTTGTCGAGTTATTGAAGGAAAAAGGAATAGTTGCTGGTATCAAAGTAGACAAGGGTTTGGGAGTAATTCCAGGAACACAAGATGAATCAGCCACTCTTGGATTGGATTCATTGGCCACCATGGCAGCTGAACACTACAAAGTTGGCTGCAGATTCGCCAAATGGAGAGCTGTTTTGAAAATTGGCAATGGATTACCATCCTAATAAGCCATCTAAGAAAATGCTTGGGGATTGGCAAGATATGCTGCCATCTGCCAAGAGAATGGTCTTGTTCCCATAGTTGAACCAGAAATCCTGGCTGATGGTGATCATTCCATCGAAGTGTGCCAAAAGGTCACAGAAAAGGTCTTGGCTGCTGTCTTCAAGGCCTTGAATGAAAACAATGTATTTTTGGAAGGATGTCTTCTTAAACCCAATATGGTCACTCCAGGATCAACAAACTCTGAGAGAAGCAAGGTCACTCCCTAGGAAATTGGATATAGAACAGCTTTGGCTTTGAGTAGAACAGTTCCTCCTGCACTTGTTGGAGTCACTGTAAGAATCTAGAATTTATAAAATAGTTCCTTTCAGGTGGATAATCAGAAGAAGAGGCATCTTTGAACTTGAATGCCATGAATTAATTGACTACCGTGAGAAAACCATGGGCTCTTACATTCTCTTATGGAAGAGCTCTTCAAAACACTGCCGTTAAGACTTGGGCTGGCAAATAAGAAAATTGGGAAGCTGCTTAACAAGCTCTCTTAACTAGAGCTAAGGCCAATAGTGAAGCCTAATTAGGTAGGAGATTCATTTTATTATCTTAGGTAAATACCAAGGAGGAAAGGGAGGAGCTTCCAATGAGTCCTTATTTGTGGCCGATTACAAGTATTGAGTATTATGATGTTTCATAAAATAATGCGTAATATCGTCATTATTTATTCTAAAAATATCATCATATATATTTTAATGACGAAATTTGCCAATAATATCATAATAATGCGTAAGCTCTTAATTATTTACGTGGATATTAATTTGTATTAATATATGTAACAAGCAAATTAATCGGAATCCACTCCATAACACCCATTTGCCCTTTTGACATAAGCACCTCCAGATCCAATCTTTGGGATTATGAATGCCTACAAAGCAGACCCTTCTGACAAGAAGATCGACCTCGGTGTGGGAGCCTATCGTACAGACGAAGAGAAACCATACATCTTTGACGTTGTGAAAAGAGTTGAACAAGAGATCATCAATGACAATTCATTAAACAAAGTATGAGTCTTATTTTGAGTTATCAAGGAATATCTGCCAATTGAAGGTTTGCCTGACTTTAACAAGGGCTGCTAAAGGCTATTATTTGGCAAAGACAACCCCTTGATTGAAAGTGGAAGGATAGTAACAGCTTAGTGTTTGGGAGGAACAGGAGCACTTAGAGTGGGATTTGATTTCGTGAAAAGACATTTCGCAGGAGATGTCTATGTCTCGAATCCTACTTGGAGTAATCACAATTAGATCCTTGACAGAACAGGACTAAACTAAATAAATTACCCCTATTATGATCCAAAAACTAAAGGATTTAATTGCACAGCAACTCTTGATTGTCTGTCACAAGCCAAATAGGGTTCAATAGTATTATTACATGTTTGTGCTCATAATCCAACAGGTGTGGATCCAACTGAAACCGAATGGTTATAAATTGCTGAAGTATGCAAAACAAGAAATCTGATACCCTTTTTTGATTGTGCTTATCAAGGATTTGCTAGTGGATGCATTGAAAAAGATGCATTTGCTGTACGCAAGTTTGCTGAACTTGGATTCTAAATGATCGTCGCTTATTCTTTCTCCAAGAATATGGGATTGTACAATGAACGAGTTGGAGCTTTGCACATTGTCACCTCCAGTCAGGAGATTGCTGCTAAAGTACTGAGCAATCTGAAAATTGTAATCAGAACTTTGTATTCTTGTCCTCCTGCTATTGGAGGGAGAATTGCAAGTAGAATTCTGTGCAATGAGAAGTATTACAACGAATGGATTGAAGAATTGAATACTGTTACAGGACGTATCATTAGAATGAGAACTCTCCTTAAGAGTGAATTAGACAAACTCAATGTCGAAGGAAATTGGGATCACATCACTAAATAGACTGGATTCTTTACATTCACAGGCTTGACACCAGAACAATGTGATTTATTGACTAAAGAACACCACATTTATTTACTTCGATCAGGAAGAATGTCAATGGTATTAATTCTAATTAATTATATAGGCTGGGATAACTTCAAAAAATGTAGGTTAATTGGCAGAAGCAATTAAAATTGTTGTCTAAAATAAATGAGATATATTATGAATTTATCGTATAATATGTTATCATTGAAGGCTTAGCTCAGGGGTAGAGCGTTGGATTCCAGGTCCAGGGGTCGCGCGTTCAATTCGCGTAGTCTTCAGATTTTTTATTTTTATATTTTTAATAATTAATTAAAATAACAGTTCGTGTAAGAATTATTCTTATATATTACACGCAATTTAATTACGCTATTCTAGATAACTCATCTATGTGGATGGAAGAAATTACATAAATTGTAAACTTAAACATTTATTTTAGATTATTAGATTCAAGGTCAAATGATGTAAAATTATGAGATATTCATCTTTAGAAAAGAAAATAAAGATAAGGAATGAAATTTTGAGAATTACATTTTTCATCTTCTGTAGTGTTTAATTCTTAGGGAAATACAACTAAGTTCTTGAATATCTCATTATATAAAAATTGATATATATATATAAATTTATTTCAATGATTTATAATTTTTCTAATATATAGTCTTATTGATGCAGTTTTATGAATTACTTGTAATGGGATTATTGTTAGCATTAAGCGATTCTTGAGCATATCACTCAAAATACGGAATACAAGAGGAATCCATATAAAAAAGTAAATAAAAAACAGAAAAATATTGAAACTGATAAATAGTGCAACTTTTAGATTCTTCTGGTCTTATGCACTGTTCTTTACTGAGTCGATCAAGGCCTAACTTACATACTAATAAGCAGCCTTTATATATCTTTCCTGCATCAATCTCATATTGTAAGCCTAATTAGTATTTACTAAATTCATCATAAAATTGGTCCTCTTATTTTCAGAAATCTTGTAAACTAGGTCATAATCTTAAAAGATTTATTGTAGGCATTTAATAAGAGTTGAAGGGACTTGCCGAAAAAACTTCTCCGAAATATTTGGCCATTCCAATAGATAATCCTTATTGCAAGACTCCATCATTAAAGTTTAAGCAGATGTCATAGGTTATTTAAGTGTCTATTTGAACTATGTAATCACAAGGTGTTAAAATGAAGATATTATTAAATACCTACAATATTTCAAATGATCTTTACATCTAAGTAGTCTGAATTGAGAATGCCTGAATTTGAGGAATGGATTTAGTGAATGGCTGCATCCAAGTTATACAGTTCAGCAATCAAAAAGTTCAGAACTTCAACTGAGGAGTTGCCAACAAAAGTGTACTATTCAACTTCTAATGCTTTTCGTAAGGCATTATCAGAATATCTGTAATAGCACTCTGCGAAGGAGGTCTAATTAAACACAGGTATTAAATCAATGATATCGGAAGTTTCAGACTAAAAATAATAAAGTAGAATTTACCTAGACTGAAACAAATAAATATATAAAATAGGCTGCCATTATTTCGATGACCAATAACAAAGCAAATATTAAATGCTTATAATTTTAATTGGAGTTTCTAAACTTCTTCCTCTTTTTTCTGCCATTCAATAAATTATCTCCTTCCTCTTTTTCCTTCTCTTTGTTTTCATTCTCCTCTTCCTTGTCATCATTGTCGGAGAAGAACTACTAAATTTATTAATTGTATTCTTTACATCGTCATCATCATCATCCCCAACTTAAAGACTTGTGATGAAATTCTCACACTTAACATAGATAGACTTAATTTTTTTCTCATTGAGATCTAAGAATAACTACAATGCTGCTTAATTTACTACTTAGATCTTTATTATGAATAAAATAATCAAACATATTCTAGTATAATTGAATTAAATACTAAAGAAACAATATGATACATGCTGCTGTCAGAAATGCAGTCACTGAAGTTTCTAATATTTCTCCTCTTGATATAATGTTGTATTTAAAATATTCAGCTGGAATAGTTAAACTTTATGTAATTGAGTTGAAAACATTATATTCAATATAATAAACGTCCCCATTCTGATCATTTATTTCATCCAAAGAACTACTATTGATTTACAACGCTTTAGCTATTGCAGATTGTACTGCTTCATTAAAAGTATAATTTTATTTTCCTCCCTCCAAAGATACCATTTCAACAATTTCCATTTCATAATAATCCTAGACCCATTTATAATCATCATTAATCTCAGCCGAAACCAAAGTCAAATCTTTCTACAATTAAATCAATTAAGTTAATTCCTTATCAAACCAGCCTCTAAACTATTTCTCAATTATCGTGTACCCTACCTCTGGATCCTTCAACAAAGGAAGTTGGTCATAATGAACACTTTTCAAATCCTATATGACTGATTAGATTCCCATTAAGGTACTGGATCTTTGGTTGTTCCATGACACCAAAGGCATAGAGTCCAATAGTTTCTAGTTGAAATCAGAGTTGATAAAATATTCTAAGAAAGTTATCAATACCAAAACTAATGTCATTATATTTATGAATATTCTGAAGTTGATTGCCGTTCTAGGTATCTTAGATTGAGATAACAATTATTCCAATTGGTTTTTTGATCTATATAGATTGATGGTATCTTTTTCATTCTTTTAATCGTCCTCATTGTTTTCATTCTATTAAAAGAGACTCTGCATATTGTCATCTTCATATTCATCTGACTTGGATTCTTCTATCTCAACAATCCGATCCCCAATTAATCTGACGATTTTGATTCCCTCTGCATAATTTGTTTAGCAATCACTTCCTTAAATCTGAGGATCAATTATGACCTATTGTGATACTTTTGTTTAATCTTCCCAAATAATACTTTAATCAACCTTTACAGTGGGATCTTAGGAATCTAATCCGTTTCCAAAATCCAGTACGTAAGTTAGAGTTAAATAATTAAATTTAAATTGAAATTAATTTTAAATGCTCTTATTTTGTGTATACAATTACATCTTCTCTGGAGATTTAAATTTGTCTAACTTTATAATATACCCTTGTAGTTTATTTTGGATGATTTCATCTTCTATACATTAAAACTTAATTTCTTAAAGGTAGCATTAAAACTAAATTTATTATTTATTCTAATGATCAAGTATTTATGAATGTTCTATTTCTAAATCTTGTAATGAATTATGAGATGTATTTGTCTTAGAGGATCGAGTTCCAATTACGTAAGTTAAAATTCCACCAGCTTTCTATAGTAATTCTTCTTTACGATCAAATATATCTGGAAAGATATCCAGAATGTTAACAGGTTTAATAGTAATTGACTTCAACTCCAACCCAAACATCCTGATGCAAGTAGAATTGATATTTTCGATGATGCCATTAGTTTAGCACAAAAATATACTTATAGGTTTATGATAGATATCCTATTTAATAGTCCCACACATAAAAACACCTGAATTAATAGTTTATATCATTCTGATATTTAATTGACACGGTATGATGTAACCCTACTTATTCTTAACGTAAATCGATTTTTCTTTAACCTATTAATTTGGATTGTTGTCCTGATACTTTTCCAGAAAATTCTCCAGGAAATGATCATGGTATTTCGAGAATCTATTAATTAAATATCTATAATTACAGATCTGGTTGTATCAAATTTAATTTCCTATTAACTAAGTCAGTTTTAGCATATCCCAATAAACTACAGGCTGCTTTATTCAGATTACTAATTGTTCCAATCTTATCTACATCAGTCAATATAGTTATTGTTGGTAGACATTCGTTTTGGATTTCTTCTAAATCTATTGCTTTAAACTTATCATTCTAATTCATTCGACTTTATTGAATCAACTTTTATCCCATTTCTTCATCATTCATAATTTGCGAGTAGTATTTCCCCATCAAACGATTTAGTTTGGATGCCTTTTAATTTAGTCGCTTTAATCTATTCCACTATTCTTAAACTAAATTTACTGAATCCAAAATCTTAAATCCCAAATTGTTGATTCTACCAATGTCTGGGACCTCTTCCTGCAATTAAGCCCAAAAGTCAATATAAATAAGAGAAGTTTTCTCTATTTGCTATATTAACTATTTGCTTTGAGTCTGAAAGGCTATTTCAGTGACCAAATCAACTTGATTAATATTCTCTTGTTATTGTTCCTGCAAATCGTCTTCCATTATTCTTTTATATCTATAGATGATGAATTCATGATCAAAACTAGGACCACTAGATTCTGCTTATTGCAATTCACTCAAGGCCTGCTACTTCAACTTAAGTCTATCGATAAGGAAGTATGAGTAGTTTAATCTCAAAAAGACATCCTATGGGAACTGTTTGATGCCATCATAATAGATTTAGCTAATCAATTCTATGAATACAGTGTATCTTTCCATGTCGTGAAGGGAAGCATATTTATTTTTTTCATTCAGACTTTTCTTAAATTTTAATATGCAATCATTCCTATAACAAGTTTGTTTGTGTACTTCAATAAATCCATCTAACATCAATGACGAATGCTGATCATTCTTATCCAATAAGGATAGAAGATATTCGCATAGTATGATGATCTGCTATCCTGATATTGCCCTATTGATATTTGAACCCAATAAGTCGACTTCAAATAATTGCTCATTCACTATGATCAAAACAATGAGTGGAATGCCTCCGACCCAACCCCAAATGACATCTCTAAAGAATTGGCCTTCCAAAAGATATGCGAAAATTAGCATAATGGAAGTCCACATATTCAAGGCAGTGATTATGGACCACAATTTTTAGATGACTTTATTGTAGAAAGGTTTTTCTGTGTGAATTTAATAAAAGAGGAAAAAGCTTGAGATAGTGAAAATGGCCAATAAGAGAGAGCTGAATCTTGGGGTTTCAAGGAGTTGATATGACATGATGATGATGAAGACGTTGATGTGATAATAGGAATAGGGTCTTCCTGATCGTTGGGCAAATGCATTTCCATAGACAAATTTGCTCTCGAAATAAATTAAACATGTAGTGCTGGTCAGTATCTGAAACAGTAGGATTGCTATGATTGCAAATATGGCGTGGATGTAATGATCGTTCCCCCAACATTCAACGTCTGCGTTGTAAGACCAAACCTCAATTCCATTGCTATTTACTTTGCATGAAAGAATCTAAAAAAGTAATAGTGGTATATTTGTACTCCAAAAAATAAGAGCATAATGGGGAGAAAGCCAATTGTCAGAAATAGTTTCAGCAATGATTTCAGTATCATTAGGGGAAGTACTGCTACCTTAAATGCGAATGCAAATATGACAAATAGTGCAATTGATATGACCACTAATCCAAAAAAGGCGTAAAAAAAGGCTAGGTAGAGCTCGAATTTTTAGTGTTTCAAGTGAGCGCTTATGACGAAGTATCTTATCGATTATTTAAATAATTACGAAAGGATATTACTGAGATCGGTTGCTGCTCCTTCATTATTCCACACGTACATTATTTTAGATCCAAAAGCCAGGTAGGTTAATTGGAGGAATTACACGATCGAAAAAAAGATGGAGACATATAGGGATTCTTCGCCCTGTTTCATCATCAGGTATACCACTCTAATATATATATGTTTGTCTTTTTACTTGTAAATACTCAATTTTATCTCATTGGCTAATCTGATTATTTAAGAAATATTTACATCAGATGAGGATCGATTGAACATTCTTATTATTATAATAATTATCAAATATTAATTTAGGGTTTCTCAATTCAAAAAAATATTGCTTTATCATTATTTTAAAAAAAGTAAATACGATTCGATATGAGTCTCAAATAGGAATTTACATAAACTCTTTGGGATTAATTGAAGCTGTCACTATTTAAGTATGCATTTCTCATAATCCTAGTGTTGCGTACTAAATTATTGGCTAAAACAACCAATCTTTTTAAACCACTTGCTTGCTCTCTTTTATCTAATTTATCCAGCTTTTATATTTTCCTTTTTAAATATAGCTTTAATTTGCATGGCATAATGTCAAATTATCAGGGGAAATCCAAAAGTTTTTGTAGTATTTCACTTCCATAAGAATGCTTAACTAACAGAAAACTTCCGTCTATCTAATAGCAATGTACTGTGGTATCAGTATTGTTCTCTTAATTGCAATTATTGTGTTGTTGGCAACCATCTTAAAATAACTCCTTAATAATTAATTTCTTATGCTTGTCCTAAGTGTTACATTAAAATTAATCATGACGGCCGGATTTGTTGAAATCTTGAGATTACATTTGGGCGTACTATATTTAAAATATAATATAGTTTTTGGTGTGTAAGAGAGACAATAGAGGAGAATTAAGAATGTTCTACACGACCGATTAAGTCTGTTGGCAGGACAGTTATATTATTCATGCCTGCATAGTTATCTTTTCATTGGCCGTCTTGTTCTTCATTGTAATTATTGGATCATAATTATTTATTGAAGTGAGAAATAACCAAAAAAATACATTTTCACAAAGAGAAGGGTCTACCTACACATTTATGTTTGTGTATGTATCATTGTCAATGTTCTCCTACTCCTTAATAGAACTACCCAAATATGCCGTAATCGTGATCCTCATTCAATTGCTCACAAGTTTCCTTTTCTTTTACAAAATTAGATTCAAAAAGCCTTTTTATAATAGAAGTGTCTAAAAAATTTGGTCAGCCATCAGCGGTTTAGTTTTTTATACCAATTTCATGCTATTAACTACATTTACATTCGAACACCTAGTATTTATAGGTACCATGAAGGGTTGGCTTGTGACTATGCCTATGCTTCTGGTTATTCTCCTGTAGGATGAAAGGTCAACAGTCAACTTATTAAAATCAAACATGATTTAAGAACTATCCAGCTAAGAAATTATCTAACTCTCTGAATTTTTGATTGAATTATGTGATTGCTTTGAGAAAGACAAAAATAAGGAAATTCTAGTGTTGGGTTTCTTGGAAGTCCATAAACAGACTTGCTTGAATCCTTAGTGTGCAATTAAAACATCTATCGAACTCGCTAAAAAGTTTAAAGACAACCTCAAATATACAGACAAAAGGATGATTTTAAAAGAAATTATAGATTAAATCTATTAGGTTGGCCTTTAGACCTATCCGCTTAACGTGGATTTAAAGTTGCATTATTCTTATTTCCTTCTTGATACTTTAGAGTAGGGCTAGAAGGCATTAATAGAAGTGGATAAAGCCGATATGTGTTGTCCATCTTTTGCTTAACAATTTTTAATATTCAAGATGAGGAAGATTATCGATTAAAATTACCAGAGATCAGCAACAACAAATTAAGTTAAATACATTTAAACTCTGGATAGAAGCATGAAATACTAGTATAAACAAATTTAGTAGTTGGCTGAAGAATGTGCCTATTATAAAATTTAATTCTGGAATACTTTATTAGATGAAAATCCTAATTTATCCTCAATACAAAAATATGGAAAATTAATACTAGAATCTGTTCATTTATTGAAAAAATAATTATTCAAAATTTAAATAAATACTCCTTTAGATTCATCTATCTATAGACTTATTGAGAAGTTTTCTAAATATGTTCATTAATTGGAAAATTATAAAGGTTTTCAAATAGCAAATAAGCAGAAAGTAGTTTCTCAATAATCAGAACATTAATATCTAAAAAATCAAGATGAACTAAGCATGTATTCATATCCAGTCATAGTCTTGGAATTATTTGGTAAACCAAATCAACCAACAATAATCAAGAATGTCAATTAAGCTTTCCATTCTTTATTGGGTTACTCCAAAACAGATGTCATAGGAAAACCATTATCATTAATCCTATAAAGCACGTAATCAAAAATAAATAATATAGATATTAAAAATTGCATAGTGTTTTTGTAGAATCATATTTTTCCTAATTGAGACCTGATCAACTAAACGAAACAGGAGAGAGATCTTAGTTTTTGGTTTCTAAAAATAAATACATACTGTAGACCTTTAGCATTAACTCAATATACATGTCTGATAAAGGTATATTTTAGTTTTGTAGACTGAGACAAGAAAAATGTTATAACAATTGTGCATATATCATCTTTAATTTAGAAGGCAAAATAGAGAGCATTTCAGCAACTTGCATATCTATACTCAATTTGGACATTCGTCAATTGCAAATTCGCTAATTGACAATTTAAAGGTTGTTCCCTTATTTAATGTATAACAAGGAAGAGTATATCAATAAAATGAACTTGGTTGTTTTTGAACATCAGACGCACTCATTAAGTTAAAGTTCAGATCATGAAGAAAAGTTTAATGACTCATGTATCTCTCGGTTGTATTATGCATAATTATACGAAATATCCACCAAAAATTACATGTTTTCTTAAGGAGATTATCGCTAATAGATTTACGGATACTACTTAAAAGTACAAATGAATGAAGCAGCCACTACGAAAGATGATTATTGTCTAATCAAAAGGAACATCTTCAAACATCAATTCAAGTTTTCAGTTGAATAAAACGCCTACATCTGTAATATTAAATTTATTATATTAGTCGAGCATGTCAGCCAATCAACATCTTAATATGAATCTAATAAGAATGATAGCGATGTCTAAGATGAACCAAAGGTTGCTATTTACACCTAATAAAGTATCCCAAGCAAGAAATTCCTTTCGATGACTAATCTTAAATTGTAATCAGGTTTAGGCCATGATATCAAGACATTGAGATTGTTTCAAGGAGAAATCAAGGAAATCATTGATCTAGATTAAGACGAGGAGGAAGAAGAATAGATTAGAGAACGAACTTAGAAATTGCAACTTGAAGAAGATAAAGAGTAACCTTAATAAATTAAGATAAATAATCAGGAAGAATTAATGTATCATCTCTTGAGTGTTCCTTATTCTCCTCTTTTAAAGAAACTCATTTTAATTCTGAATTCTTTATTGATTCTAATGTTTGTTATTGCTATTGTGATGTACAAAGTCATTATAAATACTCAAAATTAATTTGAATCAGCAATCTCATACTTAGCAGCATCTAATTAAAGATTTGCATCTATTCTAAAGATTTAATCAAATTTGTAAGATTTGAGAGGTTGTTATTTGAATCTTGAGCAGTACACTATGAAAACTACAGGAGGCAGGTATGTACAAATCAATTATGCTGAATTGAACAATGAATTGAAGATTTTACTTGAAATTGATCAAATTTTAACTTCCGCCAACGTTAATATTAACGAGAAATATCAAAAGGTATTAGATGATTTTTAATCTGCCTCAGTGTAAATGTTTACAAAAAACAATAATTTTCAAAACTTCACTTTTACTTAAGCCATAGAATAAATGATATCTAAGGCTATCACTTTAAATAACTCGAACATATCAGCTTACGTCGATGATAATGAGGATTTTCACTATTATCTTCACAATACACTTAATTCAATTCCGAAGTATTAATTAGTTTCACAAGCTTATTATTACTACAACATTCTAAGTTTAATAGACGATCTAGAAATAGAGGAGGAATCATTTTTTACTATACAAATCTGTTGCCTTTCATTCATATTTCTATTCTTTTAATTATATGTCTTTTTCCATTAAAAGATTGTAAAGGAGATTATCTCTTTGTATTTGGAGATTAGAGATAACTACATTAGAAAGATGATAAATTAATTTTAAATCTTTATTTAGTTATTATAATTAAATGAAAATGATGAGGTAATTGTTATTATTATCAGAGATTGAATCCATAGAAGAAGATGCTGAAGTACAAGAGGAATAAGACTATAACTTAGGATTCTCTAGCAAAAATAAAAAAAGAAAATCTACATTCGAAATGAACAATTACCGAAAAGTACAAGTTAACTTCCTATTCTTTCTTACTTTAATAATTTCCTACTTTTCCTACATCTACTTTTCATCAACTGTAAAATATTCATACAATTATAATTTAGACTATTACTGATTAAACTAAGTCCCTTGTTCCTTTGGTGAATCTAACATCATTTATGCCCACACAATATAGGTTGATTGATAATAGTATTAAGGAGATGCTTTACGATGAGAACGCCATTTTGTTTAATGAGTTTAATTCACAAGAGAAGTTAGAAAAAGAATTGGAAGAAGTCAGGCTTTTGGATGCAGAACTTCATGCTTTGAATTAAAAGAATGAACTGATTCTATCAGATCGATATAAACAGGTGTTTAATGAAATTTACATTCTAAATCCATGTGATATCATATTAGCAAATGATCCCTCTGTGAACTCAACAGCTTGCCTAAATTTTAATTAAAATATACTTTAGGAAGGTCTATCAATTGCAATAACAAACTTTTTTGAAAATGCTCAAAATATGCTACAACAATACTAATATTACAATAAAAATGCTGTTTATAATAATTTAACCTTCAATATCAGTTCAGATCATCGTCAAAACTACACTTGTAATATTTATAACACAAGAGGTGGCAATGCAAATAGAAAAATGCAAAAGGTATTTATAAGAGTGTGTCATATGCAATTATTAGAGGAATTACAAAGTTATTTATATTCTCATTATTCTGATTTATAACTGCAATTTACTCTTCTATTCATGATATTTTGTGTGATATCGGTTCTAGTCTATTTTGTTATTTGGATTCCATTGCAAGCAAGGTTTTATTCGGAATCCAAAACAGCCAGAGAAATATAGTCACTTATTCCAGTTGATCTTTTTAATAATTGCTAATCTTTACAGGCATACCTCAGATAGATTAAAGAAAAACGTTGATTTTTATTTGGTCGAATGATAATAAAATAAAACTTTGATTATTTTAACTCAACCCAATTACAACATCAATTCAATCATTAATTCTATATAAAAATCAATGTCTTTCTCAGTTTTCACTCCAAATTAATCTACATCACTTGGCTAATTTTAAATCTTACTTTCATATTAAAATACTAATTTAACATTTTAGATTTAAGCCTAAATCCTATAAGTTTGATATTTTCAAACCATTACTAGTTTTCCAGTTCATTCAAAAATAACAGTTATCTATTTTCAAGAATTTATGATTACCCATGTCTCATCACAAAACTTAAAGAGAGTTTGTAATTAATATCTGGAATAAGAGAAGAACAAGGTAGATGGGAGTTTTAGTGAATTGGACTATTAATTTTCATAAACTGATACATATTTCAATAAAATTTTATAAAATTAATTAAAATAATATGTAATTAGAGGGTCCAATAAGTTTTGAATTTAATTGTTTCAAAAAGGGATAGAAGGGCACAAAACAATACAAAGGAATATCAAATAACAACAAGCTTGATCTCTACAAAGTTGTAACGTTAATTTAATAGATTTCAGGAGAACGCCAAGGCCCCAAAATATTCTTTGCCCATCTAATTGTAGACTCACATCAAATGGGAGGTTGAGGAAGAGATTGTTAATGGGAAGAAGCACTACAAAATTGTGTCTTTCAAATTTTAATAAGTAATTTGTGGCAATTAAATTTTAAGATTAAACAGATAAGAGACTCTTAAATTGCTAAGGTTACTTGTTTTTTTGGAGATGATGTTACTCTTTCTAAATTAAAAGAACATCTGAGAAATAAAATAATCTTCCAAAGAATTTAAGATTTCTACACACCTCTCCAAACCTTGGGAAAAGGAGCTTCTTCGAGAGTGTTATTGGTTAGACACAAGAACTCTGAACTCTATTATGCTGCCAAATGCGTAGATAAGTCATATGTCAACGAAACAGAAAATGGGATTGTAATTTGCTTATTTTAATATCAAGGAATCGATGTTTCAGGAGATTTCTATCAATAATGACTTAGATCACCCATCATTTATTAAATTACATGCAGTTTATGAAGGCGACAACACTTTCTATATGGTAATGGATTTGCTGGAAGGAAAGAGTTTGCACGATGAATTAAATAGCCACAAAAATGGATTTCCTGAAGAAATAGTGCGTAATGTGATGTGGGTATAACATTTATTTAAAAATTAATTTTTAGTAAATTCTGACTGGAATCGAATACATGCACAAGAAGAACATTATGCATCGGGATCTTAAACCAGAAAACATAATGTTGCAAAGGAAATCAGATTTGAATTCTTTAAAAATAGTAGATTTTGGGTTGGCAACCTACTGCAATATTGACAAGTAACCATTAATAATCTAAAGTAAGGTATTTGTTTCCAAAATGCGGGACTCCTGGTTATGTTGCACCAGAGATAGCAAATTTAATTGATAAATCAGAAAAGTATGACAAAGTATGTGATGTCTTTAGTGCTGGCGTTATATTCTTTAAATTGTACTCTCTATTATTCTATAAGTTGATAGACTGACTGGTAAAGATCTCTTCCCAGGTGTAGGATTTAATTTAGTATTAAAGTTAAATAAGCAATGTAAAATTGATTTGACCCCACTACAAATGAAGAAGGTAGATCCCAGCATCATTAATTTGATACAAAGAATGCTTGAAAAAGACCCCACCAAAAGGATATCAGCTAGTGCATGTTTGTTGGAACCATTCTTTGAAAAAAGCCACATGCAATTTCAAGAACTCAAGTTGCAATAGACATCCACTCAAAAAAAATAATTCTTCTCTTCTGGAGGAAAGAATTTTCAAACTCAAGAATTTCAAAGTGATTCACCTTAAATATAAAATACAAAACAAATAGACAAGGGCTCTTTTGTCACCCAGGATTGTGCATTCAAAGGATTCAAGGAACCCCAACATGGCAAAGTCATGCAAAAATTCAATACTACTGAATTCGATCATGTTGATCCCAATATCAATGGAAGTCCTATTGAAAAAAAAAATAGTAAATTTACAAACGATTAGATAGAGGAGGAGGATGAGAAATGATACAATATAAATATTGAAAATTTAATTATTTTTTTATCAAAACCATTTATTTAAGGGAAATCAAGAAATTCAGAATTTTTCATTTAATTCGCTATTTTCCAAGGAACTAGATTAAAGAATCATATTCGCTTAGAAATTTATAAAGTTTTCAAAAGAATATATCTGAATAAAAATATTATAATATTTCATATTAATTACACTCATTTAATAATAGATTAGTCTCTTAATTTTGTAGTCAATGGAGGTTGATGTGAACTGAATAGATAATTAAAATATCATTAAAATTTATATATTACATGATGAGTTTAAGGAGTAATTTAGCGTTATTGCTTTTTAAAATAAGCAAAAAAACGCAATCTCTTTGTTATTTTTTATTTCTCATTTATTTGATAGTATAACTTGGTTGATGATAATGTGATGACGATTCATTTGATAGTGTAATTTTATCAAATCTTGATTATTAAGGCGTCGATAATTTCATGATGTAAGGTCTCACCATATCAATTGTTTCTTTACAATTTTGAGCCAATCTGTCATTCACGAGTGTTGAAAGTGAACACAGAAGAAAAGAGCATTATTCAAGAATATAATTGCTTTGGACTTACTGTTGAACTAATTTTGGAAAACAAAATGTATATCGTTATTAACTAATTTTAGTGAAATAAGAATGAACACAAAATAATTATTCAATCATTGTTGAACATTTGAATAAGTAGGAGTGGATTACTCCCTCAAACGACGATTGAGAATGGGGTTCATGTATGGGTTGTATGTAGTATAGGTTTCGGTTGTCTCCTTTAAGATGATGTCAATATCTTAAGATTTTCTGACCTTGGCCATCACTTATTTCAACTACCCATTGTTGTTTTTTGTGCTTCCATGGCAGATTCCCATTATAATTTATTTAATAAATTATCTTCTGATTTTCATTTTAAATTGGTTTTTAGAATGTGATTAATAAATTACATTTCGATTTTAAAATTCTTGAAACATTCAAAACAATAAATCTAAAATATTTATGACGAGACGAGCGAATAAACAGAAAAAAAAATATTTTCTCATATTTTACAATATATATGAAACAATAAAGGTAATTAAAAATTTCATTCAATTTAGGTTAGTGGTTAAGGCGAAGTCGGAATTTCCTTTAATCTTCGATTTAAAATAGGATTTTTGAAGGGATTTAAATATGATGATTAACTTGCTCTCTATTTTAAAATCGATTCAAAATCTTGGGAAAGCCTAACCTGTGCAACAACTTCATGTAGTTCACCATTATTGATTGATTTTTACGACTTTGAGACAGCACAAGTTCCCATTTTAATATATTATATTAATCATGATATTAATCAAATCAATTTTGTTTTATAGTGACTTTATAAAATACCAATCAGTTTCTAGTATCTAAAAATAAAACATAATTTCTGAAATAAGTACAGATAAGTAAGAAAAATACTTAAACACGCATATACAATGTCCTCCGTGGAAACCCCAAAAATATTATCATTTTATTTATTTCTAATATATAATATCGATAAATACTTCTAGAAAACTAATTTAATAATGAATAATCAAAATTTTATGCCATTTATTATTTGACATGAACTCAATAAAAATCGGTAAAATTTTATATTTCTATTTTTCAAATCATCTTTATTTTTAAAACTTCATTGAAAATATTTATCTGAATTGACAATTAATATTGAATCTGAACAGTTGCAAGATCATAAAGATCATCTTCTGGTTTAGGTAAATAATAATTATATAAATAATTAAATTATAATAACACCTTAAGATTAAAGAAAATTATGCTAATAATTTTGTAGTTTTTCCTCAAATTTAACGAATCAGGAATTCAGAATAACCATTTTTAATCAAAAATCAATTGAAAATTTAACTTAACATTTGTCTTGAATATATATTGTATATCAACATTAAGGATATATTCAATATAACTTTGATATTAATTTATTGTTGCTTATATATATTTAATAGTGCCTATAAAAATTAATTAAAATCATTTCTCAAATTTGTGACACATAATTTTTGTATACATAGTATATATGAATACATTTCAAATTTGATTGAATTATAAAATGTTCAAAAAATTATTTGCTCTAGGACTTGGAGGAAGCTTAATAAATTATAGTGTTAAGTGCTGTGGGATAATTGGTGTATTAACTACAGAGGATAATGCAGAAAAAGTAATTTTTGAAGGAGTTCAATTATTATAAAATAGAGGTTACGATTCTGCAGGAATTGGTACCGTCAACAAATAAAAGGAGGTAATCAAATAAATTTATTAATTAGTTGGTAATATCAAAGCATGCAAGTGATTAAATAAACAAGGTGGACTGCTTCGTGAAGTTAAATCAAGAATTATAGAAACATATTCAAAGTTAAGTTGGAATCGGTCATACAAGATGGGCCACTTGTGGAAGCAAAACTGACAACAATGCTCATCCCCATTCAGACATCGCTAAAAGGGTAGCCTTAGTTCATAATGGGACATTGGAAAATTATGTAGAATTAAAAGAGGAGCTTATTTAAAAAGGGATTTAGTTTTCTTCAGATACAGACTCAGAAGTAATCGCCTAACTGATAGGATAAGAAATATAAAAGCAAAATTTTCTAGAGGCTGTTGAATCTGTCTTAACGAGATTAAGAGGATAATGGGGTCTAGCTGTGATTGATAGAGAAAACCCTGCTTAGATGATTGTATGTAGACAAGGAAGTCCGCTTTTGGTTGGATATGCTGCAAATAGTATATTTGTAGCAAGTGAAAAAATTGCATTTGAAAAATATACTTAGAATTACATAGCCTTACAAGATGGCGAAGTGATGCTATTGTAATTAGAGAATAGAAATTAGTTATATAATCAGATAAAGCATAGATTAATTTTTAATGAAAATTAAGAGGTTGAACAAGTACACTTAAAACCAAAACAACCTTATTAAACATTTTTTGAGATGGAAATACATGAATAACCAAATAGTCTATTGAGATGTCTGGGAAATGGGGCAAGACTAGCAGGTTTTACTGATTGCGCAAAGTTAGGAGGTTTGGATATGAAAGAGAAGGAACTTTGTGAAATTAAGCATCTAATTTTGATTGGATGTGGAAGTAGTTTCAATGCAGCTCAAAGTGTTTTACCAATTTACAAGAGCTTCAGAACTTTTGAAAGTGTTTAGGCAATAGAAGCAAGTGAATTTCAAATCTACGATCTACCTTATTCATCAGTAGGGATAATATTCATTACATAATCTGGTGAAACTAAAGATATAGTGAGAGTATTGAATCTAGCGAAACAATAAGGAGTTACTACAATAGGAGTGTATAATTATGATATTATTTTATTAGTGTAAATGTAGTGGGATCATTAATAGCAACCAATGTTGATTGTGGTGTTTATTTGAATTCAGGAAGAGAAGTAGCAGTGGCAGCCTCAAAGTCATTCACTTCTTAGACGACAGCTTTAATATTAATTGGATTGTGGTTTAGTTATTACAAGGAAAAGAACAATTATTTGCCTTAGAATACAAAGATGAAACCTCTAAGAGAGAAATATGTCAACTAATTAAGAATGCTACCAATGGTATTTGGCTAGGGCATAGTGGAATGTTAGGCGAGTGTCAAATTAGTTGCTAAAATATTGCAAACCAAACAAAGTTTATTCGTATTGGGTAAAGGATCAAATTATTCAATTGCAAAAGAGGGAGCTTTGAAAATTAAAGAACTAACTTATATTCATGCAGAAGCCTTCGCCTCAGGAGAAATGAAACATGGACCTTTGGCATTGATTGATTCATCGAAGGAGAAGGAAACATCCATCATTTTAATCATTTTGGATGATGAATTCCTTCAAGACATGAAGTTATCTTTGAGTGAAGTTCATTCCAGGAATGCCAGGACTATTGTAATCACTGATTCTGCTTAGAGTTTGTCAAACACTATGAACAAGATTGATCATTTGATCTAGATTCCTAAAATTGGAGAATAGTTAAATTGGTTATTAAGTGTCATTGTATTCTAATTGCTGTCTTTGGAGATATGTTATCTTTAAGGTATTGACCCTGACAAACCCAGAAATCTTGCCAAAACAGTTACTGTCGGTTGATATGACTAACTATAAAAATCAATTAAAATCATTATGCTTAATAAAAATCAACTTCCTTTACTATCAAACTCTTCCCAAGCTCCTGTTATAACAAACAGTCAATCAAACAAAAATAACTCCCAAATGTCTCTTATGGAGGGAAACTCAATGAGACAGAGTGGTATTTCTGCCAATTTGACATTAAATCTCACAAAAACAAGGATCACCCGATATCAAGATACTTCATATTTGCAATAGAAAACAGTCGTTCCAACATCGTTAAGCAGTTTAGTGGATGATCCAAAGCTCCATGAATATGTAAATGTTTAGTATTAGCCAAGACACAATAAAGATTAAAAACCAATTTTTATGGAACCATGTATAGAAATTCTTAGAGCATGACGTCCTACAAAACCAACTTCACAGAATTGGATTCTAAAGATGGCACCTTGGATTTGAATCCATTACTCAAGAATGTAAAATCCTCATAATTATAATCTTACTTGAAGAAGATTATTCAACAATAAAGTGATAAGATTTAATAGAGTTCGACTTTACCTAATAGACAGATGGCAATAGACTTATAGTTGTGGTTTGATTACATGATTAAAAAAGTGAAGCAATCAGTCTCGGTAGAGAATAACAACACTCAAAACATAGCTGAAGAGATCTCGCTTATCTACTCGTCTTGTCTAAAAGAGATCATCAGATAGGTATCCTTGGATTGCAAAGAGCGAGGATAGTTACTTGAAAAGGTTTGGAATTCTTATATTGTCTTAATTGATGATTTAATTTCAAATATTAATAAAACCAATTAAGAGAACCTTGAAAAATTAAAAACTATTTAATAATCTTAACAATTAAATTAGACCCAAAAAAATTATCAATAAGACTATCTAACCTTATCGTAGGAATTCCAACAGTTTAAAATTGAGAAAGAGGCACTAGACAAGAAAAACACATTTCTAGAGGACAGAATTAAAAAGCAGAGAGAAGAAATCTCATTGCTCTATTAAAAAATAGAATAAATCTCACAAGAATACAAGAAGCATCAAAATCATCAAGCTCAATCCACTGATGTAGTAATTCAATTGCCAAATGGATTTTCTAATATGCAACTCAAGCACTTACAAAGTATTCAAGAAGGAAAGTCCATAGTTTCACATATTATGACCAAAAAGGCTTAAATTCCCATTCAACTTAAAAATAAAAGCTTGTCTCCCATCTAAATTGTTAAGACCTCAGATGACGAATAAAGCAAAACTCCACTGTCGCAATTACAACTTGAATTTGATAACATGGAGGATTCTCAATTGATTAAGATACAAAAATATCGTAGAAAATCAAATGCGATGTAGAATGTAATCTTGGATGAAAGTATCTATTTGCATTATTTTAGAATAAACATAGACAGATAAAATGATTTTTAGCAGCATACCTATTTTGAATGAATTCATTCATAATTTCATTAATCATGGTGTGAAAGCTATCTTTGATGAGGTCAAAGAAGATGAATATAGAGAGTCCACTTAAATTGTAAGGTGTGCAACTTCTATTTCCATTGCTTAAGAAGACTTTGTCATAGAAACTATTAATAAGTCAAAAATTAAGCAAAGGGTTTATGAAGAATTGTAAGAGTACGTTACAAAACTTAATGATAAATATATAGAATTTCAATCAAAAAATATAGAGCAAATGCTGATCATAAAGGAGCATTAGGTTGTAGCTTAGAATTTGGAGCAGAATCTTAAGGAGGCAACTTAAGATTTCGTAGAAATTCTAAAGGAAAAACAATTGACTATAAAAACTTTAAAGCATGGATAAACTCAACTGTTGAAAAAGCTCAATTCAATTAGTTAGGAATAGTTATCCTCTAAACGATCACCTTAATTTCCATCACCAACCAGAAAGACACCTAGTTTTAAAAATACTTTTGACTTCAATAAGGAAGCCATATCCAAAGAGATAGATATAATTAAGGTAGAGGAAGATGATGACAACAGTTCAATTAAATCTGATGATGAAAAGCAGAAAATTAATTAGACTTTTCAGATCAATAATGAGGTCTTACATTTAAATGTACTTCAAGATCAAGATGAATGTGATGGGTAATTATAAGGAGACGAGAAATAGGAAATAAATTTAGATACATCAGCCTATGCTGAAGATGAGAATCCATTGAATGATTAGAAATCTGAAATTACCCAATCTTTGTAATTGGATCTACAATTAGAAAGCAAAAAGGTCGATGAAAACAGAATGAGTAATGTCAAGGAATTAATTCAAAAATTTGGATTGCAAAGACAATCTACTAAGAAATTTACTAAGCCTCTTTAGATGAGAGTGTCTTTGTTAAATGAACTCAAGCAGGACAAAAAGAAAGTGAAACGTATTTATAGTTAGAATACAGATGCTGCCAATTCTTTGATGAAAGAACTGATAGCGAAGACACCTACTAAAAAGGTTGTTAGGATTCCGATAATTCCAATCATATAGTTATTAAAGATATTTTATACACTAATTTTGGATGCATCTAAAAATCCAGAGGGTTACAAGATACCTCTTCATATTAGTATTTACGATTATTTTCTTAAGAAGTATGGTTTTAAGAACGTGGCTGAGAAGAAAATAAAATAAATATTTTAGTTCATATGTAGTAAGATGGAGACTTTACCTAAAATGTAATTTATGGCTAGACTCTGTTATATGCATGGGGAAATGGATGAAGCTATTTATAAGTAGATTGTTGAGACGGTGAAATATTTCAATAACAAGGAGGTCAATTTTCATAAGAATGATTTGATTATTCAATTGGATTTGATGACTGAGTATTGCAATGAATTTCTGGCCAACTTTCTTGGATAAAGCACTGTGAATCAATATCTTAATTCATTGAAGCATAAGAAGGAAATATTGTTTGAACCAGAAATGATCACAATATTGAATTTATACTTTTCAAAGAAGAAGCAATGTGAAGATTCATTATAACTGATATTTTAGGCTGCTGATTTGGATGGAAATCAATTGATTGAGTTTTCTGAATTTAAAACCTTGTATAAGGCAATTCATCCTGATCTTTATAATAAAACTAAGGCCTTGCATTAATTTATTACATTCGCAGATTTCATAGATGAGAATACCAAAGATAAAATGATTACATTGGATCGATTTGCTGAAATGGCGATAGAGTTGAATTTGTTTAATCGAGAAAAAATCAATTAATATGGTCAAGGAAGCCAATCCTTAGTCCATGAATGGAATGAAAATAAAAATTTGATTAAATATCGGTACTTGGTTTCCAATAACTACCATAAAGTCAAATACACGTTTAATTTACTAACTGAGTAAATTTAATTGCATATGCAAAAGCAAAACTGCAGTCATTCAATTTAAAGTATGATAAACAATTATATACCAAGTTCTTTGGGTGAGTTACAAATTGCTATTTGAGAGATCCTAAAGAGTCATTTTAAAGTAACCTATAATGTATTAATCTTAGTTATGAATTAAAATAACTTATGGATGACTTTGTTCCTCAGGAATTAGCTTAAATTACTTAGATTTACAATGCAATAGCAGAAATTAATTTATGATGATCAATCTATAGTTCATATTAAATATATCAGATTTTCCTCATTATTCTCACATTCCCTCAGCAGTTCAATCACATATTGAGATAACTACACAGGATTACAAGATTTGAGATTTGAACTTGCTAGTATAATTAATAAGATGATTTGGCCCTTCGTAAAAAAAACTAGATTTAATTTTAATGCTTACTAATTATTATTATATATTTGATCAAATAATAATTTCAAATCTTTAAAAATATGCTCACAAAAATGCATTAGTAAATTAGTTAGCTCTTGAATGGTGAAATACTTCAGATTAATTAATAGATGAGTCAGTTGATCATATTTCGGATATTGCAGTTAACTTAGTATTTTTCTATAATTATGGCTTCTTATCATGTTAAATTAGACAGTTTTCACTTGAATTCTCTGATCACCATATTGAAAGCATCGTTATTGGATTATGATAGTATTCCAATCTTTTTAGGCTATTTCTCTACTTTTATAAGCTTTGCAATCTTAACCTACCTACTAATACTAAGTTGCTTCAATTTAAATTAAATGGCTATCGTTAAACAGGTGATACTAATATACATCGGATTACTTCCGCAATTTATCTGCTATTTATAAATATCCATAACTGCGCATACACTGATAAAAGAAGAAAACAATTTATTTGAATAAATGCTTGGGACTATAACCATAATAATAATATTTATTCAGTCATTTTTAAGCCTCTTGTTTATGAGGAACACTTATTTGAGTCAAACTGTGCTGTGCAGAGACCTCACGATAATAGGATTGCTGTCTCAAATACTGAAGTTTACGACAATTTTATTTTATTTTTACAACAGTGATCAAGACAATACGATGTACATCATAACCTTGATAAGTGCCTTACTATGGACAATATCGGAGACAGCTGATATCCTCTACTATTACCCTTACAGTTTGTCTGACAATTAGTTATAGTTTTGTTTAAATTCCATTAAAATAGTATGCACCATAACAAGGCTTCTGGATGCATCGCTTTAATTTGAATAGGCAGTCGTTATATATGAGTTGATTCTGGGCGTATTGGGATATTTTGCTAGCAGATAGATCTTTCGAATTCTTCTCTATAATAATTGCTTCCATCTCTTTTCCTAAGCAATTTCATAAGAGTAATAGTCTCTTTATTTCAAAATAATTCTGTACCTCAAGGAACAGCAGAAGGAGTAGACCAACATCCATCAATCCTTTTTGAGTTGCAACGTGATGAATTTGCACCAGAAGTATTGCGAATAGAAGTGCTAAGTAATGATTTATTTTAATGAGGCATAAGTATATTCCCATATCTTAGAGTGCTTAATTTCAAGGATATTCTAAAATGAAGATGAATCCCTATTCCTTTATAAAATCAGCTATATCGCATTCATAAAGAAATAATATTCCTTGAGTTTGATGAAGATTAAACAGTATCAAATATTCAATGGACACAACCAAAGTTGGTATTTTAAATTGATGGTTCTTGACATTACAAAAAACATAGAGAAAGAGATCCAGCAGGTTCTTTATAGTACGACTGTAGCATAAAATTGGAATAAATATACTTATTTGACATCCAAAGACTTGGTTGAATTTGAATAATAGGAAATTGAATTAATTCCCTTAATTTCTTAATTGATTAACAAAAAAATAGATATTTGGTAGTCTCAAATCAGAGGATTCAAAAACATATACGATTTACAAATGAAATTGGTCAACTTCTCATCACTCATTGATCAAGTCAGAAAGATGTTAGCTAAAATCTTCGAAAGAGATATTAATGACTTAAGCATTACTTTAATCAATAATATTTATCATCTAAGAGTATTATCCTTATACTATTCTTTGATTATGAATGATTAATTGAACAGTTACCTGTGTGAAAAGTAGATTTAAATTGTGTATTACTTCGAATAAACCCTAAAATAAAATGAATTAACCTCTTTAGCCTTGATTACAGACAAGATTTCAGTGATTGCTGTCAGTCTGGTAAAGAAGCAAGGAGAGATATTGAATAAGAATAAACAGAAAATTGGGAGTCTCTTTGGTTATCATAAAAGCTCTGAATATAATGCATTATTATCAGTAAATCAAATTATACCTGATTTCATTAGCAATATACACAATGAAATGTTAACAGAATTTCTAAAAAAGGGACAATCCCCTTTTTTCGTTCAATTTAAGACAGTCTTTGGTAAAAATAAAGATCATTTTATAATGCCATTGCAATTAAAGTTTTCTAATGATTTTAACTTTGTGGATGACTTTGTAATAAAAGGAGTGATGTATTAAGGTCAAAAACAATAGGATTTTATTTTATTTGATGATCAAGGTCACATCTAAGGAATTACTTAGCAATTTTATGAAATTCTAATCAGAGATAATTAGAAGGTTAACTAAATAGATTAAGAGGAGTTAACCAAGTAAATGTACATCTATTACTTTATGCCTGAAATCTTTACTATCATCTAAGAATATTAATAACAGAAATAGCATAATCAACTTGTATAGTTCTTAGAAGACACACAATTTATTATCATTCAGAATCTGATGGAATTTCATGATGATTTTTCGAGACAAGCGAAGAAGTTCACTAAACATACAGTCACAGATCCTGCTTTGTATGCATCCAGTTACACTAATTGTTCTGAACTCACTAATAATAATGTAAAAGCTATTTTGAGAAGAAGAATGTTTACAGAAATAGACAGAAGCTTATTAAATGAAGAATTCGCTAAAAGTGCCATCAAATTTATCTATAATAATGTAATTCTTCTGATTATTTGTAGCTTGATATCTATGTCACCTACTTCATAAAGTTTCAACTCTAATATTATCCTATACAGAATGAAAAAGTAAAAGGATTTTACATACTAGAAATTATTGATTACAGAAAAAACTACGATAAAAAAGCTGGGAGTGAGGCTGTCTTTAAGGATCTAGAATCGTAAATGAAATAGTCAATACGAATTTAAAGTCAGTTCATGTAGAGAATCGAAAATCAGACTGAGTTTGATGAAATCAATGTATGTCAAGTAGGCAAATCCAACACCAATACTACTGAAAATATAAGACTTGAAACTAATGGGGGGAACTCCAGCAGGAGAGTTATCTTCCTCAAACCTGAGATTTAGAGTGAAATAAATGATTTTGCAGGAGGACAGAATTCATCCTCTAGTTCTGATGAAAAGTAAGAAGATTTCTTTTCTCCTCCTCAATCAAATCGGTTGTAATTTTGTAAAGAAAACGATAGCATACAACCTCATCAATAGAGTATTAAGAACTAAAAACGAAATATCAGCGAAATGGAAATGGCTATCAATCAAAGTCAATCGAGTGGCATTTCAAGATAATCAAGCAGAACTAGCACGTATTTTAATAATCTTTTTTAAAATAAAATTAAATATACCAACAACGTCAAGGCAATAATCTTGATATGCATGCTAACTGTTATAGTTAATCTTTTTCTATGCATCTTCAACAGTGTAAAACTCTATGCAGGGTATTAGACGTTTCAAACTATAACTTCAAATATGAAAGTCCCTATGAATTTAAATAGATATTATTCTAAGACTGCCACCTTAGCTTGGATCACTACTTGCTCTAACTATAGTATCCTAAATATAAGTTAGTTCTAGAAAAATCAAAACAAATATTAAATGAAATTAATAAATCAGTTCATGTTGGGGAATGTCTCCTTAATATATCCATCCTTAATTGAAACTGAGGAACACCTACCTTATATCAATTAATCTTAAGGATTGTATAAGTTCAAAGAAGTAAAGCTAACTTAATTTATAGATTATATGAATTTCTTCACTAAGTAAATTTTAGTCAATGAGGAGATCAATTCAGATTATATTTAAGCAATGACCATTTTAAGATATAATGTAAAAAACATGCGATTGATCACTGTATTAATTATGGATGAGTTGGAAAATTAATTTAAATTAATTACAGATTTACAGTAAACTAATCAACTGATATCCATTATCACTAATACAATTTTGATGCTACTTCTCTATTGTGTGTAATTCATCTTTAGTTTAAAAATCCAAATTCAAAATTAGACTCTTACATTATTAGTGGGAAGAGTGAAAGAATAAGAAATAATGAATGAGATTGTTAAAATATAATATCTCTTATAGTCCTTAAAAAATATTGCTGGAGAAGACTCTTGGAAAAGAATCAATTTTTGGTCTTATGTGTTCTAGAATGATTATGATAACATATACAAAACCAAACTGATTCAAGGTAAATCTAATCGAACCTCGAATTTAAATTCCAGAATAAAACACATCAGAATTAGATTCAAATTCCAACTGTTGAAGATAGTCATTTTCTTAATCATTTACTTATGCTTCATTTGGGGATTGTATATTTTGTATGATTCCTAAACTTAAAGGATGATCCCAATAGTAAAATTGGAATCTCAATATGTCAAATTTAGTGTTAATATTGATATTCTTGTGTTTAGTGGATTGATTATTAAATCTTAGCCATAAATCTACAGTAAATTCATTGAAAATCACATTTATTCTGAATAGTAGATTAAGAGCTTTGATGATGGTAATCAAATGATCTAATTGTTCATTGAATTGTAAACGACATTCAGTGAAACCATGAAATCTTTATTTAATGATGTTATTTCTACCTTACCACCAACTGAGGATGTTAATTCTCTTAAAAAGCTCATCGATTAAGATATTTGTTTAGTACTTTACAATGAAATACCATTTTGCTAGTTTTATAATGTTTCTCAGATTGAGTTTGTTAATAGATATGGCTAATATTATGACTACGATAACGATTTGGATTATTTAAAAAGTGGAATTTTGGGAATCATGGGCATACAATCAAGCTATTATTAACTCAATTATGGATATGAAATAGATAATGTTGAATTTAATCCAAATCAAAATGAAATCAATGGTGTTTATTAAACTATTGAATTCCACTACATAATTTTATCTCATTTCAAAGATTCGTATCTATGTTTTGTAAGATTTTTAGAACTTCTTACTAAAAATATCTCAGATATCAGATACTCTGATTTCATTATTTTGTTACTCTATATTTACATTGCAGGATTACTATACTTCATTTTATATATAATATTCCACTACTTTTGGATAAAGAAGTCCAATAAATACATAAGATCACTAAAACTAAGCCTTGTTGTCATTCCCAATGAATAATTATTCAATAGCAGCATTATCAATATTTTAAGAAAGTTTGAATGAGTTAATTAAATTTATATTAATTATTATAACATTATATGTTCTTTTTAGCAGTTGGATTTTTCATGGGATTACCCCTAGGATTTTACTTTAGAGAGCACAATTTGTAACCACCTGTTGCTATAAATATGGAATCAATTAAAAAGGCTTTTGAAATATTTGCAGAAAAGGAAGACAAAGATGATTGATTATAATATATATACCTTATTTATTTAAGGGGAGATTATATACATTTAATTAAAATATCAATTACCTATGATTTATATTAAATTCTAGAGTGAAGTTTAAATTGACAATGTTTTAACATGATTCAGAATAGCCATATATATAATTAATTTTATAAAGAAAAAATGATTTGTAAAAGTAAAAGAATTGATGGAAAATAAATAGAATTTTTTTCCTCTTTCCTTTTAAAGTAAAAGAACACTGGGAAAAATATCATACCTTATATAAGGACAAATTGGAGCCATTTACCAGAAATATCAATCTTTGTATGTTATATGATATCGAAGTAGAATTAAGATAGCTATTCTAAAAATGGATATTAATTATTTATAAGACAACCATAATAATAGTATAATTCTTAACCTATTTGGGGTAAAATAATTTCTACTTTTGAAGATGAATTATTTTATAATTTTCTGTATTATTATTAACTCCTTAAAATTAAGGCAAATAATTTCTCATCATCTTCCTTTGGATAGTACATATTACATTTGCTTATTAAATACAATGTTTATTTTTAACATGAAATGACTTTAATTTCAGTAAATGAATGTAATAAGTTTTTGTGAAATTTCAAACAAGCTTACACTTCCTAATAATTGTTCTATTCGATTTTAATCTCTTGAATATTTAAAAGTTGCTCAATAATTGCATTTTTCATTGTAGTAACCGCATATTGTTAAATCATTTATCTTGTTTGAATATAAATTTCTTCATGTACTTTGAATACTCTAAAAGAGTCTATTCAATTTTAAAGGCCGTTATCTGGTTTTGTTTGCATATACAAATACTAATTTATTTGCCCTTTTTATATTATAATAACAATAAGTAAAATAAAATGGCAGACGACGGAGGTGCAGATGTAAATATGGTGCTCTATATTATAAGAAAGGAGAATATATTGGAGAGGAAGTAGCTAAGGCAATTGACGACGGAATTAATGCTGTGTTCTAATTAAAGGAAGGGGAAAATCCTCCAGCCACTTTAATTTATTCAAAAGAAAAGGTTATTAGTTGGAGCAATCAATTGTTGGACTACACAAATAGAAATTTGAGCAAACTAGATAAGCCATTCAAGTATTGTGTAAGCTGCATCATCCAATAAAATAATGATTCAAAATTTACAGTTGCACGTATTGATTCAATTATAATAAATAGTTGGTGCTAGTTTTGATACAAACACTGATGGTATATGTAGTGCATAAAGAGAAATCAATGACATTGTAATTATTATATCTGTATTTGCAATGTTAATATGAATTATTATTAAGCATTTTATGTCAATTTAAAATACGTATATAAAAGTCATTGGAAATAAATACAAATGGCCAGAGAGTTTATAAAAAACATTCAAGTTAACCAAATTTTGTTTTTTCTAAATAATAATTTCTCTAAATTCAATAATGTTGCCATAATTTCATTTTTATCAACTTTAATTAATTTCAATATTTAAATCCTAATCACCAAATAAGGATTGGTTATCAACACATGGTTGTTAAAAATTTAACATTTCTCTCCAAAATCAAATTATTTTGAAAAGAAATTCAATAATTCAATTAATTTTTGCCAATATAATATGAACTTTAACTTTGTTATTCTAAGCAAATCTTTCGTCTTAATTTTGTGATATTTAAATGAAATAAAATCATGAATAATCCTTAAAAAAATAAATATTATGTCAATTCTTGATCCCATCATCTATCCCCATTTGAAAGTGAGCGTGCCTTCATTTTTAATAAAAACTTACGAAATATTGGAAGTATTTTGAGTATATCATCTTTAAGAATGAATCATTATCGAATCTCATATCCTGGAACAAAGAAGGAACAGCCTTTATTGTATACAATCCACATGAGTTGTCATCAAAAGTTTTGGCCAACTATTTTAAACATAAAAATTATCCTAGCTTTCTAAGGTAAGAGAACACATTTATGTAGATAACTAAACATGTACAATTTTAAAAAGACTAGAAATCAATATGGATCTAGTGAATTTAGACACAAGTGGTTCAGGAAGGGCTAAAAGTACCATCAATTTAATTCTTATCTCTAGAAACATGATCCAATATATCAGACGTAGAAATCAAGAGGAATCAGATTTAAAAATAGAAACTATAGAGTAAAAAAATCATGAGCTTGATTATTATAAATAAGAACATGAAAATATGAAAATTTTGCTCCAAGATCTTCAAGAGAGCCATAAAAATATGTAAATGAATTTGTCTAAATCCATTGATTAGTCAACTTCTTTAAATAGATAAAATTTTATCACTCTGCAAGTATGAAAATACCTTAATTATAGACAATTCATTAAACATAATTAGAATTCAATAAAAAGTATGATTATGTGACCATCATGCTCACAAATGTCTTGGCCAATCTTCCAAACATAGGTATGATCTATAAACTTTAAAATACAGTAACAAATTTCAAGGAGATAATCAAAGTGTGTTAGGAAGAGACAAATTTCCAACAGACTTTACTCTCCTTAGAAAATGGACCTCCATCCCAATATCCTTAAGTTTTGCCCTATAATCAATACTAATTTTATAACCAAAAATAATAGCCATGTATAATGTGTTGATATAAAATTTCAAGTTTATTTTTACGACTAGAAATAATTTTACTACAAAAATGTCCCCCAGCTAGCCATAACCGACGTGCAGAACAATTATTATTGTAATTCTTCATATTCAATTTAGCCCCAACAAATTACTCAGTGTCAAACAGCCAACAAAATTCTCCATATAGAATCTAAAGCACCTCTAAATAACAGTATCTTTTAGATTAAGTAAATACAGATTAGGTATAAAATGCTTTATTTTTAGTATAGTTTATATCAATAAGTATGATTTTATAATACATCATTTTGTTACTTAAAAATCATTAATATTCAAATTCCAGATTAATTAATCCAGTGTTTTTAGAGAGCTCAGCCAAAAATTATATTGTTATTGATTATCGAATCGTTGGTGGTTCTTCAATCTGTGTTCTCTGGGTGGATCCAGCATGCTATGAATGGCTCATATCCTTAGGTTAATAAGATCTTCTATATTGTGGAGATCTGGCTCTATTGTATTGAACAGAGTTGGGTGATTGTTAGGGTTGAACACTTTTTACAGATCTTTAGATCTAATAGGGTTCTATTTTATATTTTTAGGGGTTCATCTTTAATTTCTATTCCTACTCTTTCTAATTAAATGCTTTCAATGGAAATAGAAGGATTTCTTTAATGGGACTACGTGCTCTCTTACTAACTTAATTATTTTTCTGAATTTATTTGATGTTTACAAATTCAACATCTTATACATCGGAGTACTAGATTTCTCTAATTAATATGATATCATCTGATTGACATATATGTTTTTATCTAAATATCAATTAATCATTTTTATCTAAAATGGATTTCCTATTCTTAGTTTGCTCATAGTCTTAAATGATTTTTATATTTTGTTCTTGAATAATAATAAAATCAAGATGTCTTTTATTTCTGGTCCAAGTTTCCAAAATATATTGACACACAGGTGATTCTAAATTACATTTCTTTTATTTCAAATCCAATAAATAAGTATCCAACTGTTTAGCAATCTAATTGCTTCTTTGTTAAATCATGGTGACTACTTTTCTTGAATAATCCTATCTGACAAATTACAGTATTTTGTTATTGATATAAAGTCTGTTGTACTCCTTGACAAACTGTTCTCTATCTTAATAACTCTAAATAAAGTTTTCTATTGAAATGATAAATGAGCCAATATCCTCACATTGCAATAAAATGGGCTCTAAAAAGTTTAGATAAGTCAGAACACATTTTATCAATGCTTTAGATCCATCAAGTAATAATAAGTCTATAATTGTCTCGCTCAATTGATTGTGAAATGTAAAACAGCAAACCAACCATTAAATTGTAAATAAGCTTGTTTCAACCTACAATTTTTGCATATGACTAATTAACTACGGTCTTAAGAACACTATCAGATCCTTAATAATAAAATCATCGCATTAAACTCCATATAAATGATTGTAATAATTTGGTGGTAGGATAGTCTCAAATAAATGGCATAAAAACCAAAAGGTTTCCTAAATGAGATCAAATTCATACCTCCTCGTTGAAATGCTAAAGGAAATAATACGCTATATAGTTAAATCCTTAGCAATACCCAACTTAGGCATTACGAATACTATATGCATTCAGGACACTGCTCAATTTTACTCTACACTCCTCATCCTAAGTTGTTCTATCCACGTCCTTCTTGATAATTTCTTAAAATTGAGGTGGAAAATGCTAAATATTCTATAAATTCTAATAATAGCAAGGGTTGGAATTCTGATTATATTTTATATTTGATAACATTCTCCAAAATTACTTCAAAGGCTAACTTTAAACCTTCTCTCTTAGGACACATTTCAAGGCTGAATTCACACAACTGTAAGAATTAGTACAAATTCTCACTAACTACAATTTGATTCTTAAATTACCTCCTATTCCTCATTAAATAATTAAAAGTATTTGATTTGTACATTAAGCAAGGATCCTTTTTTCTCATTCTTTTACATATCTCCTTTCATATTCTATAATGAAGAGTTTGCTCTATAAAAAGTTTGTCATAATTTTAATTTGCTCATCTTTTTCTTTTATCATTATTAATAAAAATTTAAATCATATTTTCCCCAAAGCATAATCATCAATCTTTGGAATTCAGTATTCATCACATTCATTAAAGTTTTGAAGAAATCACAAATTTTAATATGCAGCCTTGAACCTTAATAGACAAATTTATAAATTCATATTTTCTATTTTGTTATAATAATTATTATCTTTTAAATATCATCTACTTTATTTGACAAATCCACAACTATTTAAGGGTCTTTCATGCATTCATCTAATTCATTAATTTATAGCATAAATTTGTTATTTTAAAAAAGTATAGATTCTAATTTACTTTTAGTCTGGTTGAAGGCTGACTTAAAATTTGTCCTAGAATGAGTTTTCTTTCATTTTATGTGACGAATGAGAATTATAAATAAAGGAACGTTCGATCACTTAATTAATCATCCTACTAGGCTACAGCGGAGTAGGGAAATAACATTTTCTTTACAAATAGGTTTATTAAATGAGTTCACGGCTTTTTAGACATAAATTCACAATCTGAAACAGCTATTGGATTCTAACATCATTAATTTCTTAAAAATAATATCTTATTTTAGATTTGGGACACTGCTGGATAAGAAAAATATAGATCAATTACACAAGGTACATTGTTTATTATTAAACATAGTCATTATAGAGAATGCAAAGCAACATTAAACAAGCATTTTAGTTGAAATTAGGTTTAATTTCAATTAATCCTCAACAATTCAAAATTAATCATGGCTCAGGTGATCCAAAAGTAATATAAAATGGGGAACAAAAATCTTAGGATGTTTTTTAGAAGACATTCAAAATGATAGATAACATTGGGAGCTTTTAGATTATTATATAAACCGATTTTTCAACATCATTATTATTTAATTTGTGAAATTACAGAAATATCTAGAATTTACTTGAGAATAGTAATATTTTAAATAATTTATAGAATCAAGCAGTATAGTTTTACTTTTTTATATAGAGATTATAAAATTAGAGCTTTTACCCTATTGATTTTGAAGCATTTTGCCGCTCCCAATTAATGCTTTCATAATGTGTTGAACAATTTTATAAAAAGCCCGTTCTAATCTAGCTGTAGAATTATTCTAAGACTTCTTATTGCGCTTTAATGTCGATTTCGATTAGATCTGGGGACTTTTGTTGATTACAGATTTGCTTAGCACATTGTTTTAACAAGGCGATAAATTCGTAAAATGGCTAAATTAGATCAATCTTTTCTACTGTAGGCTATTTAATTTTAAACATGGATTAAATGTAACTGCTGCGCCAACTGAAATAACTATCTTTCCACCATTACTCCTATTTTTTTATTAATGTATTAACTGCTAATAATACTTCAATGGAGACCTAGGGAATTGGTAATAAAAATTACTTAGACGAGTTGAGCTTGATAGTAATGAAAAAGCTCGACGGCATTTTCATTGAAGCTAATTTATAGTTCTTAAGCTCCCATGGAGACTTCTATTAATTGTTTCAGCAAATAAATTAATTGAATGGCTGCATCAGTTTCTGGATTAAAGTTCCTTATCAAAATAATAGTTTTGTTGTTTAAAATAGTTTTAACTTCATTAATGGCTACCCAAGTTTTACCCTCGTTTACAATTCTATTTTTGTCTATATGCTTTGATAAAAAAGCTGATAAATCTGGGAAATTTAATTTTTCTAAACTAATCTAATCGAAAAAGTGAATCAATTCCCTAATGGTTGTAAATTAGGAACTGATAGTAGTCTAATCTTTTTTTTGGACAGGATTACTAGTATGTTTTTAAGATTAACAAGTTCCCATATTAATAAAAATAAATAAATTTTGAATATTATAGTATGTCTATAATTAAACTATAATAAAATAGAAAAATCATTTTTATTGATTGTGTGCCCATTTCCTTGCAAATAGAAACGGATCATTTTGATGCTTAACATTATCTTAAAGAATATCAATCAATGTTTCGAAATCTGAAGTCTATTCTTTCAGAATTATTTGACTCATTAAACTCACCAAATACATACTCAATAATTTACCCTAATCTTCCAACGAAGAGTTAAAGAAGATTTAAAAGGTGTTATCCAAAGTAAAATTTAGACTAAATTGCACCTTCTCATAGTAATTATTTAACTAATCAATCCATAGACTCAATTATTCTTTGATTGATTTGGGTGCAAAGGAATAGAAGGCTTTTGCCTTGATAGCCAACAGTTTTCTAAATAGAAAATTGCATTTTTATTTCTACTCAGTTGAACTCTCCATGGTTTTAATTAGATTTTCTAAAAATATACAAAAGTTATAAGTAGGTAAAACTATGGCTGGCAATTAGGAGGATTGCATTTTAAATTTCAATTTTGTTTTTTTGCCACTACTACTACTATTCGTGTTATTATTATTATTGGTAGAAAATGAGCATTAGGTTGAGTATTAACCGATCTACTCGTGATTATCATGAAGGTATTTCTTAGCCGAAGTATGAGAGATCAATTTTGGATGATCCTCATTTAGGTTGAAATCAGAAACGCGATTATGTTTGTTTTGGTCGTCTAAAAATTTGTTTAAACTCAGCATTTTTACTGATGCAAAAGTTTAGGCTTTATTGTGCGATTACACTTTCTTCTGATACTTTTATCTTTAACTCTCCATAGTTGGCTTATGCTTTGGTGATGATAATGGAGAATTGGGATTGGATTGTACAAAATTATATGATAACTTAATAAATTGCTGTTGAATTCTTGGTGATACGTGTTCTATTTCTTTTTATGAGATATATGATATAATCTGGTTAATATTCTCTCTAGCATTAGGATCCACTTGTAGCATCCCGAACAGTAATTATTTAACTACTCCTTAATATAAAAGATCTATTTTTTGACAATTTTTCAGTATTTCCTCATGAAAAGTTCTTATATCAGATTTGTATGGTGGTATGCAATTAAAGAGCATCTCGTATGACATTATTCCCAAAGCCCATATGTCACTCTTCTCTGAATATTGGTTGGTCGATAGAATTTCCGGAGCCATGTAGAGTGGAGTGCCCACATTGAATCTCTTGATGATGCTTTCGAATTGATCTTCAATTAAGGCAAACCCAAAGTCAGCTAGTTTGTAGGTGTTCTCGTGGATTAGTATGTTGGCAGGCTTCAGGTCTCTGTGTATGATTTCTACAAGTAAATTATTTTTGTTACTTTTTTCGTGGAGTGCCTGTATTCCTAAGGTGATCTACCGTAAAATTGACAAGACTTTAGGGACTGAGAATTCAGTTTTTTTCATCTGCTGTTCCAGATTACCTCCGTTACAAAATTCTGTTACTATGTATGTATTATTCGCACTCTGACTTACTTCATAGACTTTCATTAAATGGGGATGATCGATTCTCAGGAGTATGGATATTTCATTTTTGAGCAAGGATTTTTAAATTGGGGAGGTGTAGGTCTGAGAACTAATGACTTTAATAGCCACTATTTATTTGGTTTTTAAATTTTCTCCCAAATACACTTTGGAGGAATATCCAGATCCGATTTCCTTATTCAAATCAAGAATGTAATCGCCCACTTGTTTTATTTTAGGTTCATTCTGGGTGTTCATGTATTAAATAAAAGTTTTCGGTATAAGATTTATAAATTATATTTTTTAATTAAGAAACATTAACTTAAGAATAGAGAATATATAAGATTAGTTACAATTTTGTCGATTAATTGAAAACCAATTGAAATGGCGAGAATCCTCCTATGCATTTTTTCGAGAAGGATTATTACAATCAATATTTTATTGTTAGGTTGTGCAAGCCATAAACACTCGAGTACATTTTGACCAATTAATAAACCTTTTGATTGCTATATTATGATGATAATTAAGCTTTGACTTAATTAAATTTATAGATCATAATTGCAATTTAAAAAGGATATATGAATTATTATTATTTTACTCAAAAACAATAATAGCATGGGTGCATGCAATGGCCAACCTAAGAGAGTAATCACTTCTAAAAGAGAGAGTCTGACTACTTTTCATAAGACTTAAGAAGTTTCTACAATAAAGTCGAACAAAAGTCTTGTGAAATAGAGAACAGATTTTAGGGTTGCTCCCTGCATATTCGTGTCCTTGAAGAGCGGAGATATATCTCAATACTACGAAATAGAATCTACTTTAGGTGAAGGTTGTAAGTTTTTTGATATAATTCAAGGAACCTTTGGAAGAGTTAGTTTGGTTAAGTAAAAGTCGACCAACATTTTTCGCGCAATGAAACAATTAGCCAAAGACAAAATCTTGGCCAGTCAAAGAGAAAGGATGATTCAGGAGGTCAACATTCTTAAAGATCTCGATCATCCAAATATTGTGAATATTTTTGAGCTTTACTAAGATGAACGCTACTATTACTTGATAACTGAGTAAATAGAGATCATTAATCAAGATATTTAAGCGGAGGGGAGTTGTTTGATAGAATTTAATAAAGGAATAATCTAAATGAGAGTATGGCTGCTAATTATATGAAATAAATATTAAATGCTGTGAATTACTGTCATCACAGAAACATTGTTCATAGGTAATATTGCACTCAAATATCAAGGGATTTGAAACCAGAAAACATTCTATTCGATTAAAGAGGATCTGATTAGATACTCAAAATCATCGATTTTGGAACAGCCAAGTAGATTTTGTCAAACACGTAATTGAAATAAAAAACTGGAACACCTTATTTCATAGCTCCTGAAGTTATTGATTAAAACTATAACAGCAAATGCGATGTTTGGTCGTGTGGAGTAATACTGTACATCATGATGTGTGGTAAACCCCCATTTAAAGGAAATAATTTGGAGGAACTATATCGAAATATCAAAAATGGGTATGTAGATTTTACCGGTAAAATGCTATATAATAGTGATGTATAGGTTCTGAATGGTATGATGTTTCATAAGATGCTAAGTCTTTTATCTCAAAGCTCTTAGTTGTAGATCCTGCCAAGAGAATGTCAGCTGAATAGGCTTTAAAGGATACTTGGATTGTGAGCAATAAAAAAGTAGAAAAAATCAATGCTTAAAATCTTGAAAATCTTTCTTAATTTCATGTATTTTGACTTAATTGATTTTGTAGAATAATAGCAAATTGAGTTCTGCTATTTTGCAACTGATATCAACCCAGATAATGACTTAGAAGGAGAAGAAGGAATTAATCAAAGGATTTAATGCTATAGACAAAAATGGTGATGGTAAATTAAGTAAGGATGAATTAATTTAATGTAAAAATGTAAATTTAATTTAGGTTACATGGACTTGTACCAAGACGAAGTCAAGTGTCATCAGATAGTTAATTAGATCTTTTAATACTCTGATGTCGACTGTTCAGGAACAATAGAATACACAGGTAATAACATAATAGTAATAGTGAGAGTTCATCGTTGCCTTTTCCGAAGTGCAGAATTTGATGGCTTAAGAGAAACTTTAACAAGCATTTAAGCTATTTGACAAGGACGGGAATGGGACTATAAGCAAAGGAGAACTTCAAGAGGTATTTGGAGGACTGGCTTTGAATGACAATTAGTTGGACTGCGTATTTTCTGAATTGGACACTAATGGAGATGGAGTAGTGACTTTCTAAGAATTCACTTAGTTATTGATGAAAGATAGCAATAAATGAAAATTTGGAGATTAAATTATTTTCTTTAATAATATTAATTATATTTATGTAAGATCTAAGGTGTGCGATTGCAGATCATAACAAAAAAAAGTTTGTTTCAATTACTCTACAGAAAGAAGCTGCAAAAAGACTATTCTGTTTTCAATGCTAAAGTGATGCTAGTGGTGGGGATATTACAAAATCACAATTAGTAAGCTAGCTTAAACTATGCGATTTGGATGAAGTCATGGAAGGAAATGCTTATTCTGTGTATAATTGGCCAGCTGACGATGACGGTAATAAGGTCAAAGAATACCTGCTAGGATATAAGGTAATTGTGAAGTGTAACTTTCTTAGAGCATAGAATAATAGAGGAAGGAAATTGAAGATTTCTTCGCTTAGATGAAATAAAAATTGAATGAATAAATCGAGAATGTCAAACAACTATTGGTGGAATCACTTAATGCAACATAATTCATCAAAGATGAAAAACTTAAATAGGAGGAGCCAGAAAAGAAGGAAGTCAAAAAAGATGACAAGAAGGATGATAAAAAGGAGACAAAGAAGGATGATAAGAAGGAAACCAAAAAGGATGATAAGAAAGATACAAAAAAGGATGACAAAAAAGAGGACAAGAAAGATCCTAAGAAAGAAGGTATTTTTGATCCTTATATCAAATAGAGGAGAAATTAGATTAAACACCAACAATTGAAAATCTGAAGAAACATTATGATGTCATCTATGATCTTACTAAAATCAAGACACTCATTAAAGAAAATGCCAAGGGTGATCCAAATCTATTGAGTGCTAAAATCAATGAATATTTAAATGATCCAAAAAAATCTGAATAGATAATTAGCATGAAAAAGGTGTTTCAAGGAGTCATGTCTGGAAAAGTTGAATTTAATTAGATAGCATCCAATAGACAAGCCTTAGAAAGCTATTGGGAATCAATTTAAACTAGCATATAATAATGGACTGTATTCTAATATATTTATAGCAAAATTAGCATAAATTTGGAAAAGTTCAATGGAAATTCAATCCTTCCAAGGCAGATTAGTCTAAACTCATTAAATAATTGGCAGAAGATTACAAAGAATGCGCTGGAGCTGGATTACAATCCTAAATTATTTATTCTGAAACTAGTTTTAGCGAAGGTCAACATGGTTGCATCATCTTATTTAAAGAATTTGATCAAAAGAGAGCTGGATCTAATGGAAATTTCTATGTAGGAGTTGTAAAAGATGATTAAAAAGACAAATCTCCATATGGTTAAGGTTTCAGAAAAGATTTATTTAGTCAAAATGGAGAAGGATTGAATGTAAGAATTGGAACTGATTTCAATAATGTATTTAAAGTAATAATCAATAATTAAGAGTTTAGATGCCTCCAAAAATGTTGGCAATCAAATTGGATGTGGATAACAATTACTTTGAAGTCTGCGATGGTAAACGGACAATAGTTTATGGATTGGAAAAGGAGAGCAAATTGAAGGGGGAGAAGTGGAGAATCTATTTCTGGTGGAATATTGCAGCTGATAGAATCTAATTAATTCACAGTTATTGAGCCAAGTTTATTTTATTAACGAAATAATATAGTTTTAAATTTATTCAAACCGTCAAAAACTACATCGAATATGTCCAAGCAATCCAAATAAGTAAGTGTGCAATAGCAGATTCCATAAAATACACTCAATAAGCAATTAAATACACAAACCTCCCCAACTCTTAAACCAAAGATTGAATCAGTGTCCACAATCTAAAAACCCCTCCAAAATTTATCGAATGTTCCAACACGAACGTAAGAAGACTAAATTAAGAGAACTTAACCCAGATCTCCTATAAGATAGACTTTTGAAAAGAAAACATTGGAAAATAAATCATGCATTTCAAATTTTGATGAGAAGCCAATTCCCAAGATTCTTCAAAGAGGCAAATCTCCCTAATCTAATTAAACTGCAAGAAATACTAAAGCTCAGGATCAGTAGGCTTCATAACCTGAAAAACAGTCTACATAATAAAAGTAACCAATTTAATTCAAATCAAATGAACCAGATTAACTACCTACAAATTAGTCAAATACTGAGAAAGCAACACCAAATCTCAGTAAATAATAGGCTCCAGTTTAATAGAAATAACAAACCAAGCTTTAACTTTAATCAAATCAACTGAAATCTTAAAATAATTAATAATAATAATAATCAATTAGACCAAAAACAGCCACAACGTCTTAATTATAATTAAAATAGACAGTCCAATAAGATTAATTACTAAAATCTACTAGATAGGATTTATCATCAAGACCAAATACCTAGTAAACCAAGTCATAGTTAAATGTTAATAAAAAATAAGAAGTTCCTAATAAACCAAGATAGCAACCGATGTTGAAGGGGGAGTAGGTTGTGGAAGAGAAACTCTATTAATGTCCAGAGGGATGTGGAAGGTCATTCAATGCTAAGGCTTTGGAAAAGCACTCGAAGGTAAATTGAGGGTTGATAAATATATATAGATTTGTAAGAAGGTGTTCCAATAGAAGAGGAAGGTGTTTAATTCATAGAAGCAGAGACAAATCGAGGCTGAAGACAATGTAAAAGGGAGAGGAGGGGCGATGAAAAGGCAGGTGCAGAAACAGCCAATGAAATAAGGTTAAAAGTAGTAGTAGTAGGTGAAAAGTGAGAAACCAAAATGGAAAGCTCAGAGTGAAGCGTTCAGGGCTATAATCAGGTAGGCCAAAGGGTAGCGATTGACAAAAGAGGAGTAGACATCTTTGAGTGGGGCGATGGAAAGTGCTTAGGATTTGGTGTAATGCAAGTTTTGCAACAGGAAGTTTAATACAGAGGCGGCTAAGAAACATATAGTTTTTTGTGAGACAAAAGCGAAATAGTGTGGAAAGAGTGGAGTGTAAAAGAAAAAGAAATGATTATTTTAATTTTTAACAACTTATGAGAGGGAAGATTACTTAATAAAATAACATTTCATTTGAAATAAAAATGCGTTATCCAATGACAAATAAACACTCGTCTCCGTCAGGTTCACCGCGGAAGAGGTTATTTTCAGCAAAAAGAGTGGGAAGTAAGGAATAGCAATAACAGAAATGCAAAGCTACTGCATCTATTAAGACTGGATCATCAATAGAAACATTAAAGGAAGTTTTGATGAAACAAACACAAATGAGTAATAAGCATACAAACAACTTGAATTATTTTGTTCATAATAACAAAAGGGAGAGTTAAAACAAATTGGATACAAAAACAAGTGATTCTACAGAACGAGTAAATATACGACAGGGTACGTTGTCTAAAGAAAAAACAACCATTTCAGAATTGACAACAAAAAAAACTAGTATAACTAAAAGTGAGTTTGAATGGAATAAATGTTAATTGCCACTGACACCCCAAGTTTGTTTGGCAAAATATGGATACGCATTGACAGAGTTTGAAAAGACTGAGATTCTGACATTCAAGAGAGTATGATTTCTTATGTATGATTAGATTTATTGTATAGGAATTAATGCCAAAAAAATATAGTAATCGCAAAGTAATTTCAATGATGGATTTGACAATGCCTAAGGAGAATACCTATATGCATTGCACGATCACATAGGTTACAGATACGAATTGTTGGAACATGTAGGTTCTGGTAGCTTTGGATAGGCATTCAAAGTCTTTGACCATAAGAGACAGTAAGTTCTCTGTCTAAAAGTCATAAGAAATCAAAAGAAGTTCTAGAACTAGGCTCTTGTGGAATTAAACATCTTGTCTTTCATCAGAGACAAAGATGAAGAAAACATTACCAACATAGTCAAAATCAAGGACTTTGTAATCTTCAGAAATCATGTGGTAAGAACTATTAATCTATATAGTGTATTATTTGTGAACTCTTGTCACTTAATTTGTACGAACTCATTAAAAACAATAACTATTAGGGATTATCATTAGAACTTATTCGTAGATTTGCCATTTAAATACTCAATGCCCTCAACTTTCTGTACAAACATAAAATCATTCATTGCGATCTCAAACCAGAGAATATACTATTGAAATAACCCAACAAGAGTGGAATTAAGATTATTGATTTTGGGAGCAGTTGCTTTGAAAATGAAAGAATCTATAGTTACATCTAATCCAGATATTACAGAGCCCCAGAAGTTATCTTTGGCATTCCATATGACATGGGAATAGACATGTGGAGTTTTGGATGTATTATGGCTGAATTGTACATTGGCTATCCTATCTTTCCTGGCGAGAATGAATAAGAATAAATTGCTTATATTATGGAAGTGAAGGGACTCCCTGATCAAACTCTAATTGAGGTATAACATATTCTAAAGTATATCATAGAAAGCCTCCAGAAAGAAACACTTTTTCACATCTAGCACTCCTTATTAACCTTTGCCCTATAAGAACAAGAGAGGAAAAATTAGAGTTCCCAAATCAAAAGACTTGAAATAAATTCTGAAATGTCAAGATCAATTGTTTATAGATTTTCTAGAAAATTGCTTCAATTGGGATCCTTAAAAAAGAATGAAACCCATTGATGCCTTGATGCACTAATGGATTTTGGAGGGATTACCCAAAGAAATTAGAACTTAACATATCAAATATTTAGAATCAGAGTAAATGACTTAAAAAGTATTCTTCAAAAATAATGAAACTAAACGACAACATCACATCTCTGAACCAGAAATGGAAAAAAAGAAATCCAGTAGTAGTTATAGTTAAAAAAAATCAAAAGAAAAGGATATTAATCTCACTCTCTACGGGAATATCAATAATGAAACTACTCCATAAAATAAACGCATTTTATCGTAATCATTTCATACATCCAAAAATGGAAGTAATTAAAAGTATTAACAATATTTTCCTGGCACAACCAAAAATTAACCATTAAAATATAAATTTTATTGAATTTATCTATATATCTATCAATGTTTTAACACTTAAAAGAAATTTAACATCTAAAATAACAAGAGTATTTCTCTAAATCTGTTTAATATTGCTTTTTATCTTAATTGATTTTAAATTGAATAACAATATTAGGAGAATTGTTAAAATCTTTAAGAATGTTGATAAAAATTACTTCAAATAGGTCTAATCCTAAATCTAGAAATAGAAACATAAGAATAACTTGATTCTGCCTTTAACAAAATAGATTGAAGCCAAATTACCTTATGAATTTTATTAAAAGAATAATTAAAAAATACATATCTAAAAAATAATCATGATAGAATCTACTTATAGATATAGCAAAAGGAAAACACAAATTTTAATTTGAAGAAATTAAATTGGAAAGAGGTTAAATATATTATATTTTAAATGTTTATCTCAAACTCAATCTTAAAAAAGGAAATAAAACTCAAAATTCTTTATTTTATTTTCGAATTCAATATTCTCAACATTCAACAATATTAGATGGTGATCAATTTTTAAATTTGGAAGATCAAGTCTTCATCTGAATTATATTTCAAAGTCTATCAATTTTGAGGAATATTAAGGAAGAATTAAAATAAAAGTTAATTCAATAATAAGTCTTATCGATTTGGACTTTATTTAAGAATATAAAAATAAATAGAAGTTAATAGATTTGGTGATATGAATAAGAATAATCTAATTAAACTTATTAATAATTTCAGAGTCTTCTTATTTATTTTTTGTAAAAGAGTTCAAAAAACACACTTGCTCCAAATCCCCCTCCTAATGGACCACCTACGAATACCCACAAAAATTCCATTCTCTACCTGTCTCCTGTTTAAAATGATTAAAAGAGCTGCAAAGATACTGCCATCCCTGGGTTCAAACAACCTTTAGTTGATTCAAAATTTGTATTGTACCTCCAGAATGAAATGTAAATCCTCTTGAAAAATACAACGCCAACGCTACCAAAACGTAAGTTGTCATTGGTTATCCGCCAGGCGTTAACGTTGTTTCTGAATCAGTTTATATCAGAATGAAAAGAATAAAGGTGAATGTTCCAAAAGCCTCACCACTTACATCCGATAATATCCAACTGTATTCTTTACTCTCCACTTAAGGACTGTCAACCTCATTCAATATTAAGTAACAACAACAAGCCCCACATAAAGCCCCAGTAAATTGTGCCAACCAATATAGCACCGCCTATCCAAAATTTATTCTTCTTGAGAGTAGCATTGCCAAAGTTACAGCAGGATTAACGTGCGCTCCTGAAAATGGTGCAGCCAAACACACAGAAGCAAAGAAAAATAATGCCAAAAATTCATCAGATCCTTATGAGCAAATGATCCTATTAATAAGAATTGACTGATTACCCATAAGCAAATAATGCCATTCCAAAAAACTCAAAAAGGAAAATCCGCATCTCCTCTTTTGATTTTCCTTGGGTTGGAATGATATTTTTAATATCTGACTCCTAAGGCGTAAATTATGTTCGTTTAATTATTTTAGTGTCTTGACTCATAATAAAAAATATATGAAATTAAATTTATTTATAACAATAACCCTTAAAAGTATAATTATGTAGATAATCAACAAATGATTTTTAAGCTTCCCCTCAATCTTAAGATTCAAATATTGAGAATGTTCCATAAAATATTCAAGGACCATAAATATGTTTCAACTTGGAAATATTCATGAAAAGTATTAAATTAAGATTTTATCAAATAATTCATATCATATTCATATTGTTCTTGTAATTTCATAATCAATTAATTTGATATTGAAATTAAAGAATTTCTAAGAATTATTTAATTATTTTTTTTATTTATTAAGCTCAAAATTGATGAAAATCCATAAGTTAAATGTATTAATTATTCAATACCATCAAGCTTAGCCTATTGCCAGTTTAAGATACTTCAATACTTTTTTAAAAACCTATTTAAATATCGCCACCTTCGACTCCAGAAGAAATCTACAGGATATAACCTAAGTCTATTCGCAGCACTCTTCACAACAAGAATACTAATGTGTCATCAAGCAACTCAAACTCATAAAGGATTCCTCATTAAAAGATAAGTTTTCATTTACCAAAATTTCCAAAAAGTGTTTCTCCATCAAATTTATAATAATACAGATTTCCTTTCAGATAAAAGGGATATACCTAAAATAATATTGAAAGTCCTACTTCAATACGTGAACCTAATAGAAGAGCTACTAAATTATGCTCAAAGGTTTTGTAAAAGTATAAACAAAAGTATTGTATATGATTCTATTAAAACTACTTTATTTATTATGTGTGAAGAATAATTTTTATTATTTCCAAGAATTCAATACAAGTGAAATTTCTACACTTAATCTAACCTTTTTAAAGAAATTGTAAAACTGATTAAAATATATTATTTATTAAAATTTAGTTATATTCAATAATTCATTTTTGAAATATTTTGAATCAAAACTATAATCAGGAATAATAAACAAATGAAGAAACTAATGAGACCTAAACGAGAGTATAATTATAATAATAATGACTTTGATTACCAAATAGAAATCTTTACATTTAATTTGTTTGTATTTCTAAATGAATTTAGATTATTTTTTCATAAAAATTCTCTGCTTTCCTCGACTGTTTAATTAACCAGAAGGGGATATAAAATTATTTATGAATGTATTTATTATTATTCTTTGTATCAATTTTAAATACAATCAAATATAAAGATTCAGCCGTATTAATTTATAAACAATTATCCAATAAGACACAAAAAATATATTAATGTTGTATCTTCATGACATCTTACTAAATATAAGAACACATTAGATTAAAAATACTTATTAAAAAGGAAAATATAATAAATTAAATTAAAATATAATACCTTAATTTGTTCTGTAAAATTGAAATTAATTTTCTAATTGATCAAGTGAATCCAACTTAGTTTCAATATCTATGTTAATAATCTAATAATCATCTAATTTATAATTAAATATTCACATATTTAAATCAAATAATAAAATCACTCATTTTTGAGAATTTCTAAATGTTATTGAGTTTTATCCTATTTAAAAAAGCAATCTATAGCTAAAATAACTATTGCTAAGATGAACAGCACAGCAAACGGTAGGTATGGATCTATAAAATAGAGAGGAATCAATAGGTATGGAGAAGGAAGTACAGCTATTTTTCCTATTGCTTGTGCTATTCCCTAACCTTAAGATCTTATTTTGACTGGGTAGCTTTCACAACAAATTATACATATAGTTGCAAATAACCCTCTAGTCGCAATTTTTGTCAAGAATAAGGCTAAATATAGATATTTATCCCTAAATAGATATAAAATGGCATTTGAAAATATTAAAGTTATTGCTGAATATGCAATAATTTTGATTCTTCCTCCATATTTAGCATCATCTATAATGTTGTAAAGGATGGATCCAAATATAAATTCAATTATATATAAAGCAAGCATTGGAAGAAATCCAGAATTATTATTTTGTAATAAAAATGGTAAGAGCAAGAAAATTGTCATTTCTTAAAAATTAGTTAAAATATACAAAATCCATAAGAGAATAGTTACTTTTCTATATTCCTATGATAGAATGCCATATATGTTTATTTCTTCTTATTAAAGTTCAACCTTTTATTATTTAGACCAACTTATTAACCCATTTTTCTTTATTATTAAACAAATATACTTCAGAATCACATAATAATAAGTCTGAATTGCCATTTATTGTGATTTATTAATTGATTAAGTTAAGAGCTATTTCATACTCTCCCTTACTCAAGTGAGATCTAATTGTTTCAGTCAAATACAGAATAGACAAGATGAATGCAATCGTTATTGGAATTCCATTAAATCTAATGAGTCCCCTCCAATTTCCTGAAGTGTAATCATCCAAAAAAATAAAACATAAAATAACAAAGTATATTTTGCCTAAAATATAAATCAAAGTGAGAGCATAAGAAAATCTCCCTCGATATTTAGCTTCAGTAATTTCTGTAATATAAACATAACCAAGAGGATTAAGTGTACCAAAGGTTAATCCATATAAGAATCTTAAAATTATCATTTCCTTGTAAGTATCACAAAAACTAGTATAGAATATTAAAATAACAGATAATCCAGAGAAAATAATGAATGTTATCTATCTCCCTATTATGTCAGCCAAAAAAGCACATAAAAAGTTGCCCAAAACAACCCCAAATAGAAATATTGAGCTTAATAGTGCTACTTGATTTTATGATAAATTCCATTCTTCCTTTAATATGGTCATAAGGATTGACATAAATAGATATTCAAGACCTGCACAAAACTCCTATAATCCTATAATCGAAAGAGTTCTTGCTTAATACCAACCTGTTTTAATATTTTTCTCAAGTATTTCATCAAAAGAAATCATTCTGATAAAATAATTTAATTAAGAAAAAAATACATAAATATATTCATTCATCTTTTAAAGTTTCTAAGGGCTTGAGTGTTTTATCTTTATCAAAAACACAGGCAAACATCAAAATTAAAACTGACAATAAAGCCATTAATAAAAAAGGCAAATATGGATCAAAGAATAGTAAAGGAACCAGCAAATATGGAGAAGGGATCACCCCTATTTTGCCTACTGCCTATGCTATTCCACACCCTTATGATCTCAGATACAAAGGGTAACTTTCACAAGCTAAAATACTGATAGTTGAAAACAACCCCCTTGTTGCAATTTTAATGATAAACAAACCAACATAGAGAAATGATTCTTAATAAATATAGAGCAAAATGTTGGATAATAATAAAGCAAATCCTGAATAAGCGATTATCTTTATCCTATTGCCATAATGAGGATTGTCAATAAAATAATAGATGACAATAGAGAAGCAGAGTTCAAAACTAAACAAAATTAGCATAGAACTAAACCCTGAATTTTTACGAGCCAACAAAAAAGGCATCAAGAGATAAATAGTCATGCTTTAAAAGTTAGCCAAGATAAAGATTAGCCATAGTAAAAGGGTAATCGTTCTGTATTCAGAAGAAAATATCCCGTATTTGTGTAATTGCTATTCTTGACATTCAGCTTTTTGTTTTTCTTACCAATTTTATAACCCTTTTTTCTATAATAATATTTTCTTTATAGGTTACTTCTTCTTCATTTAATAGATGAGCCTCCCTTCCATTTTCTTCTAAAATGGTTTCTATTTCTTTGAATGCCTAATCAAATTTGCCTTGGTTCAATTGATACCTGATAGTTTCTTTTAAAAATATAAATGAAAGCACTGAGGCAATACCCAATGGCACCACATTAAAAAGCATCAAACCTTCCCAATTCCCAGCTTCAAAGCTGTCTAAAAATACAAAGCAAAGAATTATCAAGAATATTTTTCCCAAAACAAATAGAAGTGAAAGAGACATACCAAATCGGCCTCTAAATTTCGCTTCAGTTATTTCAGAGAGGATTATAAACCCTAATTGATAGGTTATCCCAAAAATCATTCCAAATAACAATCTTAAAAGAATCATTTCTATGTATGCATTAGTAAAACTTATTTTAAAACATAAAAACGTACTAATTGCTGTAGAAAATGCAAAAGTTGTTTTTCTACCAATTTTATCGACAAGAAAAGCAGAAAGCATGTTCCCCAACACTATTCCTACCAAATATGATGAGCCAATGTTAGAAGTCTACGAGGAAGTTAAATTCCATTCAGATTTAAGGATTGCCATCATAATTGACATAAATGTGAAAAGTATACCATTACAAAACTCAACTAATCCAACTATTGAAATGGTTTTGAATTGGTAAAATCCAGTCCCTATTTTCGATTCTAGTATTTAATCAAATGAGATCATAATATATATATTATTAATAATCAGCATTTTAGTTAATAATCAATAATGGAAGAATGCTGTGACTATGATCTAGAGCAACAAATTACAGTAAAAATAGTCTTAGTAATTGAGTTTATAGTTTTTTATAAGAAGTCTATAAATTACAGTAAATTTCGGAAGTAAATGTTCATACTTTATTAGGCTATTATTTATTGAGGAAAAGGGTTGAATGGAAGAAAAGTTAATTTTCATCCAAAATTAAAATTACATTCGATATTATATTTAGGTAGTTAGTTAAGTACTAATCAAATATTATAAATATTTATATAATTCTTAATTAATTATTAATATTATTTAGAAGTGAGAACAGGGCCACTCTCTAAAAGTTCTAAATATCTTTGGCTTTTTAGAAAATGAATAATTATTTTTTCTTATCTTCTTCCTTAATTTGTTGATTCAGGCTTCATAAAATCTTTATTAATGATTGATAATCTTCTTGGATCTTTGTTATCGAATATTAAACATAGGACACCTTCTAATGAGAATTGATATGAGTCCTAACAATTTCTCACTTATTTTAGCCTTCAAAATTTACTGATTTTTTATTCCTATTTTACTCTTTTCGTCTCTCTAATTTGTAATTTAATTTTAATTTCAAAGAAAACCTTTACTATTTTTCATTTTGGAGATTATTAGCATTGAATACTGCATTCATATATCATAGCTGTAATTTGGATAATATTCACTCATTTTTAGTGAATCTAGATGAATTGCCTTTATACTTCACTTTTGGATATTTGGCACTCATTTTTGTTTAATTCAAATTTTAATTAAATAACAAGGTATTACTTAATTAGGTATTGATTTTTCAAGTTCATAATTTCAAATCTCAATTCGGATTAAAATTTAGATATTCCATGAAGTTTAGTTTGAAATTTAGAAATTGTTGAAAATATAGATGAAGTAGGAATCTGATGAATTTTAGTTTTTTATAAAGAAAAAAGGCATAATATTTGTTTTGAAGAAGGCCTATTACACACTTTTAATAACATGATTATAAGACGTCATTTAATTAATTTGATTGTGTTTTATTTATGAGTTGTAATATATATCAAATAATTAATATATGTCTTAAGTCCATGGGAGTTCATTATTGAGCAAAGACAACCCAAATAAGGCTCCTGATCATTTAGGGTCAAATGTCTTTACAGACTTGCTATCATCTACATTCTATACAGTGATTGGCTATGTTTGCTTAGATGTTGTATTTGGGATCAGCTTACATTTTATAGCTTAGCACAACGATCCAAATGCAGTCGCAGGTTTAGGGTTAGCATTTACAACAGTGAATGTGCTGTTGATTCCTATGGCTTTGGGTATTAAATTATTGTAAAAATAAAGGAACAAATTAATCTTTGAATGTGCATTCAGCATAGGCTTTGGGAGCTAAGAAGCCGAAGCTAGCTCAAAGTTATTTTACATTGACCGTATTTATCCATTTGATGTACTTCATTCCATTTTCAAGTACTTGAATTAAGTTAATCAAATAGTAATATTGATTTTGATAAAACCTTTGGTTGCTAAGACAATTAATGAAGAAGATAGAGATGCAACATCAGATGCCTCCCAGATATATTTATATTATTTATTACCATCTACATTGTTTGCAATATTGTATGAATGCATGAAAAGCTATATGATAGCAAACAAGGTAACATTATCAAATTAAGAACTAGATCTTTGCTGTCTTTATGTTTATACAGTTGGGTACAGCTGTTCTTCACACTTTGTGGTGTTATTTGTTTATTGACTATCTAGATATTGGTGGTGGTATTGCAGGAGCAGGATTGGCTATAATATGTACAGAGATTCTTAATTGTGTATTTTGTCTAATAGCTGTATGTGCAACCAAATACAAAAAGTAAGTCTTTAGTGGCTATAAATTTAAATTCTCAATGAAAAAACAAGAGAAGAAATTGTTTCAAAGTTTCTTGAGGGAATCAATACCAATTATAGGTCATATATATGCAGATTACTTTGTTTTCTTCTTATTGAATTTCATATCAGTAGGATTTGGATCTGATGAATTGAATGCCTAATTGGCATTGTCCAACACATCAAACTTTTACTATAAATTTCCCATTTCTCTATCTTTAGCATTAATGACATTCGTTGGCAATGAGATGGGGGCTAAGAATATCAAGAGGGCCAAAAGATATTCATGGGTAGGAGTCTTATTATTTATTGGATTTACAATACTCTTCTTGAGTGCCTTGACATTTTTCAAGTAAACATGGGCTGAATTCTATTCTGCTGGGAGATAAGAAATCACAGATCTGATTTTGGATGTATATCCTATCTTTGTATTTGGATTCTTCGTTATTGATGGATTATAAGGAACTCTGACTGGAATCTTAAAAGGAATAGAAAGAAAGGATTTTGTCACTTATTCTACATTGCTTGTCTACTACCTAATTGGAATACCTCTGGTTGTGTATTTTGCTTATGACTTCGGATTAGGAAAGAAAGTCTATGGAATTTGGTTTGCTTTTGGTATTGTCAATGCGATCTTAGCTGTCTTGTATCTAATCCTCACATTTACAACTAATTGGTCAGATATGAGTGTAAAGATATGTAAGAGAATTGAAGAATAGCACAAGATGTAGAATCTGAATGATCCACTTAATAAAGACTTTGAAGAAAAACCTGAAAACTCTAAGAAAAAAAGAAAATCCAAGGCATCTAAAGTTAAGGTATTATGACATCACAATTTGTATTAGCCATCCAAACAGAAAAGAGATGAAAGCGATGCTTCTTCCAGTGATCAGAAATATCAAGTAAAAAGAAGACCCACAGGTTCTTCTGATGATGAATAATAATACAGTTTACAAGCTACTGAACAAACAAAAGTCATAAAATAAGAGGTTGATTCAGTGCCAATCACTCCTTGACCTTTTATATAAAATATTTAAGAATAAATAATTATTTATATTTTGAATGGGCATTTGCTAAACTAAACCCAAAGTAAATGAACCTTAGTCAAAAATGAAAAAAATGAATACAGAATAACGGTTGATGCCAAAGCCTAGTCGCATTTTGGATGTCAATTACAAATAGATCCCAAACAAATTTAGAAGGTAAGCTACACAAAAAAGAGTTTAACAAATTTAGTAATTCGATACCGATACACAGGGATTGTTCGGATTGACGAATTTAGGAAACACATGCTTTTTAAATTCTGTATAATTATTACTTATATAGTCTATTTAAGCCTTATCAAATACATAACCATTAACAGATTACTTCATGTCCTAACTCCATATCAAAGAGATAAATCCTGAAAATCCTCTATCTTCCTAAGGAAATATAGTCAAATCGTTTGCGTAACTAATTAGACTGCTATGGTAGAAGGTGGATTAATACTAATATGATGATATGAAGGTATTGAAACCGACATAATTTATATCAACAGTTGGAAATTATAATCCTATATTTGCTGAAGGAACTTAAGAAGATGCACATGAATTCATTGCTTTTTTATTGGACATGATACATGAAGATTTGAATAGAATTAAAAAGAAACCTTATGTGGAATAAGCCAAGTTTACTAAATTTCCAACTAATGAGGACGCAGATGCAGAATGGAAAAAATACCTATCACGAAACTAATCCATCATAGTAGATTTATTTTAAGGTCAAATGCTGGATACATTGTCATGTCTGACTTGCAAGTCTTCGAGATATTGTTTTGAACCTTTTATGTATCTGAGTGTACCTGTGTTGAATAGAGAATGTGAATTGTAGGAATGCATAGAAGAATTCTTGAAGAAAGAGACTCTCAAGGGAGACGAAGGGTGGAATTGTACTAATTGCAATTAAAGGAGAGACAGTAATAAAAAGATTGATTTATGGTCAATGCCAAATATTCTGATTATTCACTTAAAGCGATTTAAATTTAATTCTTAATTCAGAGCCAAGATCAGGTCATTGGTCAAATATCCATTATAGAATTTATCTTTTGAAAATCTTGTATGCACAAAACAAGTAGAAAAACCCACCTATGATCTTTATGCAGTCATTAATCATAGTGGCACATTGACATCTGGACATTACACAGCTTATGGCAAGAACAGAGATGATTTACATTGGTATCATTTCAATGATTCGTTGGTTACACCAGTTCAATAGCCAGAAAGTTTAAATGATGCATACTTATTGTTTTATTTTAAGAATAGTGTTGAGGAATTCAAAAGACAAACCTTGGAAGGAATCAACGTCAGTCAAAAAAGAAAGACAATAAAAAATACAATAGTAATTAAGCAAACAATGCTCAATATGCATTCTTAATAATCTAATAGCAATCTGTCAGATTACAAAAGAAACAATAACAACAATTTAGCACCCTCTGTTTCAAGTCAAGCTTAAAAAAAAATGTTGTTTAGAAAATAAACAAAGCATTTTCAAATCGTTAAAGCTTCAGAATAACCATCATTCTAATAAGAATCATATGTAATCTAAGAAGAAAACTGATAATTATAATTTGCATTATATATTCATAATTAATAATAATGATAATAAGGTTTTTTTGATATTCGAATGTAAGTTTTAATAATTTGATAAAATCGTTGATACAATTATAAAATTTTCATTGTGGTGGTTGGTACTGATTATTTTGAATTGCAGGTTAATTAACATATCCCTATTACAAATATCCTTACTAAACATAACCTTATTACACAAGTCCCTATTATAGACTTATATCCTATTATGGAATAGGAATAGGCACATTTCCTTAAGTATATTATCCATTAGTGTAATCACCTGGTAGATAAGCATCTCCCTTAGACAAATAATAAATTCTAATCGATATGATACATAAACTTACCCAATGCTTACTCTAAAAATACTGATTGCACTCAACCACATTGAGATGGAAATTATAGCAAAGAAGATCCAAAAATAATAAAATAGTCTAAACGATTGGGCACACATCACATTTTAAACTCTGGTAATAGAAACCTAATAGAAATATGATTATGTAAAATACTTGAACAAATTTACAATTGACACCCGATAGTGCTCCAGTGTTTTTGTCAGTGATTGATTTTAAATAGTTTGAGGCAGCCGTGGTATATGATGTGATGGCATCAAATTTGGCAATCAAGGCATCTTAATTTTATTTATGTTTATTTATAATTGATTTTTCTTAATCTTGTACTGGCTTCCATTTTGACGATTGGGTTGTATAAAATTAATTTATGGTTGAGATTTCAGCACAATTAGAAATTTATTGATTTAACAATGTTGGATCAGCCGAAAATATAGATGATTGCAAACAGACAGGTTTATTATTGGGATTTGAAAATGTTGACCCAGATGAAGGTAAATACTATATAGCTGATGTATCACAGAATGACATTTTATCTGGCACTGAACTCTTCTTATTACTGTTACATGTCTTGACCTATTCTCTCATCAAATACTTCATATTTGCTGGATTAGATGTTGAGTATTCCTCTTCATCAACTCTTTCAAATGTAATAAAAGATTTGATGTAATCTGAATTAACTTATAAGGCTGCATCTCCTTTAGCTGATTCACTTTGAAACTATGCTTTTTATTACTCAAAGTCACTAATTGATTAGTCTAAATCGATAGCCTATTTCAGAGAATCATAAACATTGTAATAATTCAGAATGTCACCATCTTTGAACAGACATTCAGTCATGATGTCTTTAATTTCTTTGTCTTTGATTGCATAATTTAAATTTTCAAATTTAGTTTGATTTGTTAATATTACATCGATATAGTCACACCCTTCAGCAAGCACTCCACTGGTTAATCCTAAGGCTGCACTTAATATAAATCCTATCAAAACAAACAAAAAATTAAAAGTGCAAGCACAGACCAATATGCATCTGAAACATTTCAATCCTTTTCCCAAACAAAGCAGAGTTGAACTAACAACAATCAACAAAGCGAATAGTCCAAACACTCCAAATATAATGTAGAATACAATTGAGGTAAGATCGCTACCATTTTCTAAAGAATCTGTAGTTTCCAGAAAGTCATGAGCTGCATTTATTAGATTTACTTATGTGTCCTTTATTGATTTTTTCGTATCTTCTAAGCTTTTGGAAATATCGCCTTATTAATCACCTAATTATTATCCATAACTTTTGATATTTGCAATCTCTTTGATAATATTCTCATATATCTATTTAAATAGTTATTATTAAGGTAACACAGGGATTTATTTGATTTCTGTGGCTATGGAATTAGAATTAACAGTTTTGCCTGTTGAAATATAACCAAGAACGTCATTAGCACCATAGTAAGTTGTTAAAGGAATTGCTTCAATTCTAAGAATGATATCTAAATATATACTTCTTATTTTCATCAGATAACTCTCCGTATTAATCTTATAATTACTTTGCATTAATTTAGTCTAACTATTTTTAAGTATCGGATACAAAACCACCCAATCCATTTTAAATTATTGTTATGTTATTGATTACAGAATCCAATCCCTTCCATCTTGTAATCTCAGCGTCTTCACTATCTATAACTCCGTAATTTATATCACTAAAAATCATATATCCAGCACATCTGATTGATTTCAAAGAGTTGCCAACGTCTTCACTCAAAGCCAACCCTGCAATAGAGAAAGCCAATATGATAACTCCAAATATTATTGAAAACGCCAAGGGTATTCTAATGTCGTCAATTTTTTAGGCTTGAGTACACCTACAGCATGTACAGGGGCAACTAACATATTTAATTTTTTGTATACCAATTACTACAACATATCAACAACGTAATGTAAGTGAATAATGATATTACAAATAGTATCGCCCATGGAAGTAAAATGGCTATGGCTGCTTATCCTGCGTCCTCCTATTGATCAGATGTCAATTTCCCATCATTTTCGGCCAGAATATCTAAACCTATTTTTTTGTTAGTTGATAATAACTCTTCCCTTAATCTTTTAGCTTCTGATATTTCATTAGAAGATGGTTAATAATCTAATAGATATTTTTTTCAAATACCAACATCAACACAAACATCGACTGAGACTTCTGATAAGCCCTGTAAATTTGTTTCTTATCCCTAAAATTTAATCAACTCTTGACTTACATCTAGATAATTTTATATCACAAGTAAACACCCAAGACAAAGCAAGAAAATACAAGTTATTGAAGTTTTGTTTTTCATTATTTAAATTATCAAATTGTCAAATAGAACTTAATAATTCAATAAATTATTTATGTTATATTCAAAACCATCTCTGTTAAATTTGAATTGCATTTCATCCATCAACAAATCTCTAGATAGAATTTCATTTCAAATAATAATTGCATAAAGTATAACTTTTTCAAAATGTCTTGCCATCCAGCAAATTTAGAAATTCAACTCAACACAATTGGAGAAACCAAACAACTTTGCCAACTCATTTTTGAAATTTCTAATTTAAATTATCATTTTTATAAGTACAATTTGATACTGTTTGATATTATATTTATAGGTTTTATTGATATTAGATTTATAGAATAAATACAATTATATGAAATAGTCAATAGCCACATGTGTCCTAAACCTTGCTTTTTTACTTTAGAGATATCTCTTTTTCATATTTAATAATAGTTTAATTTATGTTTCTCTAATTATTAAATATTTAAAATTTCAACTGTACTAAATGTATATATGATCAGTATTTGATATTATGACTTTGCTTTCTTTCCAAGGGATTATGGTAAAGCACCCAGTCATTGTTTAAGAGGTACAATAAATTTACAACATCACTTCAATTTAGAAATTGATTTTCATTTAAAAGCACAATTGATTTTCTTTATAATTAAATTGAGGATAGCTTTAATGTTCTAGAATAAATCTCATATTGTTCAGAATCAGAATGCAAATGAATATCCCAACAATGCATGCAACTCAAGTTACTAGAAGTGAATTTGAATATGTAGTGGTGTATTATCATATATATATATTCATATAAAAATATCTTCAAAAGTTATGGTGTTTGTTCATTTTTACAAATGAGAATTGGAATAACGAACCTTCCTTCCAAAGAAGATATCCTCCTTTTGATTATTTTGATTTTAAGAGTTCAGTCTTATACTCTAAACTTTTGGTCTTCCAAAAATGCTCTCTTTTTGAACATTTAATTGATTTGCATCAAAGTACAGTTTTGGTGGAGGAGAGGGCTTGTATTCATCTTTAGGTTCTTTCTTCTCATTAACCTCCAAATCGTCATTTTAGATTTTTTGTAAATTCAAAGCCAAGTTTTTAGGTTTGATTGGAGTTACACTAGTGGAAGTAGTCTTTTGAAATGATTTATCCAAGATTATTCTCTTCTGCTTTTTTGAACTACATGAACCCATTATTAATTTAATAATTTTTTTTACAGTTTCAACAGCTTTTATCAATCGCCGCTATTAAATCGGAGATTAACAGATTTTATTTATTATAATACTAGCCTATTATTCAGTAACAATTAAAACCATGTATAAAAATTTTAATTAAATATTGTACAATCATCTCGCACAACAGAAATTCATTTACAACATATCACAAACTGGGTTATTCAAGTCTTATTTCATTTAAGACTGAAATATTTTTGAAATATTTTTGATTTATTAAGTGAAGTTGTCCTCTGATCAAAACCTAAATGAAACCATCTGGTCATCTAATTCATTTTTAGTAATAAATAGAAATTAAGAAATAATAAATAAAATAATTTATAATCGTTAAACATTGTGCAAAACTGTGTTGGAGAATATAGAGAAACTGCAATTATCTAAATACAGGATTTCATATAAATTGATGTACTGGAGAGAGACATAAAATGATGATTTTTATTTGTCTTATAAGGGAAATAGTAATATGATAAAGGTTTAATTTGAAATAACGGAGACTATTTTGAAATTACCGAAAACATAAGTGTTATGATGATAAATGCGAATCATTTGATTAGTTATAACAAGAGAAATAGAAATTTAATTGGAAATAGGATTTTTCATATTCACACTACTAATTATGATATATTCCGAAAATTAAGAACTGATAAGAGTAAGAACCGCTTTTATAAATATTACTAACATCAATTGAAAGAAAGAATAGAGGAAGTAATTATGTTCTTCAAATAAAGTTAGTTTGCATAATTAAATCAAAATATTAATGACCTATCCAATCTCCTAAACTCATCTTCAAAAAAGAGAAAACAGACAATCATCTGGTTGTAGAATTATTGGGATTTTCCTTTAGAATTTGATACCTTCTGTAGACATAAATGAATTTGAAATATTGAACAATTTAATCTATAAATTCAAAAATATGATTGTTTTCTGACAAATATTAATCATGATTATTAACTTTCATAATAGAAAATAATCGGAAGTTTTAATAAAGTAATGAAACCAATTCTAATGAATGTATTGGGTAAATCATATGAAATCAAATCGGGAATAACAAAAGTTGGAAATACTGAAGCTTGTGAAATTTAGGTGCCCCTTGCTGAGTGCTTCAGGCTCAAACGTGAGGATAACTTTTTGTGGGTCCAACCTCTAGTTAATATTCATAGAATAAATGGATTTGGTTTAAAGGAGTCTTTATGTGCAGGGAAGGAATTTGAACTAGATCTTTCGACAGGAAAGAAAGAGATAATTGCTGGAGATGAACGATATACTTTTGAGTTTGGGAAACCAAGGATAATCAGAATAAATTTAATTGATCATAATAAATCAATGGATGAACCGCCAATTATTAAAAAAGTGTTGAATGAATCGATGTACTCTCAGAATCCGAAAACTCCGTAAAAGAAAGCCAAAGCCCTTCATTATTGCTTTGTTTAGAATTACGTATTTTAAATTATATATGTTTAGATCAAATAATTAAATGGGGTTTATAAACTCAAATTTTCTAATTCTTATGTTTGTGCTGAGGATCAAAATAAACTCTATAAGTTGGGGATTGAAATAGACCCCAATGAATACAATATCTTGGTTATGGATTCTTATAAAAGGACATTCAACTTGCTATTGGCCCTGAATTAAGGGAAGATGATAGTGAATTCTTAATGGATAAAAGATTGTCTATCTTCGATGCAAGTGTAGAATCCATATTTATATGTTCTGAAAACTAATAATTTTAGTATATTAAAATCCATAGGAAGTTCCCTCTCGAATAAGATTTTCTTGAATAAGCAATTTCATTTAAGTCCGGAGTTAAAATCAAACATGACGAAGGAAGAAATAGTGAAATTGATAGAGGCTGGTGGAGGCACTATCAGTAATGAATCAAATGCATATAGGATTGTGAATAATGGTGAGGGAGGTGGTCTTTAGTTGGAAGAATTTATTCAAATGATTTTGTATTAAAAAGTATGATAAAACTGGTTGAAATTTTTAATATTATTATTGATGAAATAAAAATTTTGGATAGCTATTCCAAATGAATTGAAGTGGAAAAATGAAAAACCCATTTTGAAATCTGAATTCCAAAAGTCCAATTAAAAAAAGGTGAGATATTTGATCGCTTATGATCATTATATTCTCTTTACAAAAGTATGATTCAATTCTATATTAAAATAGAAGCCTGAGGATCCTCCAAAAAAATATCTGAAGCTGGATTTCGAAACGAAATACGAAATCCTCAGAACCCAAGTTTAAAAGAAGGATGAAGATGACGATTCGTTGGGTACTATAATAGGAATGAATCTAATGAGAGATCATGGATAAGATCAAATGACAAGTTACTCTTTATCAGCTAGTGAAAAAGTGATAGCTTAATGGAGAGAATTTTTTTAATCTAGAATTAATTAATGGTAATTTCATCATCTTTTCAGAGTATTCAAAAAAATCGGAAAGGGTAATTTTGCATCTGTAATTATTCCATCTGATTCTAGGTTTATTTGGGGGAACGCATCGAAGACGGTGCCTAGATGGCAATTAAAGCATTTTCAAAATAAGCAGCATATGCTGAAGATCATGGAAAAGAGGCCATCGTGAATGAATTAACAATCATGAGAAAATTAAACAATCATCATCTAATGAAAATGTATGAGATTTATGAAACCTCAAACTCCCTTTATGTTGCACTCGAATTGTTGGAAGGTGGTTCATTATACGATCTAATCAAAGAGAAGGTGATATTGTCTACGAAACAAATGTAATAAATATTGGTTGGAATCCTATAAGGATTGTGTCATATGCATGAAAAAGATATCATGCATAGAGATCTAAAGTTAGAAAATATTTTATTCAAATAACCAAAGTAAAATGATTTGTTAAATTAATAGGAAAATGGAAACGGTAGTCGTGGCAGATTTTGGTTTGGCCACTCATGTAAATGAACCAGTTTATTTGTATTGCAGATGCGGAACTCCTGGCTATGTTGCACCTGAAGTCATCAACATTAAAGATATGAAAGCCCATTATAGTTCTGTCTGTGACATTTACAGTCTTGGTTTAGTTTTTTATTTGCTATTAACTGGCAAACCTGCTTTTCCTGGAAAAAGTTACGGCACTGTAGTCAAGCAAAATAGAGAAGCTACCATTGATTTCACCTTGAAATAATTGCAAAATGCTCCTAATACGGCAATTGATTTATTGAGAAGAATGCTTGAAAAGGATCCTAATAAAAGAATCACTGCGCATTAATGTTTGTAGCATGCTTACTTGGCAGAAATGAACTAAATTATGTTAGAAGATAACTAAAACGATTTTATTGACGAAGGAGAGGACAATGATTTGGGAATGAGAATGAATGCCTTGAATGAAGAGTAATTATTTAATAAATCAGTATAGATCGGCTAAGTTTGATGCATTCAGAAGAAATCAATTGATGAATTCGCCTTAATCATCGCCAGGTGCTTTGGCTACTAAACAACTGAAGCATTAAAAAAATATTGATTCTTCAAATTAATTACAATTGAATTCACCTTTATTGACTGGTAAAACTGACAGTGTTGACAGCATTCCTAATATTGGAATGACTTAATAGAAATAGTAAAATGCTTTTCAAGCCTCTCCTCAAATTAAACCTTCCCGTTTTAAACAGTATTAATATATATATTATAAACGGATAGAAACGTCCCCTAACAAAAATAAGAGAATCCATTATTAAAATATACTTCAAAGAAAGAATGACATTGAAGAGTCTATGATTATTATCATTCAAATAATATTTTCTTTTATAAATATTCTTAACTAATTTGGTAACATTAAACTCATTTGAGACATATTATCAATAATTTATCATTGTGGTTATGACATTTATTTATTTCTTTTAACTTCATTGATAATCAATGGAGTTAGAAATACACCTCCAATTATGGACAATGCACTACAATAAAGAAACAACCGTTTTTCTACATAAGGAACAATCAATTAATTAATGGCTGCAAACATAGCTGCATATCCCATAATAACTGAAACTACAGTTGAGGTTGCAGATTTACTATCTAAAATGAAAATAATAGTTACTTTTTAATTCTGGTTAATTACTGAGTTCCACTGTCATCGCAGTCGAAATATTATTATAGCATCCCCCAATAAATAATCCTGTAAGGAATATTAAGCACATGTATCCAGCTATTTCATGTTTAAATGAGCCACTATAACTCACCGATATCATTATTATGGTACCTATCCACAACGAAGGTACTGTAATCACTGCTCTTTTGTTATAATAGTATCCAATCAAACTAGAATAAGAATATCAACAATTAAATTACCAAATGAGAATTCCTCCTGGGATTGAACCTACATCTATCATAGCTGTAATCCAGGCAACATCTTTGACATTTTTTGAGTCCAAATAATTTGGTAGCCAAAATCCAAGAATATAATAAACTGCTTTTACACATCCAAAAGCTAACGCATATAGTGCTACATTTGGAACAAACCATGCATTAAAATAATTTAATTGGTTATTTAAATCATTTTTCTCTTAAACAGCCATTTAAGACATGCTATATTTCTTTTAGACTTGTGAGCTTTTTCTTGTGTAGTCTAAATACTAATCCAAATTTTCCTCATATTTTTTTTCGATCATCGATATCATAAGTTAAGGTTGCTAACTTACTTTTGCTTTTTCATATTCTTCAATCATCCGCCTTTTTGTTTCCTCAGGTGGAGCATTTTCCAACAAAAATGTGTCGATCAAATTCATTATGAATAATGACGACCCAGCTAAATATATAGGTGCATATAATGGTAAATTATCTTTCCCTATCAAAATACCAGAATATACGTCACCAAGAATATTCCCGATATTTGGACAGGCTGCAAAATACCCCATTAGTATCACTTTCTTATCTGTTACAAACCAATTGTTCAAAATTGCTGAATTAGTTAACATTTATTATACCAAGCACTCCACACCATGCAGTCGATTGACCTATCCCATTAATTATTTGTAAAATCAGAAATACATAATTATGCTTTGCTTCAATGTAGATCATTACACCAATCAGAGTGAATACAAAACTTGATGTATATGTTCCAATTAAAATAAATACTTTAAGACTCATTCTATCTCCAAATTGCCCTAAACTACCGAATACGATATTCAATACATCGATATCGCAAGCCCATAACAAAAAAGAAAAGAAAAATTGATGTAGCCAAGGTATTCTTTTGTGAAATAGTCTTCCCCTACCATTCTACCTGATACATAGCTCCACGTTGACCTACAGCAATGCAAAAATGCATATTGGAAAAAACAAAGGACAAACATAAGAATTCTTTTTTTGGTGACTTCAGCTATCGAAGATGCAAACATTCTGCTTTATTAATTATTAACTCAATCTTTAATTTAGTGTCATATTAGGATTTATAAAAAAATAGTATGTTTAATGATGTAATCATATTTGTAGAAATGAAGTACCATCTCAAATTTAAAGGCAAGTATTCAAAACTTGAAGAATGGTAGTTTAAAATAAAAATTAAATATTTCATTTTAATCACTTTTTTTTTAGCCTATACTTTTCATTTACAATGAAAGGAAACAGAAATTTTCCATAATTCAACTAGAAATACAAAAATACTATACGCCCTAAAGTGGAAGAATTAAATGAAGTAGAACATATGCCATCACAGAAATTTCATATATTATGATAATAATTAATTGTGAAAAGTCCTTAATAAAATTATATTATTATTATATTTAATCAATTACTTGAATCCCCGAAATCATGAAATATTACCTAAATATCAAAAACAACATAATTCAAGGATATATTTTGATATAGAATTTTGTAGATATGTAGGAATGCAAAGTTCACATGAACCAAATATAATATTACTTATATTCGTTTTAAAATTACACTCAAAATCGGAGAATTAGATCTTATTTAAAATTAAATGTATTAAGATATATGATATCATTTTCTCAATGAATTTTCAACTCTGTTGCATGTTTGATCGATCAAATTGATCAAACTCTCTTCTGTTGCTTCTCTTTCATTCTTTTCACTAGTTAATTCGCTATTCAAATAGTGGTTCATTTCATCTAACATTCTGAACATTTAGCCTTGGGCTTATTCTCTTTGTTTCTTTTCAGTGGTCAAGATCTCTTACAATTTCAAGATAGAATCACCCAATCTCTTTATTGTGTTTTGATTTTACTATTCTCTAATTTAATATTTAATTGATAATGTACCTTTATCTTCTCTCCTCCTCTACTTCTTCTTATAATTATAAAATACGATCTCCAATCTCCTAAGCATTCTTTTCTTCAGTTTCCTCTCTGTATTTCTTCTATCTAGCCAAATCCAATTTTAAGCTATAAACCTTATCATCTGTATTCTTAATTATTTTTCCTTCAAAATCTTTTCTATTTATTTTTTCCGATTATAATTCCTTATTCAAAAATCCTTCTAATCCCTTTAAATCTTTTGATCTCAATTTCTCATCTCCAGCCTATTTCTAAAAACGATCAGTACTTCTCTAATGATTTTTTCATTTTAAGCGCCCTCTTCAACCTTTTAGAGTTATTCCTTCAACAACTTGAACTTAGAATCATCTCCTTGAGCTTATTTGGTTGCTCTGTCTTCTAGAATTTTAATCTTGCTTTCAAAAGTTTCTTTTTTAAACTATTGATAAACAGAAAACTCTTACAGCTTGATCTTCGTCAATCTAATGCTAAAGATTAGACAGTTTTTCTGATAACTGTGATATTTTGGCTCTGCTAGGTGAAAGTGCTCTGTCTCCTCCATATGGTTACACATTTGAAACATTAACATTCGAGCGTGATGGTGAATAAAAGATCTTTGATGCAGACATTAATAATTAACAATAAAAATTATTTCTAAATATTTTTATTGCTTGTTCATTTATATATCAATCTGATAAATCTCATAATTTTGTTATATTCAATATTATTTATAATTTTGCCAATATATGATTGGATATGCAATAGCAAATCACTAATTGAATAAAATCCATAAAGAAGGCATACCGTTAGTATAGCAATTATGAGTTTGCGTGTTTTTGTTTAAAGAGAGAGAATTCTTACTTACATAATAAATTTTACTTTGAATTAGAATTAATAAATAGATGAGAATACTTTATGATTAAATACAGTATCAAGTAAAAATGCTTTTATGGATATTGAAAAACTGTTTTCTTAATCAATTAATATCAAAAGCAGTAGTGTTTTTTGAAACATTTTATTATCTCATCCAAATGCAACTAAAGTAGCATTGATAATTTAGGAGAGAAAAGAAGATTAATCATTCTTGAAATAGAAATATGTTTTGATTTTTTTAGATAAAATACTATTGGTAATTTAGTCAACAAATATAAAACTTAATATAGTATTCAAAACAACTGAGTAGTTTCAAAGAATTTTAAATATTAGTTTCTGATTGTAAGTAGTTAATAATTTCCTTTAGATATAATCGTGAGAATTATGGATGGCTTACTAGAGTGGAATTGATATGATAATATTAATTAATAATTGTCTGATACCAACCATTTCATTATTAAATCTTTATATGGCAATAAACCTTCATGTCAGAATATTAATTTATGAAAACATATTATCCTCATATTTTATTAATTTATTTAATATTAAATTAATTACGTGTAATATTAATGATCGATTTAGTAAGTATAATAACTACTGGAGGAGTCATCCTATTTTACAAAGTATTCTGATTTCATTAAACAACTAGGCTCTGTGCTAAATAAAGGAGGATGTTTTGGGAAAAGTCATTGATGGATGTTTACAATAGAAAACATCATTATAATTGGGATCAATGAAAGTTCAATGGGTCATATTAAATGAATTAGGACTGATATTTATCGTTTCTTATCAAGAAATCTTTTTCATCCAATATATTGATGTATTGTTGAAAATGTTGTAAACTTAATTCAAATAAATATACAATCCCGCAATTAAATAAAAAGGAATTTACAAGTATTAATCCCATTTTAAATTGTAGATCTATCCCAGAGTTTGATTCTGGTTTTGAGGAAGTCATGAAGATGTGGTAATTGTATTGTGACAAAAGGAGTGAGAAAGAAAAAGAAGGACCAACAAGAACATAAGATTAATAGTAAGAATAATTCTCAACATTCGAACCAAAGGTTGAAACAGGTAATACGCCAAATGAAGAGCCAAATGATGGTTAATAAAAGTTGAGCAAATCAGAAATAATTAAAATGAAGATGTAATAAAAATCTGGTACACGATCTCCAAAAGATGGTGCAAAGTCCCCTTAAGATGGTGCTAAATCTCCTGTTGATAGTAGATCACCAAAATAGTCTGTCATTATGAATACAAACATAACTAAAAAATAAATTGACTCTTTGGATTTCACAAGTAAAGGACAAACTTAAGTCTAATCAAATTAAAATGAGAAATACATGACCTAAGAATAAGAAGATGATTTATTAAAGTAATTTATTGGTGATGATGATCCTTTATTTGGTTCAGATGATGAAAATCCAAAATAACAAAAAAAACAAGGGTTGTTTTAAAAATTGACAGGAAAGATTTAGAATCTCACAGGAAATAAATAATTAACTGAAGAAGATCTATTACCAGTTTTAGATGATTTCAAAAATGCCTTAATGTAGAAAAATGTAGCAGAGGAAATAGCATAGAAATTGGTTGACTCTATTAAAACAAACTTATTGGCTACAAAAACAAAAGCATTTTAATCAATCAGAACATCAGTATAAGAAGCAATGAAGTCAACATTAACAAGAATTCTGACACCAAATAGACATATTGATATTATTGCTGAAGCTTTGAGAGCAAAAGAAAAACAAAAACCTTATGTTATAGTAATCATTGGAGTTAATGGGGTTGGAAAATCAACAACACTTGCAAAATTAGGATACTTATTCAAAAGTTAAGGATTCTCATTGATGATTGCAGCATGTGATAATTTCAGAGCTGGAGCTGTAGAATAATTAAAGACCCATGGATAATGTTTGGGAATTCCAGTTTATGATAGAGGATATAAAGACGATCCTCCTGAGATTGCTTATTAAGCTATAAGAGAGGCAACGATCAAAAAAATTGATGTTGTTTTAGTGGATACAGCTGGAAGAATGTAACATAATGAACCTTTGATGAGAGCATTGTCAAGGATAGTAACAATGAATAATCCTGATCTTGTATTATTTGTAGGGGAGGCCTTAGTTGGTAATGATGGAGTAGATTAATTGGTTAATTTTAACAAAGCTTTGATTGTGAATAGTCCAAAGGATAATGTAAGAGAGATCGACGCTATCATTTTGAGTAAATTTGACACTGTTGATGAAAAAGGTAAATAATTAATCATATTTTGTAGTTGGTGCAGCATTATCATTAACATCAGCAACAGGCAAACCAATTCTCTTCGTTGGAGTAGGACAGAAATATACACATTTAAAGAAATTAAATGTGAATACTGTCGTAAGAGCATTATTACAATGAAAGAATTGAAATATACATAATATCCAAATATAAAAACAAAATTTGAATTCCAAAAAGTAATTAATAATTTTAACGGAATCAAATGGCTTTAGATGAAACTTGGGTGTTGTCTTGCGCTTTCTTTTCTATCCTAGGACTATTAGGATATTCAATGATAGCTGCCGGAGCGGTCAGATACAAATCAGTTCAATCTGCCATTATTACAATTTTATTGGGTGGAATCTTAACAATTCTGGCTTTCTATATTGTAAGACAATCGAATATTATTAGACTGGCTATGCATTTGCATTTGGATAGGATTCAAACAAATTCATTGGTAAATCATTATTTGCCGCTGCATCATTTGAATCAACACCAAGCAAAAATGATTATGACAACTTTGTATTCCACACTATTGCTGCCATTTTCGTGACTTCAATCTTTGCATTAGGCACTTTGGAGAGGTCAAGATTCTTCTCATTCAGTTTTGGAGTGATCATACTATAAGGACTCTTGTATCCAATAGTTGTTCATTGGACTTTTGGTCAAGGATGGTTGAGTACATTTGGATTCTAAGACTTTGGAGGAAGTTCAGTAATTCATGTGTTTGGAGGTGTTACTGCTTTGTTGGCATCATTATTATTACATGAGCGTAGAGATCAAAATGGAAAAATTCATCCAGGAATTTTCCCACATCATGCACCATTCTTCGTTGGAATTGGTACCATCTTACTTGTTGTTGTATAAATCATATTCCTCTCTGGATTGAATAGAGGATCAGCAACCTATGTCAAGGGATTAGTTCCTGTTAATGCTTTGTTGGCTGCATCATTTGGTGGATTGAGCAGTTATGTCTCATATTATTTGAAAAAAGAAAAAACAAGTTTAATAACTATTGCTAGAGGATCACTTGCAGGAGTCGTAGCAGTCAGTGCAAGCGTTGATGATATCTAATTATGGGCTGCTGCCTTTATTGGAACATTAGCTGGAATCTCATACCTCGTGATATAATTAATAGTTAAAAGATCTCATGTAGATGATCCAGGATAAGCAGTAGGTGCTCATCTTGTTCCAGGAATTCTTGGTACTCTTTTATACGGAATTTTGTCAAGATCCCATGGATTATTTTATGGCAATAATCTAAAATCATTTGGAATCTAAATTGTAGGAGTACTCTCTATTGCTGGATGGGCTCTCCTCATTTTAGCAGTATTGGTACCATTGAAAGGTTTTGGAATCTTTAAGATTAAACCTGAATAAGAATCCTTGGGAATCGATTAAAGCTATGGTATGTGAATCATATTTATATTGTTAGCTGGTGGCGAAGCCTATGTTTTCAGCGACTAAACTGTAGAAACCAAATCCCTGTTAAATTCATAAAAGAAATCCATATTCCATTGATATATCAATTATTATACATCATTATAATCATTTTTAAAACTATCCAGCTTCCTCTACACACATATGATTAGATCCAATTAATATATGAATACATATATAAAAGCATCTTCCTTTCTGAGTAAACTATAATAAATTAGGAAATCCAGCAATATTGTAGTTTAAATTTATCTTATATTTGCTTTCATTTTTACAGAGTCTCTTAAAGATTCTTTTATGATTTCTCTAAAATAAATTGTAGATTTAATTCAGTCTGTTTATAGAAATCACATCTTTCTACATTTGCAAAATTTCTCATTAAGTGTTAGATGCTCATTTTAACAGATTCTTTGAGCGAATTGGTTCATCTAAAATAATTTCATATTTCTAGATAAAGTTATATGATAGTTTTAGAATAGATTAGAAATGAATATAAATTAGCTCTATTCATCAATGAATCTAAATTCATTCAAAGCAAATCTAACATAGAATCAACATCTGAATAAATTATTTTTAGTAAATTTAAGGAATTAGATTAATGATCAATGTTTTTAATTATTTATATTGAAGAACATTCAAGTTAAGTAATTTTCAGGTCATATTAAACTAAATATCTAAAATGATCATTTTACATAAAAGCAGATAAAGAATAAGTGGTTTTGGACGATAAGAAAAATACATCTATGCCTATAAATTTTTGTTGCGAATAACCTTACTTCTAATAAGTTAGATCTGTATTTAAACACTATATTGCAAATTCAAAAATATTTTGATTCCCCAATCCTTTATAGTCGACAATCAAGATATAATTAACTTTCTTATTATTTTTGTTGTCCTTTCATGATAATTATAGATTAATGTAACATTTAATATGATATGATCATTTCATTCGCTCATAAATTTTTTGCAATATCAGCAGGAGCATTAGCTTTCACGACTTAAACATATTCAGCTTTTGCTTATTCGTTAGACTTTCCCTTGTTAGCATTCCATGCATCCCACTTTGCTCTGCCTTTTTGATCAAGAATTCCTGGTTTACCTTAAAATATTATCATTTTTCAGATTACCGATATTAACATCTCCCACGGTTGCTTATTTGTATAATCCATAAATCTACAATTTTGTTTAATCATTCAATTTATCAACGAATGATTTAACTTCTTCAGCTGCCAATTCGAACTATGAAATAATAAGAACATAGGTATACATTCTCTGCCATTTGGATTAAATTAATATATAAAAGATTTATTATTTATATTCTTACGAATGGCATAATTAATAATTGTTTTCTAAAATTCTTGGATAATTTGTTATATGAACATAGATCAATTTTCAATAGCGACACATTTACGTATTAATTCTCCGATTTTTATAGTTTTTTAATCATTGATCATCATCTAAAAGTCATGATCAACTAGATGATCGCCATTTAATAATTTATCTCTATAGTATTTTAAATACTTGTGATCCTCATTTGTTACTATATCATCAGAGTATTTCAGATAATCTAAGAACTCTGTAAATTATTTCATTTAATTGTTGTGTAATTCAATCTTGTATTTTAGTTTTCTAACCCATTTGTATCTAAGTTATTATAATTATTTTTTTGTTGGTTATATACTGTCTGGCTTTTCACTGTAAACAGATAGTTTCTATTTAATTTAGCAAATATCTTACAGCTGCCATACTACGCTCTCTAATTTCCTCAGTTTTGTAAATTATTTCTTTGACTTTATCACTCCTCAAATCTAAGAATGATAATAATATTGATTTACTTCTAATTTCATGGTTCTACTCAATCGTTTACTTAAGGGATTTTGACCTATCCCTACCTGTTGGAGATTCGCTTACATTAAACAATTGAGATTTTATAGAATGAGATGAATATTCTTCATTTCTGGTTGTCTTTATCTAGGTATTTTTAGATTGAGTATGAGGAGAAATTTGAACGAATTGATCTCTTGTTGTATCAATGCTATATAAGAACGTCTCGACTTTTTATAAAGAAGCTTTGATGGTGTCATGTTTAAGATGTGATTTTTTAATGATGTTATTTAATGTTCTTCTACAGAGATATTCCTAAAGATTGATATAGGTTGAATGCTTACTTCAACAAACGGTAGCTCTTTTTCTTTGCTTTTTTGGGGTTCATCTTATAGAATGCGTGAACGGTTCAAAAATTTTTGTTACAATCTTACTTAGTTTAACCTATTAATTCATCATAAGTCGTTACTCTCTATTCTATACTTTAACGTAATCGATTATTTTGCCCCCATCGTGTGATTGGTTTTTTTGATGTTGCAATTTCAAGTTGTTGTTATGAAGATTTTGGTCAAATGTTTCTCTCCGTTAGTTTTATTGATGAAGAAAAGTTTCTAAATCGGCCAATTTCTTCAGTTTGAGTTTCCGTAATTTGAGTACGGGTTCATCATTAAAAAAAAGAGCTTTTCAAAATGATATGAAATTAATACGATCATCTGATATATCAATTCTCTTTCTTTATTTTAATTACATTGAGATGGATTAACCAATAGGAATTGGACGATTTAAATTGCAACAAGTTATATCAAAAGAAATGAATTAAATGAGACAAAGCGTTGATCCTCGTACTTCTTTGCAAATGATCTTGAGCCAAAGATCTTAAGCCCAATTTTCATAAGTGGTAGATTAAGAAGTTCCTTAAGAATAGCCTATTAAATCATTGAGCAGCAAAAAAGTAAATCAACCCTAAATATGACTTATATAGGGAAAAAAATTTGAATTTTAAATCTCTTCTGATTCAAGTTCCTTTACAATTACATCAGAAGAATCCTCAAATTCTCAAAAATCCCAACACTCTACTAATTACTTACTTAGATAACAAGCAGCGGCATCCTTAAAACTATTGGTCAAAGATAACAAATAATAGATAAAATTACCCAATATTCCAATAAGAAGCATTTCTAATGAGAAATAGCAAATTAATTTTTTAAAAGGACTATAGTAAAATTCTGAATTGGAGTGAGAACAACCATATAGAAGAATTTTATTAGTAAGGTAAAATAACTGTCAAATTGAAAAGCAAGGACTTTATGACATTCATGAGATGGTAACATGAAGTCGAAGAATTAAAAAGAAAAAAGAGGGACTTTGATGAATAGAAAGATCGACATTTTTAGTTAACCAAAGGTGACACAGTAACAAAGATGGAATAACATAGAAAGGAGGAAATTTTAAAGAAAAAGAAAAACAAATTTTCAGAATCATCGATTGTTGGTATTTCCTTGGCAAAACGATTTTTAAGAATTGGCAGAAAAAAAGCTAGGGCTACATTATAAAGAAATGCCATCAAAACTTTAACTGGTATTCAGAGTGTCCCTCATTTAAGTGATTCCAATAGATCTGACGATGTTAGATCAATGGCTAGTTTTAGAGAAATCTAGAATCCCTAAATGTGAAATTCTTATTGTAAATAATATTATTTGTTTTATAAATGAACTAAAATTCCAATCAATTACTAGGATAACCAAAGAATTAATTTAAAATTGTAGAGAGTGTCTATCAATAGCAATAACCATAACAATAGCAACAACAATAACCAAGACAATAGCAATCAGTATCATCAAAACCTGTTGAAGAATCCCATTGTATAAGAGTGAGAAGCAAAGAAGTTAAGGCTGTTCATAGAATGATGTTATGGTTTTCTGGTAAGAAATAATAGAAGCTTTACTAAAAGATGAAAAAAAAACATAGATATAGAAAGAATGTGATTGCTGAAATTATAAATACAGAGAGGACATACGTGAATGATTTGGCTATTATCTGTGAAAAAGTGAAAACATCCTCACTTTCTATTTTATCTCCAAACGACGTTCAAACTATTTTTATGAATTGTGATGAAATATTGGCTTGGAATAAAGAGTTTTTGTAAGAAATGGAAAAGGGATATTCAAAATACAATCTTGATAAGAACTAGATGCCCAGGCCTTATCAATCAGTGTTTTATGGGAATGCTTAATAATTAAAAACACCAGATCTAGTTGCATTCAAATGTTATTACGAATATTGTAGTAAATTTACAAAATCTAATAAACATTTTGAACATCTGAAAGCAAATGATTAAAAGTTTAAAGAGTTCTTAACATAGCTTAACAAAAATAATACATTAAGAGGAATGGATCTAGGAAGTTTCTTAGTTAAACCTATATAGAGATTGCCTAAATACATTTTGCTTTTTAAAGTATGATTGGAATTTATCATAGGATTTAGAAAAGAATACAGATGAAGATTATCCAGATTTACCAAATATCAAAGAGATTCATAAATATTTCAAGGAAGTAAATGAAGAAAATAACAAATTTATGGATATCTTTATGGGTAGATTGTAACTTCAATAATTGAGTGAGTCTTTGAAGATCAATTAAGAAGAATTATTAAATGAACCTCAGAGAATTTTTAAATTTGAAGAGAAATTAACAACCATTTAACCAAATGCAAAACATGATGAGGATTGTTAAGTAACAGTCTATGCTTTGAGTGACATGTTGGTAGTTGTACAAGATGAAAAAGTTTAAAAGAAACTCAAATTAGATTCTTTATCTTTTGTTAAGAATTAATCGGATAATAATAAGTACTTTAGCAATTTGTTTTAAATTGTTGGAGTAGGTGATACAATCTAATGCATAGCTGAAACGCCGGCTGCAAAGAAGAAATATATAGACTTGTTTGAAAAATTGATCTAAGAAAATAGAGAACATGAACATGAAAGAGAAAAGGAACTTGGTAATTAATAAATAAAAATGCGATATCCTGTTTAGGTGGTTGTAGTGGGAACTGAAGAAAGAAACTTTTAATCATTCACTAAACATACTTAATATATTACTGAAATTAGTATAAATAAAGTGTTTCAAAATGTATTAAAACACCCTTATCTAGATATTTATTCGATACAGTGAAATTGAAGTGATGTCTATTAAATATAAACAAAGATATCCTAGAATCGAGTTGCCTTAATTACCTGACAAAAATTGGTTGATGAGTCACAAGACCAAGTCTATCGAGGCACGTAAGATAGCAATAGAAAATTTCCTTTAGGCATTATTATAAGCAAAGGAGTCCTAATCGGATCCTGATATTTTGAATGAGTTAAGTATAGATCATCATTAATCAAATTAGAATTACCTAAGAATTTTTTTGACTTACCAGATCTGTATTAATCTATTTTAAAATCAAATTTAACCTAGAAATAGTAGAATTTTAAAAGAACCACATTAGAAGGAAAAGAAGAATTAAGAGAAAAAGGCATAAATATTGAAAAACTAAAAATAAGTGCTGGAGAGATTTTAAAGGCAGTTTATATTGAACAAGAAACAAGAAAAAAAAGTGTTGTGTAAATTTGCCCCAATAAGGTTATCTCATATGAGAATTCAAAAGATCCCAGTTTGCAAAAGATTATTATTACATTTCCTGATGGAACTGAAACAGCACTTGGGGTCACAGAACAAACAAGAGTTAGAGAAGTCTTAGAATATGTTGCTAAATACAATCACCTTGTTTATTACAAAGATTTTAGATTATATTTAGTTGATTAATTAAAGAAACAGAGAGTTTTGGATGATGATGAAGTACTTTTTAAAGTGATTGATGATGAAAGACAAAATAACCATGGAATATTAAATAAATTGGAATAAATGTTAGCCAAATCAAATGCAGAGTACTTATTAATTCTAATTATTAGAGTTCTAATAAAAATGAAAAAATACATTTACTTGCCTGCCAAATTGGAAGAGAGTGATTATAAGGAAGATCCAGTCAGGCTAATAAACCTAGCCTTCTCTATATTAGATGATGTTCATGATTAAAAGCTACAACTTGGATTTAAGGAATATTGTTTATTTGCTGCACTCTATTTCCATATGAAACACCAAAGGTTGGATGATAAATTATTTGGTGAAGTCAGAAGAGTAATTCCCTCTGAAATGTTTCAAAGTAGCACAGATAAAGAATGGAAAGATCTGGTTACTTAGTGTTTTAAGGCACTTGACAATGAACTCTCAACAATCAGTGTAAGATTTAAAAATTGATTTTAGAAAAAAAATGAAAATGACTAAATCTAAAAAAAACCCAACTCCTAATACAAACACACCGACAAAAAATATTTGGCTGCAGGAGTTACTTTGAATGCTGCGCGAACATTTGTTTAAAGCATAATGGCAATCTTTTAAGTGCAAGTCTATGAGGGAACTCAGAAGTATTTTAAGAATTTAGGACTTGAAGTTCATCCCACCATTTATTTAGGATTGTCCATTCATAAAATACATTTTTTAAACCCTCAAAGAAAGGAACAATTTAGAGAAATTGATTATAGTCGTGTAAATGGAGTGAAGTCTTATCCTAGTTAAATAATCTTTGACCTCTAAATATTTAAGGAACCTATTAGGTTTGACACTTACTAAAGTTATGAAGTAATTATTAACTTTTAAACCTTAGATAAAATCACTTGTTGAATAATACCAAGCTATTCAAAAATTCGATGAAGAATATGAATTGGGTCATCAATTCAATATTAAACATTGAAAACATTAAAAATTAAATACAATTTATCAATAAAATTTACATTGATTTTATTCATCATAATTTTAAAGTTGCAACGCAACATCATAAAAACCATGATTTCTATATCAATATAGAGACTGTTTATTAAGTATCTAATTAGATAATTTGTTATATATTATTTCAAATTCAAACTGGAGAACTAGATGTTTCACGCTATAGGCTGAATTTAGACTTTTCAGTAATTTTATTTGGAAAATTAAGTAAAGGTGTGCTTCCTAAATTTTGGGGAGTTCGTCTTCCAATGATTGAATTCAATTATAACTACATTTTAGGTTTCTTACTGATTTATGGTGGTGTCATAGTAGTTGATTTAATTTCTTTTTCTTCCTTTAATGTTGTTTGTGCTCTTTTTAAATGCCTTTTTCTCTTAAAATATCTTTCTTGCTTAGCTCTTGGATCTGTTTTCATTTTGATACCAAGTTCCTTGAGAAATGAAACAATGCTTCTTTCAATATTCAAGCTAGCTGGTTATTATGGCTAGTATTCTAATATTTAAAGTTCAACAGAAACATCTGAAACTCCACTGTAGCACTCATCATCTTAATCAGAAACTTATAAATTTTCAAAATCAATGCGCAGCTGTACTGGATTATCATCCATTTTTATTTATTATCAATATAAATAAAATTGTTTGAACATTAACAATAAGATGAATACAAATTGCCACTATTGTTAAAAACTATTTGAATTGATAAATCGAGGCCTTATAATTATAGAATCTTCTTAAAATGCTACATAAAATATTTATAACATGAGCGGATATTATACTATATTTCAGAAGCAATTTATAAGTTAATAATCTGGAATATTTTAAGGATTTAAATACTTTTTTATAAATCTATTTTTATCATAGATTGATTATATCATTAAAAATGAAATAAGAAGCTTATTGAATAGATGATTCAAAGGGCTTATAACAATTTAAAATTCAATACTGATGGATGAGATACTTTGAAAATTGGTGAAATAAAATAGGTAAAACTTTTATAAAATTGAGTTCTTTTTATTCAAATATATTCAATTTTTTTTTCTTTATAAAAAAAATAGATTATAAATAATTATTAGATAATTATTTGATTCTTGACATAATATAGGATAATCTTATTGGTTAAACAAAACGTAAAGGAAATAATAACAATGTTTATGGTTATATATTTATATAAAGATATCAAAAATTTTACCAAATTTATGATGAATTAGCAAATATATAAAAGCCAAAATAATCATTTAATTAAAATATCTGACAAATTATTTCTTATTCTCATAGATTCAAAAACTGTCCATTCTATTTAATTCTGAGTGTTTGCCCTTGTTTCCCTTAAGTTCCTTTATAAAAATACACCTTTGATTCTATTTGAATAGGTTGTTGTGTAAGATTTAACAAATTATGAGATGCGATTTAATTATTATTTATCCTATATTACTGACCAATTAGGAAGATAATTAACATGCAAACTGTCATCTTGTAAACAAAACTATATAGAGGATGCAATTTACTCTGAATAAAACTCGCTGTGCTTATTCCAATTGTAAATCTAAAAGAGCATATGACAAGTTGCTTAATTGTACTTCTTCAGTTTTTGTTGGGTCTAACTCATATTTATTATGGTTTGATTTGAATAGAAAATCAAAAAATGAATCAGTCAATTTATCATTAACTAAACTGGCTAAGTGTTTACAACAATCTGAAAGCATTTTATCAATTGTGTAGAATAGAAAAGCCTAAAAAAGTTATTATAAACATTCACTTATTTTCCAAATAGCAAACTTAAGTAGTCTTGATATTTGAAATCTTTATTTTTAATTTAGTAAAGAAGAGCATGCTTAAATAGCTTATATCTTAATTCTATTATTTTTTTCTTTTCCTTTTCATCCAATTCTAGAGTTTAAAAAAAATTATACTTTCAAATTTTTCATTTTATTCAAAATTCTAACTAATTTATTGTGCCAATTCAATTCTTTGATACAAAGAATAGAAATAGCGAAAAAACAAATATATTCCAGACGTGCCATAAATGATTTTGCCATGTGGCTTATATTTACTCTAAAAGTTTGTAGATAATTATAATGAATTCCTTGGGAACACATCCTATTCATCGATAAGAGGTGATTTAAGAATTTTGATTCTTTAGAGCTCATAATCAGATTCTTCAAAGTCATCTGAATCCTTTCCGTTGTTGCTTATTGAATTATTAGTATTAATGTGAGATTTTTTGATTTACTCTTATTCAATATTAAATTAATCGATGTAAGAGAATGATGAACTAGTCACATATTATTCAATAACTGATAACTCTGCTCTTAAAAGAGAAAAATTATAGTTTTAATCAACCAAATCAAGATTGAAGTAACCTTAATATATTTTTTAGAATAAATCAAGAATCCATTCGGATTCGTTCTAATTAGATTGTTCCACATAATATTTAAAGATTTCAAAAGTTTCTTCCAAAAGGGTTTTACTGGAAATGTAAAAGCTAAAAACAGTGCTTTGATCAATATCGTTAATATTAACATATTATCCATGGCTCAGCGGTTTAATAGTGGTTAATTATACTAAAGAATTCAAATATTCTGCTTAAATAGCATTATTTGTCTATATTAATGAGTACTTTTCGTCAGGCTCTTTTAGAAATCTTGAGACACATGTGTATTGCTTTTCATTTTTTTTAAAATAGAAAGATCTGTGATCTAAAGATCTGGAGAAATTGTTTTTTTATGTTATTTTCCAAGTTTGGTTTGCGATTTCTCTTGATTTAATTAACTCTTGACATTTTTAGTTCAACCTATCTCTTAAAATAGGAGAACATAGAATTGGATTCTTTTACCATAATGTGATAACTTCCTCCTAGTCCTTGCTATTTGTTTTGTAGACTGATTGCAGACATTTAATTTATAGTATTTTTCTAATTTGCTATTCAATGGCTTATGAATTGTTGCCTGCTATCAACTAATCAAGTAACTATGTTACAAATAAAGTAATACTTTAATTGTTCTTCTATAACAATTAATATTAACATCATATTCAAACATTTCGTCTTCTATTTTGAATAATTATTCTTCAAAACTATTTTTCCTCATAATTGAAAAAGAATAATCTTCGCTGCCAAAAGGCACAGATACCCAAAGATGATTCAAGACATTTGGTAATTTAGGATCTTCTTTCATAATATTTGCATATCCAGGATGCATTCTTACATATGATCCTGTAATGTGCTCAGCATTTTTGAAGTCAGTGTCTTTAAGTGGCTTAAATAATTAAGTTTGTTGTCTACGTGCTGGAGCTCTAGTAAATATAGCTATTCTGAGTTCATCTATAATTTCCTAATCAATCCACATATGTGATGATAAAATATCCATCAATTCGTATTAAGTGATTATACATTCTGTATATAAATTGATGACTTTTACAAATTCATCGAAAAATTGATTAAAATCAGACTCTGATGTAAAATGACTAAAACACTTTAATCTTAGTTTATCTAGCACAATAATTTCATTTTTAATTTCTCTACTTGCTTATAACTAATAAGCATTATTATAAAAATGTTATGTATAATAAGCTTAATAAGATTAAATTTCTTCCATCGTTGGAGGATTTGGTTTTACCCTCTTATTTTTGATATCATTCCAATCCACTTAAATTTTTTGCTTTTATTTTTTGAGCTTGAAAACATTCTAAATTTCTTTGAGAGCCTCTGGATCATCTTTGAATTAGATTGATATTAACTAGAATACGATATCAAAGTTATAATTACATCTAATTATTACTATTGGTCAAGATTTCCCTTGAGAATTAGATTCTTAGTTTACTCAAGAAGATTGATTCTTTGCTTGTCTTATTTAAAAAGACATTCTAGTTATTGAATTGTATCATTTGACTTGATTCTTGCATCATGATAAAATAATCTATTGACATTATCAATAACTGTTGGCTAATCGGAAAAGAGCTTTTTAATCTCGCCGTAATAGTGGGATATACTTTATTTATTCTATTTGTAGTCTTTCACTAACTCAACTAGCTATCTAAATATAAAAAAATTAATATTACTAGTATAATAAAGGATAATCTCGTCTCAACCTATTGCAAAATGCTTCACAATTTTTGTATCCTCTTTGTATTTACTCTTCTTCCTGATAAGAATTATTGTTCTGTCCTTCACTCATTGAAAAAAAATAAATATAAAAAATAATTAATTATTTCTATCTCTAATTTGATTCGTTGACTTTAGTTATTAGGAGATACCTGATTATTTAATTAAATAATTATTTGAATCAATAAAATCCATTGTCTTGGAATGCATGATGAAAAGCATTAGAAACATTAAATTAAAGTACCTCACTTAATCCCTAATATTATTGTCTTAATCTCGTGTTTTTGGCATCTAATTCTTTAAAATCTTTTCCAAATGAGGATTCATCCTATTATATTGAATTCTATCATACTTTTATTATCATCGAATATAAATTCCTAAATCTGCAATTCATAATCTTTAATTGTGCATGAATATAAAAATAACATTGGGGTTTAATTTGAACATTTAAGAAAGTTTGATTTTACTTTGGTATTTCTCAGCAGCTTCTTAACTCTTGCCATTGCTTTAAAAAATCACATTCAAATGTCATTCCCTAATTTTATTCTTTAAAAATTTTTTTTTATTTTACATTCTGCAATTTTATTTTATTCTTATTTTTGTTATTTTTCACCTTGGATTTATTCATCGTATCATTTCTATTGATGTATAGGCATTTCTTTTTAATAAATAAGTATCCAGCATCCTTCTGGCTTTAATTTGGCATTTAAAGTTGATTTGATATTTTTTATTTCTAGTGTTTTCTTCCTAAATCCTGCAAATGTTACTCATTTTTTATTCCTCAGTTAATTATGATTAAATTTATCTTTTTTGATAAGTTCTTAAAACCATTCTTCTTCAATATATAAGCTCAATCTATTATAATCTGTTCCAAAAACCTCTAAGTTAGAATTTATTCAATTGATAAACATATTATGTACTATAATTGGATTTAGATAGATATTATTCTAAAATAGCTTTGATTACTTCTTTATCCAATAATTTTAATCTTATATAAGTACTATTTAAATTCATAGAATATTTTGCTATCTTCTTTAATAATTTGAATTTACCTACATTCTCTTTGGGAGATCTCTATTTCCATTCAAGTAAAGGTCTTTAAATATTTAACTAATGAATTTATTAAGCATCTATCTTATCTCTAGTTTTAATTATTTCATCCAATTTAAAATGGGGCTAATGGTTCTATAGCTACTTATCAAATTCACGTTGATTCTTCCAAATATCATTTTTAAAATGAGCTCTCTTTTGAACCCAATACCAATATGTAATCTTCTCTCCAAATGAAGAATAAAAATGTTTATGCGAAAATTTATATACATTTGCCTCATCATCTTCAATATCTATTTATTATAAATCTATTCTTTCAGCATTTCTTGGCTTCTTAGCATTTTTTGTAACCATTAACTTAAGTAGGTTTTAATAATTTTTTTTTAAATTTATTGATATACATCAATAGTTACTCTTGTTATTTATAGCATTCTTCTTTAATAAATCTCAACATCAGCATATAAACATAACTAATTATGACAATTTCAAAGAACTAATTCATATATTTTTATAATTTCTAACCCAAAACTTCTTCTACGTTCCCATTCACTTTACCGAATATATATGGAAGGAAGCAACATTTATAATTTTTCCCAATATTTTTGAAAACTTGCGAAATTCTAGATTAATAGCTATTTTTTAGTATATTATTTTCTAAAAAATGAATAAAAGTTAATCCTAGCAGGAAGTTTACAAAATCATTTTAGTTGGTGATTAAGGAGTTGGAAAATCCTCAATATTGCTCAGATATACAAAGGATCTATTTAATAGAGAATATAACGTTACTATTGGACTTGAATTTGCAAGTAAAAAAGTTACTGTTTATGACTATGCATTGACGCTCTAAATTTGGGATACTGTAATGATGTAATATTTTAAGTTTCTAGGCAGGTTAAGAAGCATTCAGAAGTATTGCTAAAATCTTTTTATAGAAATTCTGCTGCAATCATAATTGTATTTAAATTGACAAGGTTCACTTAGTTATAAATATAAAGTCGCGATTCATTTTAAAGTGTCTCAGGATGGGCAAGAGATATCCAAGAAAATAGCGATCAAGGAGTTGTAATATCTTTAGTTGGCAATATGACAGATTTAGAAGCAGAAAGATCTGTGAGCAATGAGGAAGGTAAACAAAAGGCTTAAGAGATAAATTCATTATATTTTGAAACTTCCGCTGCCATAGGCAAAAATATTGATGATGTAAACTGTAAATCATAATAAGATACCCAGATTTTTATCAATACTTTAGAGAAAGTCACAAAATAAATCAATCCTATTAGAACTGATTGTGAGCAAAATGTTCGAGATTCTATTCACTTATCTCAAAAATATTAATCCCAACCAAAGATAAACTAGGAAAATAATGGAGGAATAAAGCCAAAATAAACTGAAAGTCCTAAAAAAGGGTGTTGTTGAAATATTTATCATTTTTTGGTTTATTCTGTTAACACTATATATAATTTAAAAACCTATCCTAAACGAAATTTGTTATATTATTATTTATTTAAACCATTATGTAGAAAATAAGATAAAAGAAAACTGTATTAATTTTTAATATATTAAATAGAAATTTAATTTAATTTGAAATCATTTTATATAAAAATTAATTAATAAAAAAAATTTATAAATTAGATAATTTAATTTTTTTGTAGATATCATTACAAAGAATATTTGTTCACGTTATGGAATCAATATATCTGAATATATTAAAAAACTATTTCAGATTTTTGATTATCTATTCAAATATATTTCAAGTTCTATCTATTTTTAATAAAATAATTTTTGAAATATGTTTTGAGGTTAATATTCAATTTGCTTAGAGTTATGAAAATAAACTCTTTTTCAGAATAATAATTTAGATTCGCAATAGAAGAAGCAATAATAAATTAATAATTAAGCATATAAGTTTTAAAAAGATGAAATAATAAAAATTAACAAATTCGAAAGGAATTAAGTCATCTTGAGTGCTTTCTTTTGTTAAACCAAATTACTGATGAACAAATTCTTACAGTAATAATAACTATCATTTTGAATCATTAAAAACTTTTAATTCTTTTGAAAATGAGTGAGCTATCCTTTTAAATACAAATAATAATAGAACATTAGTGATTGAAATATAATGACCCAATAGTAATTATAATTCTAAAATTTGAGCTTTATTTTATGGAAAACTCAATACCCAAATGATTAATAAAAATCTTCTTGACAGAGGATGATAATTTAAGAGAAACAATAATTAAGTCGGCTTTTTATAGTAGTCTAGTTTTCTAGGTAATTTTCTTGATCTAATATGCATTTAGACTTAAAATATTTAAAGGAAATTATAAAGATTACAGAATTAAATAAAAATAAATTAAAAAATATTAGATTATTAAGTTTAATCCAAAATTTAAATATTAGAAAGTAGAAAAAAATTTAGGGATTCTATGACAAAAATTTTCTTTATTATAAAAATCGATTTTACCTTTTGTTGTTATCATTTGGCACTTGTAATTAAATCTATTAATTTTTTTTAATAATATGTAACATATGATTCTATGCAATATTATAATATTATTTTTTAAATATTTCTGCTATATTGGGTACGATAGTGGTGCATTGTTTGAACACTCTTCTACACGATTTAAAGATTTTTGTCATTCTCTTGATTTTACATTTTTTCTTTATCTTCTTATTTATTTCTCCTTTGTTTTTATTATTAAATCAAATTTCTTTATCCTTATTACATAATCTGACCATCTTTATCAATATAAATCATTTTTTCAATTAATGGTAAATATATTAAACTCATTTCATCTATAAAAAAGGTTTTTCTTCTTTTGTATAATTTTAAAATTTATTGAAATTTGTAAAGAATTTTTATTTCAGATACTTTCACAAAACTAAAAGAAAGCAATCTAATCTTAGGAGTCAAAGGATTTTGAATCCAGAAAAAATCCTCATTACAAGTAGAAGAGTTCAGCTGTGTCCTTCGGCTAGTTTAGATTTTAAACAGAGTTCCAGTCCTAAAAAACTTAAAAAAATACTGGAACTTATTTAGATAATGCAATTAAACTTTTATTATTAAATTATCATTAAATGATGTTTTTGACAAATTTTTGTTTAATGATAAATATATTTAGAGTAATTTAAATAAAATATATATAAGTCAGATTTTTTTTTAAAGTAGCAATTTTGGAAATTTTTCTGACTTTGTACTTGAAATTCTTTACATTTGAATAACATTATGGTTAAACCAGAATAAAGTTGGAAATTGCTTTGGTAGAAAAATAGTAAAACTTATTTTATATTTTTGATTTGAATTGAATTTTAATAATAATCAATTTTATTGTTATTGCAATCCAATTTGGCTTTCTAAAATGCAACTTCCTTTAGATTTGAATAATTATCGCAAATCTATACCTTAATTATTAACAAATTCTCCTTAAAAGATTAAAGCTTCTTGGGCTTCTAAATTGAGACTTTAGGAAATACAAAGTACCGTAAGATAAGAACTAGCTAAAGAAATAAAATTATTCATTACTTTCTAAAAGAACATTGTTGCTAAATATTGAGGGTTGACTTGCAGGTAGAATTTCTTTGTAACGATTATCTGAAGGAGGAATTTGTTGTCTCTGCTTGTAACATCCCACAAATAAATAGAAGCTAATGTAGTACCATTATGAGAGAAACATATTGTATTAACACAACAAGTATGAACATCTAAATTGGCTTTTCATTTTACTGTCTTTACTTGCCATAATCTGATAGAGATATCTTTACTACCAGATGCTAATGTAGTACCATCTGGAGAGAAACAAATTGAATAAACAGTTCCACTATGTCCGTTTAATTTGTCTTTTTATAATCTTGTATTAACATCCCATAAACAAATAGAGTTATCATCACTAGCAGATGCTAATGTAGTACCATCAGGAGAGAAACACACTGAATAAACCTAACTTGTATGACCATCTAATTTGGCTTATCATTTTCCTGTTTTAACATCCCATAAACAGATAGAATTATCATTACTACCAGAGGCTAATGTGGTACCATCAGGGGAGAAACAGACGGAAGAAATAGAACTTGAATGACCATCTAATTTAGTTTTTTATTATCCTGTCTTAACATCCCAAAAGCGAATAGACTTATCTGAACTACCAGATGCTAATGTTGTACCATCAGGAGAGAAACAAACAGACAGAACATAATTACTATGACCATCTAATTTGGCTGCTCGTATCTCACTGTCTTAGCATTCCATAAACGGATAGAGGTATCTATACTACCAGATGCTAATGTAGCACCATCACAAGAGAAACAGACTGACATGATATATCCAGTATGACCATCTAATTTAGTTTTTTATTGTCCTGTCTTAACATCCCAGAAACGAATGGACTTATCTGAACTACCAGATGCCAAAGTTGTACCATCAGGAGAGAAACAAACAGACAAAACATGATTACTATGACCATCTAATTTGGCTTATTATTATCCTGTCTTAACATCCCATAAACAGATAGAATTATCATTACTGCCAGAGGCTAATGTGGTACCATCAGGAGAAAAGCACACTGAATAAACAGAGCTAGCATGACCATCTACTTAAGCTCTTTACTATCCTACATTAGCATCCCATAAACGGATGGAGTTATCTAAACTGCCGGATGCTAATTTAGTGCCATCAGAAGAAAAGCAAACTGACATGACATAATTACTATGACCATCTAATTTTGCTTTTTATTATTCTATTTTAATATCCCATAATCGGATAGAGTTATCTAAACTTCCAGATGCTAATGTAGCACCATCAGGAGAGAAGCAAATTGAATAAATTCCACTATTATGACCATCTAATTTGGCTTTTTATTATCCTAAATTAACATCCCATAAACGTATAGACTTATCATCACTACCTGATGCTATTATTTTACCGTCAGGAGAGAAGCAGACCGAATAAACAATTCCATCATGGCCTTCAAATTCGAACTTTTATTATCCTGTTTTAACTTCCCATAGACGGATAGAATTATCATGACTACCAGAGGCTAATGTAGTACCATCAGGTGAAAAACAGACTGAATAAACAGTGCTAGTATGACCATCAAATTTCAATTTTTATTATCCTGTCCTAACATCCCATAAACGAATTGAGTTATCATCGCTAGCAGATGCTAATGTAGTTCCATCAGGAGAAAAACAAACTGATATAACCCAATCATCATGACCATCTAATTTAGCCTTTTGGTATCCTGTAGTCGTATCCCATAAACGGATAGAGTTATCATCACTTCCAGAGGCTAATATAGTACCATCAGAAGAAAAGCAAACTGAATAAACAATTCCATCATGACCTTTTAATTCGAACTTTTATTATCCTGTCATGACATCCCATAAACGGATAGAGTTATCATAACTACCAGATGCTAAGGTAGTACCATCAGGAGAGAAACAAACTGATCTAACAGCGCTGCTATGACCATCTAATTTATTTAACTCATGTATTTTTATATTTCTCCATTTACAATTGAACAATTAAGCCCCATTCAAGTTCATACCAGTAATATCTACATTATCAAAAATAGATCCATTCAAATTACAACTTGCCATATTAGCGCCAATTAACGAAATATCTTGAATCCTGATATTCTCAAAGTTTTGTTCTCTGATATCCATTTTTACTTCTACTAATAATTTGAGGGAATCAGACCCACATTTTATAAATCTCTCGTCAATAGCCGTCAGTTGAACAATAAATTTCAAAAATTGTAATATTTTCTCTTCTTTTTCAATTTTTTTAATTAATTACTTTCTAATTTATATAATATCTTCTGTTGAGTTATTTTTTTTATTAAAATCAATTTCACAAATATTTTGGAGAATATTAGTAATGAGATAACCGTTATTAATTCCAGTTTGGTCTAATAATTTTAGCATTTCAGGGTTTGAAAGATAAAATAGACAATCTGTGATTTTATCTCTTTTTAACATTTCAATAATTCTGCTTAATAATTATTTCTCAAATTTTTTTGATTAGGCCAACAACTCATAGATATCTTCTGTTCTTTCATAAACTTATACTATTTCTTGAATTGATGTATTTCTATTGTTTTACTAAAATAAATACATAGTTGATGACATAATCTCTTTCACTTCTTTCTTTAACTTTTCACTAAAAGCATGAACTTCATATTCTAACCAATTTTTTTCCTTCTCCAATTTAAAAAAATAAGAATTTTTCTAAGCCATCCAATCATTTAATGTTTTTCCTTAAAAAATTGATACTAATTGTTCTAAATCAGAATAAGAAGAATCGGCTATATTTTAATTATCTTAGATTAGGTTAATATACTATTTATTTTTCTGTTCAATCAAATCATATATCTATTAAATTGATTCTGATACTTCTTCCCAAATTTTTCTTAAAATGTTTTCAATGTGGGAGAGTTTATATTTAAAATCCATCCTCTATTATTTAATTTCAGACAGCTCATCAAGTTTATATTCATGTAATTTCTAAGTAACCCTTTCTTGAAATACATCAATCGGAATTGCATATTTCAAATCCACTTTATGTTCATAAAGGCATTTTACACACAATTTCCTTTAAAATTAGCAATTGTGAGAAGCTATACATATCATTGATACTTGATTTTTAATATGATAAGTGCAATTCATTATTTAATGTTATTAAAAATATTTAAGTCTTTTACTATAAATCAAAAAAAGTATCTCATGAATTTCTTTTAAGAAGAAGTTTACTTTCTGTAAGAAATGTGGTTCGACGTATTTTTAATTAATTATAATTAGAACTCTCAAAATATTATGCCTTGGTCTTATGAATACTGAAATCACATACAACATTTGAATTGTAGATAATGATGGGTTTCAATATATTTTTTTTAGACCAATAGCCACAATTAAATTTGGATGATTTCGAGTATATTTTTCTCAAACATAATAAAATTCTTAATAAAAAAAATATGAACATTTATTTAAATTTTTGCAAAGTAGTAGAGGTTTATTCTACAAAGGGGTTTACGTACCTAACCTATTGTAGTAAGAAAACTAGGAACCAACAGCCTAAGAAAAGATCATGCCTAGGTCAGCTTAGAGTGAAAATCTGGATGTTTCAAAAGGGAATTCTTTTATATAAGTTGGGCCAGAAAAAATTTTTTGAGTTTAAACAAATGGCAGTAATAAGTATTACTTATTTAATCAAAACCATTTTACAAATTTAATGTGGAAAAATGGAGTTTTTTCCTCTATCTGGAAACCATTATTCTGGTACTAATTGAGCTGCTTGTTTTTTTAAAATTCTATTTCATCGATATTGAGGGCAGCCATCGTAGAATAGTATAATATGCAACTTAATCTTACATTCCTAAAGTAGGGCAAGGATACCGTCTAATAATTTGGAAATTCTAATGCATAATTTATATTGATTTATTGTTAAATAAATTCAAAATAAAGCTGCAGTATGGGGTAATCAAATATATTTTATTTATTATAAATTCATATATATCATGGATTAATCATGTTCTCGTTTATAGTATACACTTTATAAACCATTAAATTATCTATCAGAAATTTTGGTAGGATTGAATATAAAGAGTGAATTTGGTAAATCAGCTGATTCTTTGTTTTTGTTCCTTGATTTTTGCTGTTTCATTTCATCATATCTTGAAGTGATTATTGGATTTATTTACTGATTGTACATAATCTTCTAAATTTGATTCTATTCTAAAAGTATATAAATTATAGAAAAATAACTAATCCAAATATATTTGCCTATACAAAATACTCTAGTAGACTATTTCTAAAATATACAATAGTGGGTATAAATAAATTAGGCTATGAATTCAATTCAATCACCTGGTGAGCAAATGTAATAAATTATCCACTTAAATTTTATAAATAATCTTATTCATCAAATGTATTTAATTATACTAACTACTCTAAACGGACAATATATATCAAAATAAAATTAGTTCAGCCTTTTATTAACTTTATAATTTTAAAAGTAAATGCTTAAAATTCGTCATATCTACTTTAAAATAGGATTTTAATGAGTCCTTAAATCATTAAATTAAATTTTTCGCTTACTAGGTACCCTGTCAATATTTTAACATATTAATTCTAGAAAATAGAATATACATCTGATTTTTTATGTACGTTATTCTTATATATGACAATTAAACCTTAACTTATCAAATTAAAATCATATTAAAAAGCTCAAGCATTTATTCATGATTGTTATTAATAAGTACGCTACTATAAATTAAAATATATTTATAAATGTTCCTATCTAAGTTTTAAAAGCGTTTCTGTTTATAAAGCCGACTTAAGATAGTTAGCTCAGTTTATCATTTTCATTTATCTAATTTGCTATGGCTATATAAATGAATAATAATAAGTTTAAAATGCAAATAATTGGTTTAAAAACTCATTTTATAAAAATAGATCGAAACTTTTTAAGTAGGAGAAGAAACACAATTGCCACTTCTTAATAACCAGAACCAATAAAGGGTTAAGATAACCTTTTATTCATTCAGATTATTAAGAAGTGCCTATTGTATTTTATATTATTAAAAATCTCTGCACTTAATTCTTAATAGCATTTTAGTGACTAAGTTAATTGTATTTTAATTTTGATATAATTAAATTCTTCTTTGTTCTAATATATAGCCTTCAAAATTTCTTTTATATAATTACTAAAAAATATTAGGTGCATCTTAATCAAAATGAATGGCAATATTCTAAATCAGAATATTTTAAATATACTACCCACTCTAAACAGACACTCTAAGTTCAACTTAAAAGAGCTTGTCTATTCTTTCTAATTATTAAGAAGTTGTCATATATATAAAAACTTCAATATTTTTTAAACAGCTTTATAACGATTCTTTATATAGATAAATGACATTGAAAATTATGTATAAATATATTATAGATGATTCTTATAGAAACCCATTTGAAATTCTAGCATTACTAAAACATATTTATTGCACTTGACTAAATTTAATTTTTAATCTAAAATTCCTGAAGGTATTTTCCATAAGGCTGAAATTTAAGATGTCTTATAAATACATTTTAGGATAACTATGATGGCAACAAATATTTATAATCATAATTCAAAACGCAACTAATATTATTTCATTAAGCTAAAGTTAACTTTTAATTGAGAAAATCATTTAGTTTTTCCTTGCATCTGAAAATTTGATGGGGCTTTGAAAATACTTTTTAAATATAGAATTAATTCAATAAATAGATTTAATTAGCAATTTAAACTCAAAAAAAAAATGAAATGATTTCAGTATGCTAACTAAAAATTAAAACTCAAGTAAATATTCTATAATGCTGAAATTTTATATACGCCTAGAAAATACAAATTATATGAAAACTGAGGATAGCAGATACCATAATCAGTATTTTAAACTCAAATAATAGATATTTCAGTACTCCTAAATAAATTTTTAATAAAAAAAATACATATGATATTTTCTCTATGTCTG